TTGTTTTTACGAGCAGACAACCGTCTGCTAAAAAGTTGGCTTTATCCAACTTCTCCACACCTCCCAGGATTCCCCTCACACCTGCCTGAATCCAGGGCCATCCTTTGGAACGAAATGAATTCCCCGAACTCAGAGCGATCCTAAGATACGAACCAGCCTTGTCAGGCTCTGGGAAAAACAGCTCGTCCGGCCTACCTCTCTTGACAGGTCGATCTCGACCTACCATTTTCAATCCATCACCCAGTACTCACTGAAAAGCACCAATATAGCTTCACTGAACTTTAAACAGGAAAAATTAATAGCCTACAACTGGAACCATACAAATCCACTCTTCCGCACTCCGACGCTCCACCGTTTTCGCGCCAAAAAGCCTGCCACACTGCAAACAACACAACGATCACAACGATACGTTTTTTAGTCGAGCAAGGTTGGTATAAACACAATTGCATTGGATAGACACTTTGATATGCTTTGATCACGTGGCTTGAAGAAAATGCTAAATACGAAAATAAAAATAGGGTCTTTAAAGAAGAATAAATATATGAAATAACCAGTTTATTTTAATCTTTTGTTAAATGTTGCGTATTCGATGTTTTAACTTGTTCGTAGCATATTTCAAACCGTCTTATGAGTTATGTCACCTGGCAGGTCCGCGGGCCGAAGCTTGAGCTGGTGCTTTTTACCTCTTGCGGTAGATCAATGTTTGCCTCGAGATGCACAAAACATAAAGCTGTAAGGTGTATTGACTACGTCGCATATATAAGTTTTCAGTAATCGGAAAGTTTTGTGGAAATGTCTGTATGTTTGGACAACGCATACTATGTTCATTTAGTAGTCACAAGCTACCACAATTGTCCTTGTCACGTCGTTTATGTCACAAATCACAATTATTTTTGGCGCGAACGTTTTGCGAACACCTGTTTCACCGGTGATAGCAGCACGCTGCTATCACACGTGTCAAATTGGGTTTCCATGGAGACATCAACAAACCATGGCGTCGTCAAACTGTGTGATGTCATCAAATATTGCTGCTAACATCTTCACGGCCGTGCGAACAAATCAAACGCATTCAACGACACCGCAACTCTGTTCCAAACGTAGCTATGAAAAAGCTCACGGATTACACGAAACGTCATTGCTGTGGCGTCACCACATTACGTCAGCTCGCGCAATTTGATAGTAGCGTGCTGCTATCACCGGTGAAACAGGGCCTAGTCAGTGGGCAATGGGCATATACCGGTATTTTTCGTATACCGCGTTTTTCAAGGCGTTTTTCGAGTTTTTGTTGGTTAGATTAGATAAGTGAAATATTTTTATCCTCATTTTCTTTATTGCAACAATCAATTGGCTTCTTTATCTTCTGGGTTTGCTGGGTAGATTTATTGGAATCAGAATGGTTCTCCGATTTATAGCTGCCAAAGTCAAATTGCTTATGATTCAGATGATTCCGTTTTGGAGTTTGGGCCCTTGCTAGTTTTGTGAATGTAATGATTTTCTCTAAGCAATGATTTTCCCAAGCTCACCTGTTGTTTCTCATGCCCAGCACCCGAGCAGATCACAGATTTGGGAGGGCTGGGACGAGAAGGAAACTGTCTGAAAAATGTGCAAGTAGCATTTTAAACATCTGAGTTGAGATTGCCTTTCTTGCTTTAAGCGTAACGTATTTAAAAACGGTAAAAGTATACATTGAGTCCGAGTGACTGTTAAAAGATAAAGTTTTCATATTCTTACATTATTTGACATCCTGAATCCAAAAATGATACTTATATGTCTTGGAAATAAAAGAAAAAACAATCAAACCTGACCTAACCAGGGCCCTGTTTCACCGGTGATAGCAGCACGCTGTTTTTACACGTGTCAAATTGGGTTTCCATGGAAACATCAACAGGCCCATTGCTCCAACACTACCACAAGTGTGACGTCAGCTCGCGCAATTTGATAGCAGCGTGGTAGCAGCGTCCCGTGAAACACCGCCCTTACCTATTTACCTACAACCTACCAACCAACAACCTACAAACCTACAACCTAACAACCTACCAACCTAAAACCTACAAACCTACAACCTATCCTAACCTAAAACCTAAATTTTTTGCTGTTGCATATTTGTATCAACAGCGCCACAATTGTCCACTCGGACCTAATATATACGGACGACGGTGAAAACAGGGCGCCTGGGGCGATTTGATCAAGGTTCGTGAAATTCACATGTGACATTTAGCATTGTAGAAGGCCCATGGAGGGGGAGAAGCTCGAAATGTCACGTGACTAATTTGCCCTCCGGCGCCCTGTTTTCACCGGCGTCCATATATACTAATACCTTTAAAAAGTTAAAAACCATGTCCTGCTTAGAAATAGTTAATATAAATACGTTGGATTTTCCGGCTTTATATGGCTTAAAATTGAAATGGCATAAGACCACTGGCCAGCCTATAATGTGAATTGGTCGGTAGGTTTTGCTCTTGTGTAGCATAGTTAGCAATTAGCATGCCAGTTGCCACCTTCAAAATCCAATAGCATATATTGAGTTCACTCAAATAAATAATGGCATACAAAACATGATAAAAAGTGCAATCAAACTCCACTTAAATGTCCAAAGGCCATGAAAAAAATGCTGATAAGTACGTGCCTAACCAATGACAGATATCCGCCATCTCAGGACAAATGACAGAGGTCTGAGCTTGAGAACATTCTGTGAGTATATTTGTTCTTACCTGAGCTAACCAAAAAAAAATATATTCTTACCTGGTATTCTTACCTGGTAGGGTTCACCAAGCCTGACAGCCCTAAGGATGGGCAAGGCAACGGAACCCAGGATCAAAGGATGTGCCAGTTGAATAGAGTTCACAAGTATAGAGAGTTTGCAAAACAACTGAAGTTAGAGCATCTACATTAAGAGCCCAAGAGAATATACATAAATGAAGAATATATGATAAAAAGTCATTCCCATCAACTGTTTTGCAGGCTGTTGCAGTTTCTCATGAATCACGTCGGACAAGTCACAAGACTCTTAAAGCTAGTTAGGTCTGGTGTGGTCACAACGTTTTCTGAAAGGCCATTCCAGATGTACTGGTACATGCATTGGGTAGAGAAAGAGTGATGAGGAACATCTAGCAAAACATGTTGCATGCATAATAGCATATCTTGTAACAATGGCCTCGAGTGCAGCCATGTACCTAACCTACCTAATGGACAAGAGAAGAACATCTTTGGTTTTATATGACTTTTACCATCAAAGATTTTCCATTATTTGATTAAGTCTGGACAATGGTACATGTACATGTAGGGGAAGGAAGGTGAATTGCGCCACCTTAAGGAAAAACGCTAATTGTAAGAAAACCGCTGGAAATATAAGCATGCACTTTTAATCATTTCAAAGAGGAACTCATTGGCTACGATTTAAGAGCCTTCCGATCAATTAAGAATGTTTCCTTTGCTTCTGACAGCTGCTTTTTCAGAAACATGCAAAAGGGCGCATTTGCCAACAACTGCTGTAAATTGCGCCAGGGGGATGGCGCAATTAGAACCCAATTGCGCCCTATACTTTAACATGGCTAAGCGAATGAGACGGAATGCATACACTCCGGCAGTCTAATGTCATTTCGGCTTACTTTAACATTCATAATGTTATTCACGCTGGTTGAATAATAAATGTAGGTGTAAATCGCGATGTTTTTTGCCCAGGTAGATAACTTTACGTGTGTCCGTACGCTTGTAAAAGTGCAACGAAAACGTTTACTGTAACCGACTAGATTTATGTGAACGTATGCGCCTATACGGTTACATTTTCAATCGTTTCTCTCAAAACTAATAATTTTTATCGCTTCGACAGCTTTATGACATCAGTTTTTACTTTTTTATCATAGCTGTCACCTTTCACGCCTGAGTCCATGTTGAAATTGTTGTATTTTGTCAATTACACCACAAGTTCGTAGCCTAAATGGCAGCTGCATTATAAGTTTGACGAGAGAAATAATTTGCGGACTGACGACAGCGGGTTGCTCTCCTGCCTGACCTTAAACTCCTTCTTTATTGCAATCAGTTAATGATGCATTCATACTGTCGTGACACAATAGCTACACCATAATTCTATTTGCGCCCCCCTGGCGCAATTGCCATGGGCGCAATTAAAATTGAGGTACTTTTTAATAAAAGCGTAGAAGTTATCATAAAGATGTTGAAGGAAGTTTACTGTTTTAGTGAAATATAATGAAAAAAGGTGTTTTCTTTCTGAATATCACTCTGAAAATCACACAAATATCACAAATTTTTATAGCCAACGGTTCAAAATACCGCAAAAAAGCTAAGAAAACGCCGTAACATCTTTGATGGCGTAATGAGCCTTGCTGATTGGCTTCATCGGAGAGCTTGGGCTATAAAAGGGACTGTCTAGTGGGGAAAATAATGTTTTCGAACACGAAATTCAAAACATGCCATTGAATCCGTGGGAATGTTGGTGGGCGCAATTGGTTAGGAGGGCGCAATACACCCACTTTCCCCTACATGTACATGTACCATTGTCCAGACTGTATGTATGTAAGCTTTCCTGCAACTAAATAGCCATGAAGTTTTCTCAGATGTTCTTCAGAAGTCAGCTTCTGTAAATCTTCTATTGTGTCAGTCTAGACCATATCCTTTGGACACATTCCAGTTTTATCAAATCCCCTTGTGTCGGGCATATCTCAAGCAGCAGGCATATTTTATCTGCAGTCTTACATGAGTTCGAAGTGAAACAACATGAAATCAGATGAGCGACCGACAGTTGGCTTAAGATAGCTATGACACAATCCTCACTATCCTCAGGACTTTTGGGTCTCGACCTATGTTATCCTACCTGACCTTCAGTCAGAATGGAAATAGGTACCTATGTGAACTGGGTGTACCTGGCTTCTCATGGGAGAAGGATCTCTGACACTTGCTGTCATGACATGCATCTAGATATTTTGTTTAAACTCTTTCTGGATTTGACAGTTCTTAATGAATTTACCTTTTTGTTGTTCCAGGTTTCAGATGAAATAACTCCTGGAATCGTCTTCACTCTTCCCCTGTCACACTCCACGATGACGATGGACTCTCTGGACATCGCTGGGTCTGCCCAGCAGGAGTTCGTCACTGACAGCAACGAGGCCCTGGAGCTGAAGCTGGTACGCTGCAGAGAGGATCTGGAGTGTGACGATGCCTCATTCGCCCCAGAAATGTCGCATCAAGTGTTTGGTGATACAGAGACCATCTTTGGCTACAAAGGTCTGCGTGTAAAGCTTTACTACTCGGCAGCCCGTCTTGCCACATACCTCGGCATGACTTACGAGACGAAGATCGACCCTAAAAAGTCGCAGGGTGTAGAACCGGACGAAGTGCTGAAACCCGTGGCTGATAAGCTTCCTCCGAAGTTCTTCACCAACATTGACGAGTTTGTGAAGGCTCTTGATAAGGACGCGTCGTTCCGTCCGTTCGGTGAGCTTCACCATACATTCTCACCGAATTCGACATCGGACAGCGACGCGTCACGCACCTTCGAGATCTACTACTGCACGGCGCAGACGCCCGGCCTCCGAGAGTACCACCAGGCGCTGCAGACGTTCATCCTGTGGTACATCGATGCTGCCAGCTACATCGACGTGGACGACGACCGCTGGCGGTTCTTCCTCTGCTTCGAACGGTACAGCAGCGCTGAGGGCGAGACGCGGTACGCCATAGCGGGCTACACAACTGTCTACGAGTACTACGCCTACCCTTGCAATGTGAGGCCCCGCATCAGTCAGATGCTGGTGCTCCCACCTTTTCAGAAGATGGGCCTGGGCGCAGAGATGCTGGACGCCGTGTATAGGCACTATATTCCGGACACGCGCGTGATTGACATCACCGTAGAAGATCCTTCCGACAACTTCACGAGGTTACGTGATTTCGTGGATTGTCGCAACTGCGCCAAGCTGGCCGCCTTCCAGCCGAAGAAACTGATGCAGGGCTTCGTCCCGGAGATGGCCGAGGAGGCCAAAAAGTGCCTGAAGCTGAACAGCAAGCAGGTGCGTCGTGTGTACGAAATCCTGCGACTGAAGGCAACGAATGTCTCCGACAAGGAAGAGTACAGGAACTTCCGCCTGGATGTCAAGAGGCGCCTGTACACGCCGTACCAGAAGGAGGACTCTGACATGAAGAAGCTGCTGAAGGTGCTTCGCCCGGAGGAGCTGGCTCTCTCCGTCACCAGCCGGGAGCAGCGGCTCGAGACGCTGGACCGACTGTACACGCAGCTGGAGGAGGAGTACAAACACGTGCTGGAGCGATTGGCCCACCTCTGAGGTGAGGGCGGGCCATGTGCATGAGAATTTCCCCATCTTTGGGCGTTTTGGGGTGACGCCTCGGATTTCTACTGTTAATACAATGTACATTTTCATAAGATGACTGATACAGTGCATTTACAGTTTCATAAGGTGAAATGACTGCTTACCTAGCACAAACATTTTGTTTTCACCAATTTTTCCTTGGCCTGATACGAGGGGCTCTTGCAAACTCGAACACGCTTCGCTCCACCTCCATCTGCTACGTAGAAGACCACACCCTTTACGAGCCATTGGGTCAGGTCCTACTTCTCTTACAGTTAAGTTATTCATCATGCCACTTTTATGTCCACCAAGCCAGTCAACATTCGGCACAGATTAGTTACGCCTCGGATCGCGACCAAGCACACAGAACGATCGATATGATACGGGCGATCGGCGGCAAGGCTCATTTAAAAGTACACCCGACCGCAGGAAAGCGGTCAGTGAAGGCCGTGGCCCCTTAGTTTTACAGCATTTTGTCCATCTCCAGGGAGCCAAAGCTTCCCTGTTGATTCCAATAAACCAACTAGCAATAGACCCGGGCTTGCTTTTACAGGTGGTATCTCTAATTTCGGCACTGATTTCGTGTCGGTAATTCGAAGTTCAATGACCGTTTATCATTGAATAGTCAATGACAATGACTTAGTCGCAACATTGACCAGTCCAAAGGCCAAGAAGAACTCCCACCGAGCATGTTTTGGCTATGTCCAGGCTTCGAACCGGACTGGGCATGGGCCCTGAATTAGATTCAACCCTCTCCGCCATTGCATCAGGCTAAGGAATGATGTTCATTTTATTGACACACTAAGACAATACAACAAAAGAATAAGTACGCTGGTAGATACGGCCATGGCAATCATTTCCAAACGCCGAACTTCTGCGAACCTTGTGGTCCTGCTGAAATTCCCAGTCCGGGGACTGTTTGTTTGTTCCAACCTTGTGAAGCTTTGTTACCACTATTTCCACCATAGGGCGCGCCAGGTCCGCCATGGGACGCGCCAGGCCCACCAGGTCCGCCGTGGGACGCGCCAGGTCCGCCATGGGACGCACCAGGTCCACCAGGTCCGCCGTGGGACGCGCCAGGCCCGCCGTGGGGTGCCCCAGGCCCGCCGTGAGGCGCGCCAGGTCCACCGTGAGGCGCGCCAGGTCCACCAGGTCCGCCGTGGGACGCGCCAGGTCCGCCGTGGGGCGCGCCAGGTCCGCCGTGAGGCGCGCCAGGTCCACCAGGTCCGCCGTGGGGCGCGCCAGGCCCACCAGGTCCGCCGTGGGACGCGCCAGGCCCGCCGTGACCCGGCTGCAGCAGGTACAGTGGCACCTGGTGGATGTTATGTGTAGGACCGTGGCCCGCGCTGCCGGCACCGTGACCGCCGTGGCCAGCCTGAGGCGCCTGCGCGTCCTTGTTCAAGACGATGATGAGTGGTTGGTTACCGGCGCCATGAGCTGAGTTAGCAGCTCCGTGGCCGTGGCCAGCTCCTCCATGACCGTGACCTGCTCCACCATGGCCGGCTGGTCCATGGCCGTGGCCGCCTCCCCCATGACCAGCTCCTCCATGGCCATGACCGGCTCCTCCATGGCCGTGACCAGCTCCTCCGTGACCGGCTCCCCCATGACCGGCTCCTCCATGGCCATGACCAGCTCCTCCATGGCCGGCCGTTCCGTGGCCGTGACCTGCAGGTCCGTGGCCAGCTCCATGAGGAGTCTGTTGCCCGTTGCCGACGACGAGGACGATCGGTTGACTTTGAGTGCCGTGGCCTCCAGCTGGGTGCGACCCTCCGTTGGGAGCTCCACGAGAAGACTGGCCAGTCCGTCTTTGAGCGCCCGCGGATGGAGAGTGGCCGCCACCCCCGGAGGCTCTTGACGGAGCTCCAGCCCCATGGCCGCCTCCTGCGCCCGATCCGTGACCTCCACTGCCCTGGGCTCCGTGACCACGAGGGGGATCTTGCCCGATAACCACAACCACCTTCTGGGGGGTCCCGCTAGAGCCGTGGCTTCCGCCGCCAGAACTATGGCTACCGCCTCCAGGTCCGTGGCTACCGCTATTGCTGTGGCTTCCGCCGCCATTGCCGTGGCTTCCGCCGCCATTGCCGTGGCTTCCGCCACCATTTCCGTGACTACCGCCGCCAGAGCCGTGGCTACCGCCGCCAGAGCCATGGCTACCGCCTTGGCCAGCATGTCTTGGCTCTCCGACAACTACGTGGATTTGCTGCACATTCTGACCTGTGCTGCCTCCTTGGCCATTCTTCTTTCCACTGGGTTTGGTGGGGTTTGTGCCTTTTTGGGCAGGTTTTTCGACAAGTACGGGCACCTCCTGTACGTGGAGGTGATGTTTGACAGTGGGCTGAAACAGGTGGCTGGCGAAGGGGAATCCCAGCAGTCCGTGGTCAATCACGGTGACAGGATCATGATAGAAGTCGATGAAGTTCATTGTAGTGGTACTGGAAACAGGAAGAGCACTTGTAAATGCATGCCAAAATATTACCCATGTACAGGAAGTACCTTGCGCTAATGTATTCTTAGAAGACATCATATTTTAATCGGAGGCTCCGAGAGAATTATCGAACACACGTCTATAGCATGAACGCTGAAAAGATGTAGCTTCGAAAAAGCACTAGCGTCAAACAAAGCCTAGGTAAACTGAACGTTTAATCACATGTTTCGGTCGGACATTGCCACCAAAGACGTGACCACTCACTCGAACAGATGTGGGTTGACGGTCGAGAGGCCAGTGGTGGAGACCAGGGAGGTGAACGGGTACGCAGAGGCCGCACCGGCCAGCGCCACGAGGGACAGAACCTGCCGGTGCACATATTGCAGGTCACACTGATGCGTTAGGAGAAGTTGTTACCTATCGTTACGTTATGCTACCACGATAGAAATCCAAACCCGCAGAATATTCTTAATGCGTTCGTGAGTTATCGTAGCCGTCAACGTTTGGCCAACATTTATCCTGGCTCTGAAGCGTCGGATGATTCTGCACACTCGCTGGTCAAAAAAAAAAAAGAAATATCGACACATTTTTCAAATTTCTGAAATGGCAAAATATGCTCGACTAGGTAGACATACCTATTTCATTCCACAAAATGAAAACTGAATCAGGTGTAGTGTGTATACGTATTTCTATTTAGCTCATCTACACAAAAAACGCATGCCTAAAAAGAACAAAGAAATACTTAGTCGTCCAGTGCATTGTGGCGATGATAAGTGTTAAATATAGTCATTTTATTTAAGACTTAAAGATCGGGAGGGAGCACGGATGGGAGCCGTCACTCACCAGCTGCCTCATGGTTGCTCACTCGTGCACAGCACTGCACTCTGGCAGCGGGCGGACCGTTTTATATGGGCACCACCAACGGTACGGCACACCGACCCCACAAAAATGCCCGCCGTCCTGCGCTCGGTCAGCAGTTTCCGGCTCGCTCGGCGCGGTTATGTAGTTGTCCCTAACGCGCGCGCAGGCGCCGCTCGGCCTGAGAACGGTGCAGCTCGGGAGGACCGCCGCATCGGCACGCACCACTTGGGAGTTTTCCTGGGGGACGTGTGAATTGACGCGGTCCTGTCATTCCTCAATCCTTGCTACAACGCCACCTGAGGCTTTAGACCAGTGTTTTATTATGAGCATAGGTAGTTATGCTTAGGTTCATACAATTCGCTAGGCTTTTTAGCGGCACCTTTGGTCATGGGTTAGGACCCGAGTCCGACCCGTTTTTTTTTTGCCGGAGATAATCTCTAGATAACGTACAAAAAAGGTCCATGGTTATGGACATTATTGCCCTGGGTACGGCCGCCGTACCCAACGGCGTGACTCGTTTGCAATGCTTTTGTTCTCATAAGACGAAATGTGTGCTTATCTTTTCGTTGTTTACGTTAACGTATATTTTATATATTATGAGCAATAAATGTAGGTTCGTACCTACATGTTTATTGTACCTATATTGCATGATGTAGAGGTATTCTGCTGTCGATGACTAACACTTGCCGGACCTATCGGTTTTCTTCCTACTCGATACTCTCCTCTCCGTTTCGTCCCCATAGATGAGAGATAGTGCTTGGAAAAATGAACGTGTGCCCTATTACGAGCTTGCTCAACTTGAGTGTTGACCTCAGGTCAAGATCAGATCAAAGCCGCTGAAGTCTCGCAGTTGGTCGAGGGAGGTCATGTAGCATATCTTCCTTTACCCTCGCCCGTATGGGTGTTTTGCCAGCCGCGAACGTATATCCCCACCCCCTATGTATAGGCCATAGGGGGTGGGGGATCTGTTGGGCCCCCTTTGCCGTTTGGCCTCTGATCGAGCTAGAGCTTCGCGAAAAAAAAAACGAGCGTATTGCCCGTGACGAAAGGAAGCCGATGATACCCAATTTTAAGGTCCTAGGTCATTGGTTGACCTTCCAGGTCGGGTCAATGGCCCAAAAGTCGGGAAAATCGGGACCTGTTGTTAGAACGTCGTAAGTGTGGCTGCTACGGGGTTTTCGGGGTGCTGATCACGAATACCTAGCATGTTACATTTGATCACAGATGATGTATTGATGTATTTAGGCCAGGTCGGGATAGGTCAGGTCAGGTCAACCAGTAGGGATCCTGCTGGGTATTCTTAGTATGCATAGTCGACTACAGAATGATGTTCCACTTTTCACAGGCAATTATTTGCCTGGAGTGGTAGGCTGTGCCGCATCACACGGGCTGAGTTCATAAATTATAGCTCTGTCCCAATGCTCACAATCGACACGCTTACGAGTGATAAACGGCACACTGACAAACTGACTCGTAATTGCGTGATAAACGGCACAACTTGGCGCTCCGGTCAACTGATAACCTCTGAGGAATGGAATATCATTCTGTAGTCGACTATACTTACAGTATAGGGTAGACCGGGGCAAGTCGCCCCGCCGAGGTAAAACGCCTCACCGATGTTTCTCGGAGCTGGCAGAGTTCTGGGGAAACATCATCTCTTCTATAAAACGTGCACTATATGATCATTATATGAGCAGACTGGAAAGAAATTGTGATGACTCTTTCGGGAGATATAGCCAAAAATGTGTTTTTGGAGTGATTTTTATGTTTTGTTGTCAGATTATGTATCATGGCGTTCTTTTATGGTCCACATCAGGTTAACGACTTTTATGTATTTTGAACAACTATTGTCTAACGCTTATCATGCCGGGTTGGTTCGTGTTAAATTATGTCTTGCTGGAGTGCAAGGCGTTGTTCTCTGACCTAACTACGTGATGGGGTAAAACGCCCCAGTAGGTCGCGGGGCAAAAAGCCCCTGGGGCGTTTTACCTCATGTATTGTTCGGGCTACCCACTTTCTAATGTTCGGTAGCTGGCGAACAGTAAGTTTCTATGCCTTTATGTGTATTTTTCTCAGCAACTGGATGGCAAAGGAAGTATTTTGTTAACATTCGCATTGCAATAATTTATTATTTGGTCTTATGAGGTAGGTGAAAAACCTGCTCATACAATAGTGTCATAGCTGAACACCTGACAGGATGGAATGTGCTAACTTCAGTGCCGTGCCTCCAGAGGTCTAACGGACCTCTCACATAAGATTTAGCCAACTACCATGTTAAATCTTTAATCTAAAGTATGGGGCTACTTGCCCCAGGCCGTGGGGCGTTTTGCCCTGGGGTTGGGGCAAAATGCCCCATTTGCAGTTGCTTCACAAATCACTTCCTAGCTTGGAGTCCGATCATAAGTGGATGAATTTGAGGGGTGCAATTTAAAGTAAAATGTCCGAAGAACGCATTGAGCACAAATTTGGCCTTCCAGGTGATGTGGGACAAAATTTATGTAGCAAAATAAATTATCTGGGGCGTCTTGCCCCAGGCTACCCTACGTGTCAACCGCCACTGACAGCTTCGTAACATTTTACGAAGGTACCAAAACTACTTCGTAAATGTTCAAATGGCTGCTAAATTCGAATTCGGCTACAACAACTAGCCTAGAAACATGTAAAACTCGAAAAAGTGAACTGAGGTCATTAAAGGTCAGTGACCTGACCTGACCTTTAGGTGACCTTGAAAACTACCCTAATGCATGGGACCAAAAGCAGATCACGTGCTCGAACGCTTGAAACCACGAAAAGACTGCAACCGCGCGGCTAATCCGAGCCGACATATGCCGAATCGCGATTCCGGCCAAACATGGTCTCGACTTCGAGAGATAGGTCACAGGTCAAAGGTCATTTTAGTCAGGGTCATGAAATTTTCAGGTAGGTGTAAAATTGATTAACGCGAGGTTACTGAAAGTTTCGTCGCATTCGGCCCCCTTTTACGCGAGTTAGTCGCGAAACACCGAGGGGTTCCGTTCGACCCCTCCCCCTATACGGGCGAGGATTTTTTCAGCTATCGATGGTGCCCAAATCGTAGCTCTACAACCATTTTTTTTTAGCGCAGTTATTAGCCAACAACTAGACCCCTGCTAGGTTCTTTGATCTGACCTCAGAGGTCATCGGTGACTTGGGTACCAGTCGAATTAGCTGTGTTTTGTCCTTTGGGACGGCGTACATCGTTTTTTTTTTTTCGCTCAGCTCAAAGTCAATCGGGGATGAAACGGCGAAGACGGTCGTGTAGCCTATGGAGATGTTAAGATATCAGATAGGCGTTGGTGATGGTGGCTGTGCTTAAACAGCCCAGATCAGGACGTAACTGGAAAGTCCAAGACCACACCGTTGCGGGTTAATTTTGTTTTTCAAAGATTACAACCACTTTTGCGTACAACTTGCGCGCCGCGCAATTTTTTAAAATGTCACGGATTATGAATATCAGTTGCGTGCTTGCCAACGTATGGAAGTTCCTCAATACAAGTGTTTTCCCACGGCCATCCTCAGACCGCACCATAACTCCCAAGGTCCTGATAGTCTTTCCTTATGAAGCGCCGCGGATGTCGTTGACTCTTTGACAGCCAATGCATCGGTCAATATTTCACCCAATTTTATTTGCTGCAGTTTATTTGTCGTTACTCGGAAGGGTGATGACAGTGACCTAATTGTCGAACGGGCGATGCTTCCTGTCGCCGGTAGCTGCAGCAAGACCGGGTTTTTGCTGACTGCTGCTGCGGCTCGGACGGTACATACAAGGCTACCCCGCCCCACACCGGCCGCCCGCACACGGAACTGGCACTTCCTCGTGCAGTGCTCAGTGCAGGCGGGTGCATTCGGTTTGATTGAGGGATTACATTGTGCGGTTATCGATGAATTATTTGTCCCTGTTAATATTTAGATTGCGAACAGATCTCCCGCACTGCTTCCGTCGTAGGTATAAATGTGCATTTATTCAAAATATTTTACGGAATACACACTTAAGCGGTCAGTGGAGTGGTTTATTTCATTGGATATGAATGAATGGCACATAGATCGAGACGTACTGAATATAGCTGGGAGGTTATGCGATAAATCACGGGCGGATACTGGACAGCACTATTGGCATGTCTACACTTTGTACGTTTAACGCAGAACCGTGCCATGCTCTGTGAATGTGGAACTTAACAGGCTAAATGTGAAATAATCGTTCGGTCTAATTTGTCATGCCGAGGCCCGAGCCGCAAGCTTACCTATATTGTAATATTATTATGAGACATTTTATAATAAAAGGTTAAAAATAACTTATTGTTAATCTATGTATAGGTGCTGAGCCTAAATTTATTGCATTTCAATCCATTCCGTTTACGCCTTTCTGAGCTCCTCGCGTGAAAATCATTACCTTAGTGAAGGTGTTGCATCGACACCTCTTTGCTAGCGAGGATTAACTGCAGATAACTTATTTTCTAACAAGAAAATCAATGAAATTTAAAAAATCCACCTATCACGGGAGTCGTCTGTTCCTCATTGTATTAACAATTCATTACATAGCCACATGACCTAAGGAGATGAGCTTGTCTCCATTCTGTGGTTGTCAAATGACAGCGATTCGCTGTCCCCACCACATTCAGAAGAAGCCGTTCTGTTTCGATGTTACCGACACCACCGTTTCTGTATAGGTATGCGTCCTGCGTGTGGGCTCGTAAAACGGCACAAATGGCTAGCGTGCATAAGTAATTTTTACGTATACACGGACAGGTAGTAAACGTGTTGAACATGCATTACCGTTGAAAATGACAGCTATGCCGGATATTTTCCTTCGCTGACGCGCTCACCATTCAGGACTGCGGGAGGACGAGCTCTGGGAACTGACGCCTCATTTCCTGCTCTGCCGCTCGGGTGGACCGCCGTGCGGATCCAGTCGTAACTCGCATGCCCTCTGAAAAATGCGACTTTACAGACGAACAGCCCTGAGCGACTTCGGTCCATACCTTCCCAGTTCTCAGAGCCATTTTCCGTAGCGATTCTTTCGAGCAAACGGCGGTTATAGTACCGAACACGAAGTGAAGTAGCTAGCCCGTTACGGCAGTTGGCACTGACCGTTTGAAAACGATAAATACATGCTTTTGCATATTATGCCCCGGCTTTGGACCCTCCAGTCTCGCTTTTTTTTTGCCATGGACGCAAGAAGATGGCTACCAGTTTCTTGAAATTGCTACGCATGGCGCTAATAGTTACACAAGCAGACTGACCGTAGAATTAGATATAACCGCGATGAACTTGAAAGCAGACTGTTAAATGTTCATCTATTCTATGATCAATGTTCATAGCGGAAAATGGTAATAAACGTTATCTCGATATAATCTTTCCCATGCAACAGTTACGGGGAGACCCATAGTCATTAATTCTAATTCTACAGTAAAGCCTGCAGCCGAGATGGAATTAAATACCTCACTAACGATATATGAGGGAGGGTACATACAACGCTATTTTGGGTATAGGCAGTGGAACGGGGAGGGCACCAGGGCACCGTGCCCCCCTTTGATTTTGGCATTTTAACATTAGCCCTATGGGTGTTAGGTACATGGAAAGAATGGGACCAAAAGTCGGCAGTGCCCCCCCCCCCCGGCCCCCCTTAATTGAGGGTGTTCCGCCGCTACTGATTTTGGGGCCTGATACAGTACGCATGTATTTTTCAGTGTCATTGCATTCGGAACGGGCTTGAACGTGACACTTGGCTGTAACTCGTCTACCGAACTCGTCCATACGGAGCCAGTGCGACGCCGGGATAGGTAGTCCTCTGTACCGGACACATCCGTACTATATACTGAGCTTGGTAAGGTTCCCGGTTGGGTCGCTTCTGTGTGTCTGTGTACAATGTCTACTGTGACTCGACCGTCGGTCGGCCGCGCTCTCCGGCGACCCGGCTGACCTCGCTCGTGCCACGGCCATCGCCGCACTCCCGAGACGTCTGCCGGCGCGCGCATAAAAGAAGCCACCGCGCATCAGAAGAGCATAGTCGGCATCCGTTCTCATCATGAAGACCTTTGTGAGTAGCTCTCTGAGATCTCACTGCTGCTGAACCGGTGTGGCCTCTTAACCGCTTCATATGTCTAGAGACGACCGGTTCACCACGGTAATCCTGGAGCGTATACTGTGACGCATAACATTTTGACACCGTCCATCAAATTATTCACGATGCTCAGAATCCATTACCGGCTTTATCTCACCAACATACTGGTTGTTTCCGGTAGCAATATCTTATTGAGTGTGAATGTATTTGGTTTGACCTCGGTATATCTGTGTTGCCAGATTGTGCTGGTTGTGGCAGTGGTCGCTGTGAGCGGTGACGGGGCGGCCGCCGCCCCCTCCGGAGCCGGCGGAGCTCACGGAGCAGGGTGAGTGCAAGAGGTCCCCGGTCCGGTGTCTAACCGAACAATACCCAACCAATAAAAGAGGCCTACGAGGGCTGAACGAGAGGTCCCTAAACCTTGAAACCGTATTCAGCAAACTAGCATCTTATAATTAGCCTGCCAGATCATTTATTGATTGAAAAGGCTTTGCGTCCGTCATTGAATTGAATTTAGTGTATCATTGACCCAGCAGTCAGCACCCTGATCCACCCCTGCATTGAATACCTACAGCATTATGTGTTTAATGCATAATGCGCTCATATTTTGACAGGTACGAGACTCCGGTGCGCACTTACGTCAAGAAGGAGCCCTACGTGGTGGAACAGCGCGTGCCCTACACAGTCGTCAGGAAGGTCCCCGTTTACAAGCCCGTCTATAAAACCGTGTATAAAGAAGTGCCTCAGCCGTACGAGGTCATCAAGCACGTTCCTATTGTGAAGCACGTGCCGATCATCAAGCACGTGCCGGTGGTGAAGCACCACACGGTGCTGAAGCCGGTGCCTGTGGTCAAACACCACACTCGCGTACAGAAAATTCCCGTCAGCGTGCCCATCTACGTGCAGGAGAAGCACGGGTACGGCGAGTACGGCCACGGCGGAGGGTACGGGTACGGGTCGTATTAGGACCGTATGAGACTGACAGTGTGCGGATGCGCAGGCCGGCTACACGGTCTCTGCAGGTGTGCTGTGCACAACGCCGAATGGCCAGGGTATGTCGCTGTACCGTTCTATCGTCCATCGACAGTGTAAAGGACACTTCCCGATACTGTTCGACTGTTCGAAATGGCCTAGTTGTATGCTATTGTAACCGGTATGCATGGTACGGTGCGGATCGTTACGCTATTGCCGAGTCAGTGAATGGTGTGACGCTGATGGCTGTATTTGTTCAGCAACCTTTGCCTATTTATTGAAATAAACTGTTACAAATCAAGTACCCTATTTCATGTTTTGAAGAGTTGACGTCGCCCATGCTCGGCTCGGCATGCCTTTATAATACGTCGATGATATTTATGGAAAATATTTTAAAACGGCCTTTCTTGGTTTATCGTATAATCTGAGCATTGCGACCAGGGGCGCGGGAACTACTTTCCGACTGGGAGGGGGGGGGGCACCATAGGGGAAGTTGGGGCAATGCCGGAGTTGGGGCAAAGCCGAAATTCGAGATATTTCGAAAACCGTAAGACATGGGTGCCACCTGTCAGTGATGCTCTGAAGCTTAAGTGACTACAATTATCGCATGTTTGTTACGAGTCGTCATTCGGAATACTTCGGCTGTGAGGGCGCCAAGAGCGTTTTCAAGGTACGCGTTCCTTGTACTACATGCGCCTTTGAAGCAGCATTTCTTACTCATTATGCTACCGTTTGTCTGGCCAATTCGGTCAAGTAATCTTCAGCATGTCTTTGCATAAGTGTGCTGCCTATTTGAAATTTATACGGCACGTTGAAAAGTTATGGGCCTGCAAATGAAAGTATGGCTGGCTGGGGTAATGCCGAAAACGTGCATTTACGCACGTTAAAGCACGCTACGTGGACTTTACTGCTGTAGAATAGCAACGCGAACTTTTAGTCACACAAATTACACTTTCAACCGACACAACGGCCTGTTACCTATAAGGAATTATTTACCTGGCATTTTCTTATTATATCACACAATTATAACTACCAGTGTGCACCAAGCGTCCTCAAGCTCTTAAAGCGCGTGTCAGCTTTGATAAATTCTGGATAAACTTTGAGATAAAGTGGCAAAACATCAATGTCGGCATTCCTCGTAGATCATTTCTCCCATTTTCGGCTTTCCCCGCAGTCCGGGGCAACGCCGAAAAAGTCACTTCTTTGATATTTTAAGTTTGTGCGCTTAACGGTATGCGAATTCATCAAATGCGCCTGGTATGTTTGAAAGGCAAAAGACTGGCCTCTCGAATGACGCCAACAAGAATAGCTTATGTTGTCTACCTTGCGTGCTACGGGCGTCAGAAAAAAAGTATTCGGCGTTCCCCCAACTTCCCCTAATAGAGATCAACCTAGGGTACCCCCAAATCTAGTTTTCTCACCGGTTTTAGGCCACTTATTTTTCACCCCTCGGCTTTTTCAGCAAAAAAAGAAAACATTTGCAAAAAAGTGTGGTATTCCGTCTCAAAGCTGTGGGGGCACCGCCCCCACGGCCCCAGAGTTGGGGGGGGGGGCAAGCTGCCCCCACTGCCCCCCCCCCCCCCGGCTCCCGCGCCTATGATTGCGACTTTATGGCGATGAATTTGCGATGTTTATTTTCATGTGAATATTTGTTGACAAGTTAAATTTAGCTAAAAACTTACAAAAAAAAACTCGTGTAGACAAACGTTGTAACTCCACAGTAGTTCACCCTACCCCGTAGGTAAATAAATGCTCATCCGAATTACACCGACTGAACGATAAATGCTCATCCGAATTACACCGACTGAACGATAAATGCTCATCCGAATTACACCGACTGAACGACTAATTCGGATGACTGAAACTATTAGCGATTGAGCGGGCTGGCTGTCAAGGTGTAACATTATTTATATTTTACGATATCTATACCAATTTTCAAATAGTTTTGCGACCTTTCCAAACTGAATGAGAGAAATTATGAGAGGTAGGCAGATAAGGAATTCATCGTTTTTACGAGGCATTTTGAACAGTTGCCAACATAATCAAGCAAGTACTTATTCATGGAATTCTGAATGGCGAAAATACACTTAAGACTCGCATAATGCCTCTGAAGCCATAGAACGTTAACGAAACGAAAAGGTAACCAATAGATTTTCAGCAATACTCTCTTGAAGAGTACCTAATTATAAAGCCCTGAAAACTGCTCAGATGTGTACAATTTCATCTGGAAATATGGATCGGCTGATAATGCCTATTGGTATGACCTCTTCTATGGTCATAACATTGACCTGGGGCTAGTGTCCGTGAACTTCTTCAGGCCAAATTCATGCAATCAGCGCGCAGTAGGTACCTAATGACTAATGATAGAAACGCGATAATGATGCATACAAATCGATTTCATACACCAATTGCATATGATGGTATTTACGGACAATTTCGATGGTGTTGCCCTCTCGACACTCGACAGCAACGAAGATTTAGGAGAAGTAAATGAATGCGTTGCAAATTACGGCACCTTTAGAAGAAAGTCGTACTTAACACTCAATCATCGTGACTATACCTACCTACCTACCTACCTACCTACCGCACATTGAATATCGAATCGGGAAATTACATCCACGACCTCTCTCCTAGGCCGTGCAGAAGCCAGAAACTGGCCCACTCCAGCAGAAACTGCTGTGAACTTTGATGGAAACTTGCTAGAGCGATGACAACTACTGAATTGTTTAGCTCAACGATACGGATCGACTAATATGCGACATGCCCTTTCCCGATCAGGTCATGACCTCGACCTTAGGACCAATCTTTAAGTCGAACGATGCTCTAGCTTTATTAGCTCGCGCATAATGAGCCGATTTGTCGAAGAATGTCAAACTTCGGAAAATGTTGACCTTTGTTGATTTTGGTGGCTTGGCCTTTGACCTTAGCTAGATATCAACTCATTCTTTCTTTATGATATTTAAGCACATTCTCCCTAAGAAAGGTTCCCTGGCAGTGAGGACGTTGCGAAGTCGCGATACTCTTGCGCCGTCCAGAGATTCACTTATGACTTCACAGGTCAGTGACCTGGCCCAGTCTGAATCAAAAAGCAAATATACCTACTTGTTCTCAGGTGTCATCGCGAGAAAAAGAAAACCTCGGGGGGGGGGGCGTCATCAACCCCTCCTCACTCCCCACTCCTCAACCAGGGCGTGTGGCATACTGCACAAATGATTGACCCAGCATTAGTTGAGGTCATCCGGTGTCATAATTATTGGACCACTTCTAAACACTGCTGCAGCGGCCTCGGTATGAGCCGACGGGCCGCACCTCAGGTGGTCGCCGTCGGGCCCTCGACCTTCCCAACACAACAGCCATTACGGGTGTGCGTTCTCAGTTGTCGTGCCGCCATGCCGGCTATCGGAAGTATTCGGGTCAGCCTTCCCCTCCCCGCGGCACTGAAGCTCCCGGCGTGCCCTGCCAGCCGAGCGACCCTGTCGGCCGCCGCTGCTGTGACCCGGCAGCGCACCGGCCGCCCTCGCCAGCCGGCTTCTTGCTGCCATTGCCCGCCGATCGACTGGTTCCTGGTGGCGGGCCGTCGCGAGGCCGTCAACACACAGATGAGCCGGCTGCTATATAGTCTCCACTCGACGGCAGATAAGGGCAGATCAACCGCTGACATCGGAGAGGAACCATGATGCACACTTTGGTGAGATGACCGGCAAGTTGAGATTGGAAATACGATGACGTTCCACCGGTTTCAGAGTAGCACTTCCGAAAGCTAGGATAAAAGTAATTATTGAATACCGTTTTACCGAAAGTAAATGAAAAATTGCCAGCGACTCAGCCAGCTGTTGCTTTGACCGCCGTATATGACATTTAGACCGACATTTATCTGAAGGGGATGGCAGCCCAGTCATACAGAGTTGGTGGGTGTGCTCCCCCATCCTGTCCCACAGGATGTCTCTCACTCGTATCCCGTTCCCAGGTCGTACTGGTGGCTGTGGCTGCTGCGGTGGCCGCAGAGGGCGGTATCGAACAGAACGCCGGCTACGGGACCGGCGCGTACGGCAAGGAGTATGAAACGGAACACTATGGGTGAGTGAGGGCTCTGAGCTCACAAGTAACATGTAACTGAAATAGAGCTCTGTGAATGAGTTGGAACTCGTAGAAGCTCTGAAATAAAACATTAAGCGACAGTAATTGAACACATTAGTTCAATAGCAAACACACACTAGTGTGAACCGAATGGGTGAATGGACGACACTGAGCAGTTTATTTGTTATCCAAACAAGTTCTGTTCTCACCATGGGTTCAAGCAAGTACAACCTATAAAAACTGGCGTGGCCAGTGGCCATGAAGCCGATCGCTTATCCGATAAGCGGTTAACCCTGGTTCGTTTGTTTATTCATTTATTAATTACCTCGTAGTGACCATCCACCTTTTTGTTTGCAGATATCAAAAGGTGAAGACCATTGTGAAGCACGTGCCCGTTCCTGTGTACAAGAAGGTGCCGTATCCCGTGCTGAAGGAGGTGCAGGTCGTCAAGCCCGTGCTGAAGACGATCGTCAAGTCGGTGCCGAAGCCGTACCCGGTCGTGCGCCACGTGCCCGTCGTTAAGCACGTGCCTGTCGTGCAGCGCGTGCCCGTGGTGAAGCACGTGCCGATCGTGAAGCCAGTGCCGGTGGTGCACCACCGCTATCACGTGCAAAAGGTGCCCGTGCACATTCCCTACTACGTGCACAAGCCCAGCTACGGCTACGGCCATGGCGGTGGGTACCACTGAGCCGGCAGATCTCAGTCGAAGCGGCTCACCGCCATCCCCAGCGGATGGCTGAAGAGAGCTTAGGTCGCATATTTATTGGTATGTGCCATGTGATTTTATAAGTGCAAGTGTGTGGACACATACGGAATGCGTACTTATGTAAGTCTGGTTCTATGAGCCCACCGTGAAAGGTTTACAAGCAGCGTATATGCGATGGTCATTGTGCTTATAAACGAAACAAAACTTTATTTCATGCAAATATTTCCCAATAAACTCCGTGTGCTGTTTTGACACATAAATGAGCTAGGTACTGCTAAATGCATACGATAATATGTGAAACACAAATACATGAATCATAGACCACTACATATCTGGACTGTGCACGGAAATTAGGCCCCTGCCATTAGGGCCCTAACTTTCGAACGTCATCACAGCCAACTTATTCGCTATATGATGATGTCCTTTAGGAAACATCACCACTAGTCAATTTGTAGTCTGAATTATATCTTACATTGAGCAAAAAAATAGATAATATTAGTGCAATCATCGAAATATAAAGGGCATTTTCTGCCCATTTCTTTCATGATTTAACAAGGTGTGGATGATGGTTCCCAGCTCATTTTCACGAGAATTAGCAAATTTTCACAGAAATGTAGCAAAGATTTTTGCAAGATTATTGTTGTTTATCATTGACATAAGGGATAGTTCTCTTTTGTCTTTAAATGAAATGAATACCTTTGAGTTACTTTTTAATGCATACATGCCACTGAAATACAGTAAAATGTGCCGCTAGTGATAATCATTTCAGAATATCCCATGAACAGAACAGGGCGTGAGCATATTCAAAGAGCCAAGACAGTGCATGCGACAATGGCAGTTTTCCTGTTCCTGGCTGAAGCATCAGTAACAAGTCAATTTCTATCTGCTCTGAAGCTGAAAATGTCTTGAAATCCCGACCATTAGTCTCCCTGTGAGTTTTATTACATGTTGTGACGCTGGCCGAGACAGAAAAATCGAGCCGAAGACAAGTGTAAGGAGAGTTGCCAGTTCTCCTCTCTGGCCGACATCGGCGGTCACTTCCACAACTCATTGAGGGAGATGCATGCATGCAAACATGCTGCACATTGCACACGTTTCCAAACTGGCGGCTCCTATAATCAGTCATACAATGAAGCCCAAAACGAGCTAAGGACTTGCAATTTGGTCAAGTGATGGTCACAGATCTTATCGCTTGCGGAGAACTGGCGTGCCCACATCAGCAATCTGTGTTCCGCTCCTGCATGCAAGCCATGGGTCCTGCTCTGGTAACAGCTGCCGAGTCGCTCTCTCTTCGGCACACGTATAGCTTCAAACGTGTGTTTCAAGACAGCGCGACTACCATTGTAAAGGAAAACGATAACTTTCTTTACATTGCTCGCTAAGGGAGTCACACTGTCGAGAAGCACCTCAAGTTACAACGCTACGACCCGCATTTCTTCAACACATTGATGAGTATAGTTAAGCGAAAAACAAACATTGCAATTCATGAAGTCAATATGGACAGTATACCGTCACTCAACACCAGCGATGCGCGAACAGAGCTTCATGAAAATGAGAAAGCTTCATGAAAATGAGAAAGGTTGAGCCGCAGGAAGTAAACACAATGCAACATTTATCGGATCATTTTGTCTATGCAATCAATAACTACAATCATATTCGTCGACGTGTAAGATACCTACATGGCTGAGAATTTCACATGTGGATATACAATTCGGATAGTAACTAAAGGCAAATGTAGCACAAGAACTATAAGAAAGTGCATTCCTAAGTGCGAAGCTCTGCTGCAGTGTCCAGTGAACCGAGGTCTCGTGACTCCGTCTAAATCTCGAAGCTCGATCGCCATCACCCGCCAAAATGCGGCCACCGTCACTAACAACGGTGTTCAAAAGTCCCCTTCTCTCAAGAGGGACAGAGGACAGAACCCGTCTGTCCCTATGCTGAGCATGAAATCAGCCTCTGCCCAGTGGAAGCAGGGAACAGTTGTGGCCCAGCAGGTCACCTCGGACGCTCTCGCTAAAAATGCAGCTCCGGCAGCTTTGTTAGGAATCTCCTGCACCTATAGGAATCTTCGTAATTCCGTGGCGCAGATCGTGTTGGCTGTCAAAGCATTGTGCCTGGGTGCGTGTCTGATTTAGACAAGCAAATTAATCTGCAGTGTGTCCAGTATGTGATCAGACTGTCTCTTGTCAAAAACGAGCGATCACGGATTGTTCCTGTTTATTAACCCTCGCCCGTAAACGGCGATCTGCCACCTTCGCCCATGCAGGGGGGGGGGGGTTGGTGCGACCCCCCCCTTGGCGTTTGAAAACGGAGCGTCGTAGAGCTTAGCGGAAAAGACCAACGGATTGCTCTCGCCGAGATCTCGCGATTGGTGGTATATTTTTTGGTCCTAGGTCAACATTTGACCTACTTTTGACCGGTCAAAGGTCAAATTTTCGGAAAAATAGACTTTTTTCAACTTTCGGCGGCGATTGCGGCAAAACGGTGGGAGATATCGACTTGAAATCTTCACTATCGTGTTCCTTGATCAATTCTCTATCGTTTGGTATGTATTTCGTTTCCCTAGCTCTAAAAATGGCGCGTTGGGAGCGCCGGAAGTCGGCAAGGTCACAGTCGGCGGCAGAAATTCGAAAAATCAAAATTTAAATTTTTGAAATCTGATTGTATTTTTGGATTTGGGAGGTCCATTTGCTCCCTATAGAAGCTAATATTGCTGCATATTCCCATTGAGGTGACAAGAATTAGCAAAATAGTGGTTCGGGCGCTTTTCAAAAATAGTACCGGACGCTGTTCCTCTTGTGACGTCATAGCTCCGTGACCTGACCTGACCCGGTCAAGTTTCTTATACCATATGATAGCCAATACTTGCCCCAACATGCATGGGAAGTTTCATCACGATCCATCAACCGATCTCCGTACCACCGGCAGGAAACCTCGGGCGTTGGCACTCAGTTTGTGAAAATCCGGCCGGAGGCTGTTCCCTTTGTGACGTCATAACTCCGTGACCTGACATGACCCGGTCAAAATTTTTTTATCAAAAGATGCGCAAGGTTTGCCCCATAAGGTACCCAAAATTTCAATTCCGAAAAACCTCAGGGGGGGGGGGGGGGGGTTGCACCAACCCCCCCCCCCTACATGGGCGAGGGTTAATGTTTTGAACTAAATACAGTGTGATATACCTGTCTATAAGTGCTTTTATTCATCTATCGTGTTAAAAATCATGCTATAAATTCAGCATTTATTAAAATATACATCACATTTAAGCAGTTACTTTCAATTAAATGGGCTTACTAGAGCATGAATACACAATTCCGCGTGCTACGTCGAATTTCCCAGCAGGGCCCTAATGGCAGTCGGCAAAAGCCGTGCACAGTCCAGATATATAGTGGTCTATGCATGAATATAATATATTGAAAGTACAGACATATATATGAGACAAATATGACGGTCTGGTGTTCACAGCTTTCCACAACTATTGGCGCTAATTGATGAGAAGGTGGGAAAGTGAATCTGAATTGCTATTAATAACACTTTGCATTTAGCTCGGTAGAGGACGATTTATAACCATCTTCCCAACAGACACAGCATAACCACACGGAGCCCATCTCCGGACTGATTCAATGAGGGTGACAGACGACAGTACACCCCTGACTGGTCTAATAAGGCACCAGTCCACCCCTGACAGACTGGTCTAATAAGGCACCAGTCCGCCTGTGACTGACTGGCCTTATGCAGACGGCAATCCGTCCCCAGACTGGCAGACTGCTACAGTGGCTGCTTCTTGGAGTAAGGCTCCAGGTCACACGCCGTGAACCCGTAGTTGTCCATGTAACTCTGAAACAGGTCATTTGATATTAGCCCGCTGGCTGGGAAGGTATCGACAAGTACCGCTACAACCCTTTAATTCAGTCGCGAATTTACGGAGATATATGCGCACACAGGCGTAAAAATACTAAATAGTGCCTCTGATTGACTTGGCTAAATGTTTATGACTTACCATCTAGTGAAGTAATAATAGTGCGTTGGTCTTCGCTCATCCCGATAATTAAATTGGTCGTTACAATCACCCGTAAGATTTTCCATATGCCATGTGGATAAAAGTTCGAGGGACTATGGACTGACCTGCTGGGCGTCAGACGCCGCCGACTTGGTGTCCACCACGGCGATGTAGGGAGGCGGCGGCTGGTTGTCCCTGATGTCACCCGTGACAACCGCTACCCGGCCGCGACTGCGCTGGTGAGACCTGAACGACGCGGCAGGGGATAACGGACGGTCAGTGCCGGCTCAGATATATTGAGAGACGCGTCCGCGACCACAGAGCCAATTCACGCGGTAGTGAGGATGTTTTCCTGGTGCGTTGTTATGTAACTAGTTACATAGTCGCTCTCGAACGGTGATGCGATCTTTACCCTCCTAACCACGGACTTGTATCACGTTACCATTACATATTCCTCAGGCAATGTGTTCTTTATGTTGGTCCCTGTGGATTTGCGTCACGTTTCCATGGTTACCTGAGGCACTCTTTGACGGCGCAGGTGATGATGAGCGCCAGGCCGATGACAATGACGGCCGCCGACAGCAGACAGACGGCGATCCACCAGCCCCAGGGCAGCCTCCACTTACTGCCGGTCAGAGCAGAAATGAACAATACGGTGACGCATGTGTAGCAGTGCTGGATAAACTTGAAAATAATAGCGAATTAGCATAAATAAAACGTGTTAACGTGCTGAATTCAAGTCAAACTGCTACATTTTAAGGCTTTAATGACCTCCGAACACAACTTTTCAATAATTGCTCAATTGGACAGAGAACCATTGTAATACGTTGTCTCCGGCGCTCGTGCATTGCCCACCTACCGTTCCCAGCACTGGAGTCCGCCGGTCTCGCCGTAGTAGAACGGCTGGCATTGGCACACGCGCTGACTGGCCGGGCAGCTGGCGTGCTCCAGCTGCCAGTTGCAGTCGGCTACCGTGGTGCAGTTTTCACCCAGTCGGCCCCGCTCTGACGGAGACAGTTGCAGTCATAGTCACTAGTCAGCCTCACAGTTACAGTCGGCTACAGTGGTGCAGTTGTCGCCCAGCCGACCCCGCCCAGTGAAAAATGGCCACGATCAGTGTCAACCGACATTCGCAAAGAGCATAGCCCTTCTAAGCTCCGAGTGACCTACTGAGCTTGAGGACTAAATCAATCTTGAACTGCCATCAGTCGGTCGGTCGCTGACTGAGAGGCGTTAGCCCTTACCTCCGGCGGGTCGGCAGATGGCCGTCAGGTAGCTCTGGCTGTCGGCGGTCTCGGTGTAGCCGGGCTGACAGCGGCAGCGGCCCACGGCAGGGTCACACGCCTGGTGGGTGTCGGCGCACTGCGAGTCGGCGCCGCACGTCTCGTTATAGTGACTCTCTGCAATCGGACCGCTCAGTCAGGGACGGTCGGCGGGGGCTCGCCCTCTCTCGGCGGAAACTGTTTCCCGTCGGTTAGAGATAAGCCGGTCTGTTACAACACAACTCCTATCAGGTGCACGTCTTTAACCATGCAATGTGCAAAATAGAGCATTTTTATCATGGCTATCTAAATCTATCCGAGGACCGAGATTAAGCGCATCACTTATTATTCACCGTCTAGCTTATCGTTGACTTACTGAGCAGACATGTCATGTTGACGACCACGCTGTCCGGCTGGCAGATACACTCGCCGCCGGCACAGACCAGGTTCTGCGTGACGTCACATCCTATGTCACAGGAACAGCTCTCTCTCAGGCCGACGAACGACGCTGTCGGAGCACGCAAAGGTCACCACAAGTGAAAAAGAGCCACAAACGTCAACACCGGCACAGTCATACAAACGTGACTCTACCTATATCAGACGTAGGTCCTACGTCACTAGTCACTACCGTATCAGATACAGGTAACGATAAAGGTCTCTGGTGAGCTAGAGATAGGGATTCCCACTAAACTGCCGGAGCAGAAGCACAGAGATAAATGTGAATCGCCCCATGAGTCGGCAGAATAACAACGCCAACATTTTTATGCCGTTCGATTTTGACGAGAATCGTCAGAATGTCGAACGAACGACCTGAATCAATGGAGTAAGCGCTCTTGCTTGATCATTGTCCTTTCAACGCATGTCTTATATCTACTCGATGTCTCACGCCATTTCATCCTAAGACGGATGGTGTGTTCAGCAATAAACAAAACATTTGCTTAGACTAAGATCCTTGACATGTTCGTCGTGCGACGTCTACATAGCCTTGATCTCTTTGCTGACCACTGACCAGCCAGAGTATCCGTGACCTACGAGTAGCGGCACTTCTGACAGCCTTTATCCACTGATTCGTCAATTACGGCCGCTGTGCGATTGAGGTGCCGACCGTGGCTCGGTAGCTTCCTATCGGCGCCGTCCAGCTAGCAGAGGTCGCTCGACACGGCAAGTCAGAGTGCCAGAGCAGAGCATATAGATTATAGAACAACGTCAGAGTGGCGGTCAGGGGCGCCGATAGCTGCGGAAATCCCGACCTGGCTCACCACGTATCGGAGCTCTCGACCGCCGGCCGCCCGGGCCGGTCACAGCCCAGGGCAACTCGTCACAGCCGCCCCAACGGTGACCTCACTGCCCTCCCGGTACTTGCGCCGCTGATAACTGTATAAACAACACCGCAGCGAGAACACAATGTGCAATCTGCGACACTTCGCGAGTGTAAATATATGAAATAATTGTGAGAGAGCGATAGCTGAACGCGTGCAGTCATGTCTGCCACAGTGAAATTTTTAGACTCCGACTTCAATGTATTACCTTATTGATGATGGATTAGGCATTAATTATATTCTAGGCGATTCAAATTGTAAGACAAAAACCGTCAGCCTTACATAAAAGTCTGTGTCGTCGGCATAATATGCAGGGCATTTCACAGCACATCACACTTGGGCTGTCACCCTCGTCACCCCGATTTTTTTTGAAAAAAAATCTGATCCACAGGATATTGTAAACTATCGAGGTGGCGAGGGGTGTTTCGACTTTCGACACCCCCCCCCCCCTCCCTCCCACCTTATCGGCTCGTGCATCCTGGGACGGTTACGTAAAGATAAAAGCGGTAAACGGCGTTCGGAAGGTCGTCGAAATCGTGAAGGAAATGCGCTCGTCACTTTTTATGGTCAGGTCACCAGAGGTCAACAATGGCTAAATTTTCCTATTGACTTTGTCTTTGTGGGATATTCCCGAATCCCGCTTTCATTTTTTTTTTCTGAGAGAGCGTTTTTGGGTCGCCTTCCCAACAACCATCGTGTAACACACACCCGACACGCATGCTCTAGGCGGGCGATGCCTACAGATCACTTTCTGAATATCGCGGCGGATCGCACACCGCAAGGTACGCAGATCCCTCAAGGAACTCGGTCCTCTCACCTGGGGCCTCCTTTCCGCAGCCACGCTCCTGCCCAGCAGGCTCGTCACCAGCGCACCACGCTGGTGCCGCCCAGAGCACCAGCACCAGCACCAGCAGCGGGAGCCAGCGGACGGCGCGGCTGTGCTCCATGGCGGCCGCGGCACCTGTGCGGCACACCTGTGCGCCGGACCCCTCCGTCCGATCGGCCGTATCGCGCCGAACGCGTTATCATCGGCCGTGCCCCCGCATCGCACAGCTAATGTTGGCCAGTAGTTAACAGTCTGCTGGTTTTCGGCTAGATATCACAGCTTCTGGCTTTCGCATTACCCAATAGTTAGGTATGCTCGCCAATAGAAGCTACCACGGATGCTGCGGCTGCACTCTTGATCATAGGTTACTATAAAATCTTTCAATTTTGAACCGAAAATAAGACAGACGACATCCTCTTTCCATACTCGAAAAGGTCATGTCACATTCATCTGCTGTAGACTATTCGGTCTACAGCAGATTAAGTCACATTCAGAGGCTAATGCCGAAATATGACGACAGTGAAACGTCAACATCGGTTCACTTTTGCAATAGGGGAAGTTGGGGGAACGCCGAATACTTTTTTTCTGACGCCCGTAGCACGCAAGGTAGACAACATAAGCTATTCTTGTTGGCGTCATTCGAGAGGCCAGTCTTTTAACTTTCAAACATACCAGGCGCATTTGATGAATTCGCATACCGTTAAGCGCACAAACTAAAAATATCAAAGAAGTGACTTCTTCGGCGTTGCCCCGGACTGCGGGGAAAGCCGAAAATGGGAGAAATGACCTACGGGGAATGCCGACATTGATGTTTTGCCACTTTATCTCAAACTTTATCCAGAATTTATCAAAGCTGACACGCATTTTAACCCTAGAACGCCTAGGGGGGGGGGGGGTGTATCAACCCCCCCCCCCTGAGGTTTTTTCGAAGTGCACGCTAAACGGCTTGTCGTAGCGGGCTGAAATTTTCAATACCCTCTGGGGCAACCTTTGCGCATCTTTTACCGAAAAAAAAATTGATCGGGTCATGTCAGGTCACGGAGTTATGACGTCATAAGAGGTACAGCCTCCGGCCGACAGTTACCAAACGTGTGCGCCGAATCCCTAGGTTTTCTGCCGGTGATACCCACATTGTTTGATGGATCATGATGAAACTTCCCATGCATGTTGGGGCAAGCATTGGCTATCGTGTGGTGCAAGAAAATTGACCGGGTCAGGTCAGGTCACGGAGTTATGACGTCATAAGAGGTACAGCCTCCGGCCGGATTTTCACCAAGTGTGTACCGAGTCCCGAGGTTTTCTGCTGATGCTATCCACATTGCAGTGGATATCCACATATCTTTTCTGAGTCGTTACCTACAGTATTTATAGCGGAGCAGTGGTCAACAGCCGACGAATCGGGACAAACACCGGAGGGTGATGTGACACCATATCACTCATCAGCAATAGGCCTCTTACTTTTATAGGGTAAATACACCAAAAACACCATATATGATGCAGAATTGAGTGGGGAATACGTTGTTGAAGGTTTGAAGTTAATATCTCTCAACGTTTTGCCGCAATCGTTGCGCAAAGTTGAAAAAGTTTGATTTTTTCGGAAAATTTGACCTTTGACCGGTCATAAGTAGGTCAAATGTTGACCTAGGACCAAAAAAATATACCACCAATCGCGAGATCTCGTTGAGAGCAATCCGTTGGTTTTTTCCGCTAAGCTCTACGACCTTCCGTTTCGAAACGCCAGGGGGGTCGTAACAACCCCCCCCCCCCCTGGTCGTTCGTGTTATGAGAAATGGCCTGGTCGTGCGAGGGTTAAAAGCTTGAGGACGCTTGGTGCACACAGGAAGTTATAATTGTGTGATATAATAAGAAAATGCCAGGTAAATAATTCCTTATAGGTAACAGGCCGTTGTGTCGGTTGAAAGTGTAATTTGTGTGACTAAAAATTCGCGTTGCTATTCTACAGCAGTAAAGTCCACGTAGCGTGCTTTAACGTGCGTAATTGCACGTTTTCGGCATTACCCCAGCCAGCCATACTTTCATTTGCAGGCCCATAACTTTTCAACGTGCAGTATAAATTTCAAATAGGCAGCACTCTTATGCAAAGACATGCTGAAGATTACTTGACCGAATTGGCCAGACAAACGGTAGCATAATGAGTAAGAAATGCAGCTTCAAAGGCGCATGTAGTACAATGAACGCGTACCTTGAAAACGCTCTTGGCGCCCTCACAGCCGAAGTATTCCGAATGACGACTCGTAACAAACATGCGATAATTGTAGTCACTTAAGCTTCAGAGCATCACTGACAGGTGGCATCCATGTCTTACGGTTTTCGAAATATCTCGAATTTCGGCTTTGCCCCAACTCCGGCATTGCCCCAACTTCCCCTATGCAATTATATTTAGCCAAAATGCATCGACAAAACATCGGCATTCAGCAACCTCTCTCGGCGCCGCATCAAAAACACCCAGCTGAACGCTAATGGTCCTAGGTCTACAACCTCGGTACGTCACTCAGTTTATAACGCCCCACCCGACACACCACGCGGCACGCACACAATTTGCCACTCATCCCTTCACCAGTCATCGCCGTCATCATCCCAGCCGCTGTGCTGTTTGGGGCCATCAAAGTCCTGGCGCACATCATACACGAACTCGGGCTGGTCGGGACGCACCACCTGCCGGTTAAAGTGTTCGTCCATAGCGGCCTTCTTGCGGTCCAGCAGCTCCGTGGACAGCTGGTTCAGGTCCTCGTCAGGGTCGACCCGGAACTCGAGCTCCACCCGGGGCAGGATGTCCTCGACGCGTCCTCCGGACAGACCCTCCTGTTGGACACCCGGCCAATGTCAGCGCGGACATGTTACGTAAGAACGTGACATCCATTAACCCGCGCGGGGCTGGGGTCTCCAGCCGAACGCGCGGGGCTGGGGGGGGGGGGGGGTAAATTTTACCCCCCCCCCCCTGTTATCTCCCGAACTAACGGTCCGATTTGGAAAATTCAAACGCCAATCGAAAGCTCTCATCACGAACTACTAAAAACATGTACTTAATTTAAAGTTTGAGGTCAAGGTCAAGGTCAGGTCAAGGGTACAAATTGCAAGTTTCTACAGTATCGGCCTTGCACCGTAGTTGCCGAAGAATGGAGTCATGGACTGAGACTGATCGCCCAAAACGTGTTCTTAGGCTACCAAGACAATATTCGTTGCATACAATATCATTCAGAGGTCAAGGTCAAGGTCAGGTCAGGTCAGGTCAGGTCACCAAAAAACAAAATATAGAAAAGGGCATGTGCGACACATGTTTTATGGGTCATTTTACTCATAGAATTCAATAGGTACACTCAATAAGTGATATGGACCACCTTTGGATGAATTTCAGGTCGAGGTCAGGTCAAGGTCAGGTCAAGTGAGGTCAAATTTTGAAGTTAGTTGTTAAGGCCTAAAAAGGTGTCTATCTGATGCAGTTTTTCACGGCGAATCGAATGGTGCTATTTTTGTTTCCGTACGAGGTCTAGAACTTCCAAAAAAGTCATTTTTCAAAAAAATTGTGTGTCGTGACGTCATAAAATTTTGAATAACTCCCACATTTTTGAACCGATTCTTCTAAAATTTGGTATGTAGGTGCACATAGACCACTTCTCTGACATATATTCCGGTTTTTTCGATAGACTCAAAATTTTGGATTTTATAATGATTTTCCCAAAAAAGTCAGTTTTTTGAAAAAATTTAGGCCAAAATCCAAAATTTTCAAAAAACCGAGATAGCCATTTGATAGACAAAGTAAAATTACGTATAACCTTTTTTGTTACGTCTTGATTCCTTTAAAAATGAAGATGTTAGCGGCGTTTGAACTTTTGCCGTTTTTGAGGCGAAAATGACGAACATGACGTCACTAAAACGTCAATATCTCAAAAATTTTCCGACGGATTTCGCTCAAATTTTCAAGGAACGTGTCAAATTGATGTAAGAAAAGGTACTGAAAGTTTGGCGGCGCTGCGCGCCGCCGTTTTTGAGATATCGCAAAAATTCGCGAGGGGGGGGTAAAATTTACCCCCCCCCCAGCCCCGCGCGGGTTAACGGCAGATCGGTGTGAGGGGATGGGTTGGTTATGTGGGAGTTTAAAATGCCTCTACTCATTACCACGGCAGGATAAGAGGCACTGACCTGCAGGACGCGTAGCATCTTGAGCAGCTTGTTCTGCGGCACGGCGTCCAGGTGCGGCCGGTGCCGCTCGCGCAGCTCCTGGGCCACGCGCGCGCAGTTGCTCGTGGCCGTCAGACTTTTGACGGGCATTTTGCGGAGCCGCAGGGCGGCACCGCTCCGCGCCGGTCGGTACACCAGCAGCAGACAGGGTGGAGACAGGCGGATACCGAGCTTCACCGGCCGGCCCGCCTCCCCCTCAGCGGCGCTCGTCATCGGAGCCGGCTGTGCGGTCAGAACGGCCCGGGAGGGGGTCACACTCCTCCAGGGCAACACTCCTTACGCCTCGGCCAGGTAATAAAAAGTTGTTAAAATCGTTAGGTGCGTAAATAGTTGCTATGGTTAGGTACCATGTTTAAGATCAAAGTCGGGTCATCACGAGTTGAAGGATTTACACTCTCCCGATTGAAACATTTTTGGTGAAACAAACAACTAGGTACTTCGACTAAAAAAAAACTTTATGGTTCGACATACCAAACGGGTATGTGATAATCCACATCGGGATGGAAGCAGGGGCTTACTGATTCATATTAGAACGATAAAAAAGTACCAGCCACTGAAACAGTAACGACACCGAATCGACGCTGCCCACCTTACCCGTCTGACGACAGATCATCGGCAGATGTGGTCCAGCCGTCCGTCTCCTCTTCACTAGGGAGCACCTCCACAGGGACGTCGGACAGCGGCCACCGCCGCACTCCCGCCGCTGGAAAATAATCCATCGTCCCAGGGGACTGGAGGGAGGGAGGGGGCCTAACCGCTCGCCTGCCGTGCCGTGTGGGAGCCGGGATCAATAATGGGAACATGGGTGCGTTCCCCAGCGTAGTGGCCGATACTGAAACCAGTGGTTTGCGAGACTGCCAGCAGGTGACAGTATAGTATGTGCCTCGGTGCAATGAGTCCGCAATTGCATACCACTGAACTGAGTGTTCTGTAGATGCATTACGATAAATAAGAGATGATTCAAGTGCAGTCATGACTATGCGCACTTCTAGACCTGATGAGCCAAAGATCGCCAGGTCAATAAGGGCCTCATTTTATTGGTACGTAATGTGTCTAACGCTCGTCGCTCGCTGGCACGGGCTATTCTGACTCAGTAGCCACCGCGCCGGTTGACAGAGGCGCGGTGGCTACTTCCCAACGTAATTGGAATACGTTGGGCATAATTGTGTGGGCCTCCTTCTGTGAAGAGCAATACGATCATTTTATTTCAAAGTTCTGCGCTCAGTATAGATGCCGCCGACGAAAGTGGGCCGCACTGCACTGCATGACCTTCCCCACCCAACCCCCCTGCCCGTGCCGTCGAAGGATGCAGACTGATCTCGCAGGTCAGGACGGTCAGGTCAATGAACTGTGTCAACAACCAATGACCTTTCTCCAGAGAGCCGTTTATTCAAACATTCGAGCTAAATTTGTAAAAACGACCTAAGCGTTCAGGTATGAATAACTTTCGAAAGATGGTCAGAGACCGACAACAATTTTCTGGATCTCTTTTATGAATCTCTGTATTTTTAAGTGTCATCTATTTGCGAATCAGTGAGTGCGTGTCTTCGAGTTAGTGTTTACCTTGTGTGTGTATTTTATGATGTGGTATGACTTCGCCTGTTAATGGGCCTTGAGCCTGTTGGCGATTTATTTGAATAAATAAATAAATAAATAAACAATAGTTAGGTATAGGCATTGGAACATTTTTTCTTGATGAAGCGCTTCGAAAGATGTACGTACCTATGTTCTTTTTATTTGGAAAAAGGTCGAGGGCAGCTTCAATCTCAACTGAACTTAAATGAACTTGACACATGAACTGACATTTGTGCTTATGTAATCGCAGGCGCTGATCTAGAATTCCTATCTATTATGGTTGGGAGCTGAAAATAATATGACGACTGACGAAAAATGTGTTAATTATCCTTATAATAACGTCTAAGATCTACATTACCAACCCGTCTAGTGTCTATGCACGAGTAGTTATATACTCTATTCACGGCCAAATTATCATTATCCAACGCATAGGCGTCGGAACGGGGAGGACACCGGGGCACCGTGCCCCACTTTGATTTTGGCATTTTAACATTATAGCCCTATGGGCGTTGCATGGAAAGAATGGGACTAAAAGTCGGCAGTGCCCCCCCCCCCCTTAATTGAAGGTGATCCGCCGCTACTGATCCAACGTCTATGATATCGTAGCACATCAAATCTGCGACATCGCAGCTGGTCTCCCAAAGCCTCGGATGCTCTGCACTTTGAGCCGCACTTGCAATGAGGCTGTAGGGCCATGAGAGCTGTCAGAGATTATTCATACCACGGTGGGGGCCTATAACGGTCCGTCTGGACTTACGCCTACTACCCTGCCGACCCTCTACTACCGCCTCCCCTTCCCGCTGTCGATCTCTGCGCGTTCCGGGAACGTGTCGTCGTTCCCGGCGCGACTCTGCGCCGCGGGTCGGTCCGCCCGCCCGCCCGCCCGGCGCCGGCGGCGGTGTGTCCCGGTCAGAGCCGGAGGGCGGATCCCGGGGCGGCTGCGGCCCAGACGGGACACGCGGCACGCGCCCACGGCGTGACGGGAAGTGACGGCGCGCCGCCGACCGCAGAATGGACCGTCACATGCGCAGCGGGCCAGCGCTGACCGGCTTCGTCAACATGACCCGGCCGTACTCTGCACATGGCACGCGGCCATATCCGCCAGTGTTGTGCATTACACCCACGGTCGGCCCACGTGGGCACCGCCTATAAATAGGGCCAATGCGCCTAATATAATAACCGCAACGGTACCGCGGCACCGAAACCATTCCGGATCAGATTTACCTCAGGTATTCGCTATGCTGCCATTTTTCTCCCCAAAGGCTGAAACAGACCCCTTCGAATGTCGGAAAGGCGCATGGCGCATGGGAGAGCCTATGAAAATACACCCACTATCGACCGCATTTATTGGACGCACTGATAGTAAACTGATGCGAGCGTCAGCTGTTCTATTTAAATTGGCTCTCGCATTCGAATTTCCGAACTGCCGAAAGAGTCTGTTTCAGGTATTCTGTACACTGTTAGATGTGCCGTGTGCAAAAAATCTATGAGTATAATTGAACCTACAGATCCGCTCCCTCCAGTGCAAGTTGCAATGTGAGGAGTTTATTTATCCTACTTGAGACGCACTGACTCGCTCGCTTTACGCATTACGTGCCCTACGTTATCGGGAGGTGGCGCGCTCGAATTTCGATACCGTTCCCAATGTCATGCCGCGCCTACCACTAAAGCAGGCTCAATCGAGTCATGGTGATGCCATGGTGATGATTATTATTATTAGGTATTTTATTTTCATTATTTGTTTAGTTTTTTATTATTATTATTTTTGCTCAATAAGTTTTAGCGCGGCCTTTGAGTGGGATGGGACGCGCTGTGCCGGTGTAGATCAGGAAATCGCCGCACCAGTTCGGTGACCAGTATAGGTAATTACTTTTGATTCGGTCAAGAGAGCGTTATGTTACAGGCCACTGTGCATCTATTGGCAGGCGGCTCATCGGCTTGCGCACCGAATGCAGTAAATGTATTCATCGACAGTCGCAGAGAATGTAGCAGGGAGAGGGAATGCAGGCACTGGATGATAATAGACGCTTTTACCGGAAGTTCGAGGATATGATACCTTACGCAGGAAATGGCCGACGAATGTGTCGCGTCTTATTCATGATGACCTCGACGCTGTCTTTTCAAGTCTTTGGGCTTTCAAAGAAAGCTGGGAACAATTAGGCATCGAATTACCAACATGTATGGTTGTGTCTATTCGCCCACATGTCCGAAGAAGTGGGACCAGGGCAAGTTATGACTGCAATTTGACAAAGAACCAGAGGAGGACCGCGCGCAGATGGTGGATCGAGTCAGAGCGGGGCGGCGGCTCTGTAGCGTGGCTGTGCAGTGTGCACTGAGGCATGCCGGCGGCGGAGGTCCCGGCACCGCCCACCGCAGACGTATTCCGCTGCGCAGCGCGCCGGCCGGCCGGCCCGGGTCACAGGGACCGGCCGGCGCGCAGAACACTTTACGACGGTCACACTATACGGCGGCGAGCCGTCAGCGAAAAAAACGGGAGGGAGCGGCGCTTTTTCGGTGTGGCAGTTCTTTATAAAGAGCACTCTTAGCTAACATTTGGGCGCCATATAGCCTCGTTGCTGGTGCGCCCTAAAACACCAAATCATCATCATTAGCTAACATTATCTGTGGAAAACTGTAGTACTGTACAAAAAGTAAACGATTGATTATGCTTAACATGGGTCGATCAGGTTGATCAACGTCTACGGACAGTGGCAAAGCTTTATACCTAAGCTGAAGCCAGAGGGCGCTTTATGGAAAATGAGCCTTGTAAGCGGATGTTCCCATAAAATAAATCAGTAGACAGCTAGAATGTATGAGGCATGGCCATCCGACATGGATCGAAGCATTATCCGCATTCAAATTGACAATACCAAAAAAAGTTATCGGGCCTTGCCCCAGGCCAATTAACTGACATGGCCTCGAACAGTTTTGTCGTCTGTTAAGTGAATAAATAGGCATCTTAACACTTATGGGATATCACCATCAACTTCATTTCGGATTCGACGACCATTTCGGTCTGAAAGATGCTCTCGGGACCTCACAACTTCGACGGACAATACGCAACGCACTAAAATGAAAGAAATGATAGGGTTAAATCAAATGCAGTTTGAAAGAATTAAAAGTAACGTTCTATTCCCACATCACAAACCTTCAAGTAAGCACACAAGCGATGCCTTTAACCCTCGCTCGTATAGGAGGGGGGGGGGGGGGGGGCGAACGGACCCCCTTCTCGGTTTTTGCGAATAAAACCAGGGGGAATGAGAGGGGGGCGAAACGCCCCCCCCCCCCATACGGGTGGTAGGGTCCGCCGATAGCCATACGGGGCGCGGGTTAACAGAATTGGTAACATGTTACAAATTCTGTCATAGAACCGGAATTGCGCGATCGGATGGTAAAGGGCAGGGCAAACGCAACAAGCTTCGCTTAGCGAGGACTCTGTCCTTGTGAATCCTGCCATTCAAAAGCAAATTCAAAAGGTTTTTTTTTAGTTATAAATTTAGTCCGAACCTTTTGATGGGAAGGATTCACAAGGACAGAGCCACCGCTAAGCGAAGCTTGTTGCGGTGACCCTGCCCTCTACCCTCCGATCGCGCAATTTCAGTTCTATGGCAGAATTTAGAGTCCAAAGTTTAACGTGCGCACATAGCCGCGCACGGCCAGTCCCCTCACTGACTTCACCTGGCTACGGCCTCCCACCAACCGCAACCATACCTGTCAAGAGGCCCATAAATGTCAACCGCCCGTCGCGCTTCGAACCCGGACTGTTGTAACAGGGAACGCGTGCTCTCACCACGCGGAGTCCAACGCTCTACCAACTGAGCTACGGGACCGGCTCGGACTAAGGTTCGGACTAAATTTATTAAAAAAAAACTGTCAAAGGCGGCTGGCAGCTACTACAAATACCTGGCAGGACCCCTACTGGTTGACCTGACCTGACACGACCTGACCTAAATGCATGAAGACATCATCTGTGGTCAAAACTCACATGATATTCGTGATCAGCACCCCGAAAAAAAAACATAGCACCCACACTTTACGACGTCCTAGCAGGTCCCGATCTTCCCGACTTGTGGGTCATTGACCTGACCTGGAAGGTCAGCCAATGACCCAGGACCTTAAAATTGGGCATCCTTCCTCCCGTTACGGGCAGCACGCCCGTTTTTTCTGCGAAGCTCTAGCTCGATCAGCGAGGGTTAAATTTTCTCTACCGCTTCTGTTTGATTCGGGCCCCTTTCCATCTTATGCATAAAGATTTGCTCTAAGTAAAGACTATGTCAGTAGGTCCTCCCGGGTCCGTTCAGGGCCCTCTTTGACCAGTCCCTTGAGATATTCCCTAAGCATCGGAAAAACTGTACCGTCGCCGGCTCCCCAGATCAGGACCACTTCCATTGATTGTAGTTGGTAGATGACCGGAGTCAGGCATTTGACCTACGCTATGAAATTTGATAAAAATGGCGAGATCAAGCTGACGGTCTGACCTATCATTCGGTGGCTCGGGAGTCGGGGAAAAATTTTACTGCGCACACGGAATATGCAAAACCGGGAAATAACGAATTACAAAACTTACGCTACCAGTTGACAGAATCGAGAGGGAATATTCAAACAGCGGCCAGCAGGGCGCATGTTTCCCCACTACAGACCCGGAAACTCCATGGACGCATCATCCCAGACCTTACGGAAAGCAGCCGTCTGGCGATTCCTGCTGCCTACCCCTTTCGGCCCCAAGTCGCGCAGTTGCACGTGCCGGCATCACCGTCGTCTGCCGGGCGGCCTCCCCTCCTCCCCCGCCGGCGGCGCGACGCCCATTCACCGAACGGTGCACACGGCGTCACCGGTTGGCCGAACCCCCGCGGCGTCTTCTCGGGCGCCGCTGCAGTGCATGACCCGCATGGCAGGAGTGACGTCATACCCGCGGCAGTGTGATGGTGTGACGTCAGTGGCAGCATCAGCCGCGGCGCGGCGCGTTTTCTCCGTGCTCGCCGCCGTCTCCGGCCGTCCGCTATATAAGACTGACGGAGGGGCGTACCGGCAGTAACGGGACCGCAGGGTCGCGCGGGGTGACAGAACGCTCGACTACGAGACACGGAGATCGGCTGAGCCATGGCGGCCGCGCACGTCATCTGGCTGCTGCCGCTGCTGGTGCTGCTCGCTGGCTGCGGCCTCTCACAGACGGCCGTCCCCAGACAAAATACCGGTGAGTGTCCAACGCGGCCAAATAGGGCAGCGCTCAGCGCTCAGTCAACCCGCCAGCTCTGGCACTGACTACCCCCCTTGCCGTTTCAATCTTATTGGGCTAGGATCCCTTTATATAAAAAGCGTAATGGCGGTCGCAGGACGCAAGGAGCAAACAGCACCACTTTTTTTTCTTTTTGTCTCCGGTCAGTCGATTCCCTCTGAGCCCATGTTAACAACCAAAAGATCAGATTCTGGTTTTAGGCAAGTAAATAAGTTGAGGGTAAAATGGTAAAATGGATGCATAGCGTCAGCTCGACACGCTCGCGGTTGTTATGTGTCGTCGAATCGATTGATGCGTTTTTTTTTAGACGTCTAAATAGGCGTTGACCTTAGGCCAAGGGGAGGTCAAAGTCGGCCATTTAAGGATGATCAGATCTGATGAGAACGCTTAATATGCCTCGGCAATCGACATATATAATTCGATTTCGCCGCCCATTCTGAAAAGTGAAAACATAGTTATTGTCATGTTCGATTGACCAGCTTAATTTGATCGGAAGTTATCGAGGAAGGACTCTGATGACCTCAAGTAAGCGACGTCACTCAACGTTCAGGATAACAAAAGTGAGCATCGAGCTTTCCGTAGAGAGAATGAGTAATGACGCTAAGATTTCAAGGCTTTAGAAGGGCTTAGGTCATTTCCGGCACTATATAGGCAGTTGCAGTATTCCTTCGTTGAGCTATAATGAAGGTGAGCATGAAGATCACATGACCGAGCTGACCTCAGGTCTTGACAAGTGTGAAAAACATACGTACCTGCATTGCACAAATTTGTAAAGTTGTAAGAGTAATCAAAGTTGTAATACTAGCAATCACTGTCGGATCCAGAAATGCGATCTTGTACGCTGCGTGGGGACATTCCTACCCCCAAAAATTGTTCTCCAATGCTCCAATGTCCAAAACTCTCCGGATTTCGACTTCTTATGCATTACTGAGCAGTTGGAAGCAAACTTTTCATGATAAAAGTTGTTTTGTTTTCTTTTTATTGTAAAAAAGCAAAACTGTTGCTTTCGGGCGACGCTTGGTGGAGGGGGGGGGGGGGGATTATCTGCACAAAATGCCCCCTAGATCCACCAGTTAGTTATGAATTGTGTTTTTTATTTCTGCCATGATCATTACATATATAATGGGTAAACAATTGATTCCTCGTTAAAGCTCACCAGTCTATTTGTTTTGGCAAATGACTGAACAAGCAGGTCACACCTAATCATGTCGACGGCTGTATCGTAGCGATACGATGACGATGACTTTCGATATAGTAGCGTTTCCCAGTCGCGCGATGAAGTAAATGCAACAAACGCATTTAGATTCGGTTCTGAATTCTGATTCCCAGACCCACATCCTTTTCGGGTGGCCAAAATGTTTGTATGTAAAAACTGGTAGTCATTGGACCATGCCTAGCCAGTCACATGGTTACGAGCACATGGCAGCTCAGTCTGTGTTTACCGTTGTTGAGTTGGGAGCACGGTTACATGTTCGGCGGGCCAAGCAGCAATGTTTATATCCATACGTTCTGTTGCTGGACAGTGTGTTTGACTTTTGGTCCACTGACTACTGACCGGTCAACCGGACAGTCTTAGCGGTCGGCATGTCAACGGGTGGTCACCATAACAAGGGGATACCCGCCCCCTGGGAGGATCCCCCCAGAGACGTCCGGTCGGAGAGGGCGGCGTGAATGGGAACGTTCAAATGGGAGCCGAGGAACCAGAGGCCGGGAGCTAAGACAGTAAAGCTAGCTGAGCACTGACCACTCATGAGCAGTCAATATTTTTGAACTGAAGAGCTGGTGAGCTTACGTCGACAGTTGATTGGATCGTCTTCACGTGTAGGTATATACCCAATATACCCTAAGAGCCATGCATCCAAAATTTGTGCCGTTTACGGCTTCAAGTTCAGTCGTTCCTCATTTATGATCGTTTAACTAGAAACTGCGTATCTCAGCTAAATTGCGAATATATTATTGCAATTATAATTGAGACCGAGTTGACGTAAACGTTTTGTAACATATGTGCCGTTATACCGGCACGTTGTCGGAATAGATCCAAACATAATTTGTCATGAGAACAGCTTATTATGTAAGATACATCGCTTGCCTTCGTCAAGCAAGAGGTCAATAGGGAAGCAAGGGACCAAACACTAAAAACTAATAACAAAGACGATGACTGACTGCCTGGATCATTAATGAATGAGCATTGATTCATTGAATGGATATTTCGATAGCGTGGGCCGGCAGTCGCGACAAAAAATGGCCCGCCACGGGCAGAGAGCTGCGGACGCCGGAATCCCACCGCGGACGCTCGGAAACTACGGGCTGTGCGCGGCGCACTCAGCACCACGAGGTCATGTTTTCATAGGAGCATGAGCGCTCAACACTGTGCGTGCATACTGCATATTTTCACAGAACTAGTGTGGACTTTGCTCTCTGGCCGAGAACTTCTTCTCCTGCGCAGCTGGCCGCGTCCTTGCCCCCGATCCTGAGCAGCGGACCATGCGCGGCGAGTCCGGTCCACGGCTGGTGGAGGGACGATAACACATCCCACCCCAAACAGAGCCACGTGGCGCGAGTGCGACGCCCACCATTATTCTTCATCTGTGTTTATTTCTCTTTATGATGTTTAGTCTGTATGCGCAGGACCTGTCATAATTCTCTTTCAGATGGTTATCATATGGTGTCATTATCAACGCAGTTGGATGCGTGGGAGGAAGGGGAAAAATACCAAGAAATACGCAACGCCTGCTAGGGCAGGGGCAGGTCTTAGCTAAGGGGATCAGCAGAACTAGTACCGAACTAAGGCATTGCCTTGGTATCCTGTCCCGGTGGTCACTCTCCCAAAACATCGGCTGTTTGCTGTCCTCGGTCAAAAATTAAAGTTATGCAATGGTTAGCAAAAGTTAAGGGCAGACGGTTATGGTTGATTATTTATTGGGTACTGCAGGACACTGAAGGTCTGTCGTAAATAATGGGGTGTTCGTTCATACCCTGGCGGAGACTCGCAGAGGTCGCGTAGTGCGTACCCTGCGTAGTTTGGGGTAGTCGGTCGTCCACACCCTGACGGAGACTAGCAAAGGTCGCGTACCCTGAGCAATGTAGGGTGGTCATCCTCAGCCCGGCGGAGACCCGCAAGGGTCACGTACCCTGTGTACAGTATGTAGTTATGGGGCGGTAACGCTCACCCTCGCGGCGGTTGCCGGTTGTCGGCAGACCGGAACCGCGCCGGAAGGCAGCGTCTGAGCGGGCCAGGCCCGATACGATAGTAGGATGTCCACAGTGTCTGTCCATCCGGCGGACGCTGCGGTCGAATAGATCGCGCCATGTCATGACGCTGGAGTAACGGAAAGTCCCATCGGAGATAAATGGAGGAGAGGGCTCATGCTTTCCGGTTCGATTGGACGTTACACATGGGACCAATCAAAACACAGACATTGGAGCCGATATCACGGTTCAGGAGAGAAATGTAAAAATGACATGTCTACATAGTCCAGACACTGGCCATGGATCGTCGTGCGATGACCGGTCACTGACCTCGCTCTGCCGACCGCCAGCCCCCGGCGAGGGCTGCCTGGACGGCCAGTTCCACTGCGCCAACGGGCGCTGCGTCATCGAGCGCTGGCGGTGCGACGGTGACGACGACTGCGGCGACGGCAGCGACGAGGACCCGGTCGAGTGCGGTGAGTGACCCACCGCGGCAACGGGCAGCTGGACCCGGCCGAATAGGCACGTTATCATGAGCAGGCAGGTTATACTTGCACCGACGACAGGCTGCCATGGTGGCAAAGTGATACAATTGCCAAATATTTATGGTTCAAAATCAGAAGATATTTTGTTTTCAGCGCTCTAGCACTGTTTACATTCTGAAGGTCGTGTTTTAGTTCATGCTCACTGGTGACCTTGTCAGCGGCCTGCGCTGACTACGGCTGCAGATAGTCACTGACCGTGACTGTGACCGTGTTATCCGCAGGCGAGCGCGCCTGTCGCGCCGACCAGTTCCGGTGCACCAACACGAGCAGCGGCGCCGTCCAGTGCGTGCCGGCCTCGTGGAGGTGTGACGGCGCCGCCGACTGCGCCGACGCCAGCGACGAGGCCAACTGTGGTAAGTCGAGAAACAGAACATCCTCGGCGGGAACGGACCCAACAAGGGCGGGCGAGATCCTTCCTGAAGTGGCACGAACCCTTCCCTGGGCGAGCTAGAGCCTTTCCTAAGCCGGCACAGACGGGCGGAGTAGCAGACCCTCTTCACTTTTCTTAGCAAGCATAGACGGGAAGAACAGCAAGCCGCATATGGAAGAAGGCACTTAATACTAATAGTGGCTTCCTGTTTTCGAATTTTTATCGCGTATTTTAGTTTTTTTTTTACCATTGATGACTATCGACAGACAGTTCCATATTTGCTGGCATACATGCTTGAATATCTGCTCTTGCCGACACCAACCACAGCCTACAGCAGCGGCATATTACCGAGATTTTCCGCTCTGCTTGCAGCCCAGTCCTGCACGCCAGAGCACTTCACCTGCGGCGACGGCAAGTGCATCAACAAGCGCTGGGTCTGCGACGGAGACAACGACTGTGACGACGGCTCCGACGAAATAAACTGCCAGGTGAGTGGCGCACAGTGCTGCTGTCAGGCAGTTCAGCTTTGTCAACTACGATACCGCTGTGTGCAGCTCCTGCTCATCTACTCGAAATAATGTAAAGCTCAGCTGTCCGACGATTGATGGCTGGCGATGCCTAGTTTGAATATTCCCAAATGGTAAAAGGCTTCTTCTAGCAGCGCCTGAGCCCCAGCAGTCATTGCCCCTTACCTATAAAGCCCCACTTTTCGGCATTAGTCCGTACGCCGGCTCCGAACGCCCGACACACATCCGGCTCCGCTCACGGTGTGGCCCCTTTCTCCGCAGAGACCGACGTGCAACTCGGCGTCCCACTTCACCTGCTCCAGCGGCGAGTGTGTGTCAGCCGCGGCGCGCTGCGACGGCGACAGGGACTGCGTCGACAACTCGGACGAACAGGTGAGTGTCGTCCAGTGTTGGAATTTTCGTTTTCGCTCCTGGTCTTAGAGAATATAACCTCTCCGGAGAAGCAACCAGCTTTTAGGACAACCTACCGTAAAACCATATGTTTCGCCTACTAAATGTTATAACTGATAAAATGTGTCACTTCCAATGCTAGGTATTTCTGCATTTTTTAGATGCAATTATAGCAGTTTTTCATCATACAGATAAGAAAATTTAGAAGATCCTAGGTCCTGGAGCATTAATTTGTAAAGAACAAAATTTTGCTGACCTGACTGGGACCAGAAAAGGGTCTTATTTCCAGCACTGGTGTCGTCCTCTACCGACCGACAACGGCAGCGGCCGTACCCTTCCGCCCCAGCTACCCAAGCGTCAGTAGATCAGTCGATCACTCGATCAGTCAGTAATTGGATATGAGCCTGTACGAGTATCCGTGACTCCCGTCCATGTCAGTGTAATGTGTTAGGTGTCCCGTTCCACCGCTGACCCTATCTCCCACCCCTCTCCTCTTCAGGGCTGTCCGGCACCCTCAGACGCCGGCGGAGCGCAGTGCCGGCCGGGCGAGGTCAAATGCGGTGACGGCTTCGTCTGCATCTTCCACGCGTGGCTGTGTGATGGCGACGCCGACTGTCCGGACGGATCGGACGAGGACCCATCCAGGTACCGAACGAGGTGGTTCCCCTGTCACACGGAACATTTATCATCCCTCGCCGCGGGCCCTGCATCTCCCGTATCGCTCCGCTCACGGAATGTTGCAATGTATTGGGGATTTCCCATTCGGTCCACACTGGCTGATGCCGGATACGATCTCGGAGAGAAAAGGGAGGGAGGTATGTCGGCAATGCCTTCCTGTGAACTCGAGTGACCGCTGACGTATGCGGAGGTGTGACCAATGCTGAACCCGTTCGTAGAATCTCCTTATCCCTGTCGTGGGTTGGCGACCGTATCGTGGATGTATGTGGCCGGTCCCGACCTGTTGACCCACACTGTTACCCGTTGTGACCCACTGTGAGCGCTGCTGAGTGCTGACCCTCTCTATGACCTACTGCAGGTGTGGCACTCAGTCGTGTCGGCCGGACCAGTTCCAATGCGGCGGCCTGGGCGAGTGCATCTCTCGGAGCCTGGTGTGCTCCGGGATGCCCGACTGCAGGGACGGCAGCGACGAGGCCAACTGTGGTGAGTGCTACCGGCGACTGATGGACCTTCAGTCACATGATCACTGAAACTGCATGTTTACCTTTGGAGTTGCAAAAGAGCAACCTTTGGAACGAGCGCCATCTGTGGCTCAAAAATATATCCCCAACATATGTATCACGAATTCCTACCAAACCACGACCGAGGGCGAGGGTACGTGGCGAAGCCAAGAATGTCCCAAGTAAGCACATATGGTGTGACTCAAACTTGTGTTATGTCCACAGAGGGATGTGACCCGGAAAGCCAGCTGCGCTGCGAGAACGGCACCTGTGTGGACGTCTCGCTGGCCTGTAACGGCATCAACGACTGTGGCGACGGCTCGGACGAGGGCTCCCAGTGCGGCTCGTGCGCGCGGAGTAACGGCGGCTGCAGCCACGGCTGCCAGGACCTGCCGGGCGGCCGGCGCTGTTCCTGTCCGGACGGGTACCGGCTGGCGGCAGATGGCACCAGCTGCCAGGGTGAGCGGCATACGACTCGGAGAAAGGCGTAGCACGCTGTGACGATATGGTCACGCCATTGATTTAATTCTCTCTACACCCAAAGTTTCTGAAAGATGCCCAAGCGATTCGCGTTCTTTTCCTCATTTCGTCCTCAGCTTCTTAAAAAACGAGCATACCGACCGTCACGATCCACAGCGACTGATATAAAACTTCGTATCGCGTTTCAGACATTGACGAGTGTGAGAACCCGGGAGCCTGCAGTCACATCTGCATCAACCAAGTGGGCCACTTCAAGTGCGAGTGCCACGCCGGCTACGTACGCGACCCCAGCAACCATGCTTTCTGCAAGGCACAGCAGGGCCACGCCAGCCTGCTGGTGACGCACAGGTCAGTAGTGCTTGCAAGATGCTCTTGCTCTGCAACAACCAGAACGGTTGTAGATTTCAAATATCAGTAGACCAATGTTCCATTGTTTGGCGAGTCCCGATCCCAGCCTCTCGACAGATCCGTCAATCCGAACTCAATCGCCAAAACAGAACAAGACACGTCAAGTTCTGTTGCCATTTGAGGAACCATTGTGGAGATGAGAATGCTGACATCGAACTATTACCCACCATAACCAATAAACCAGTATAACGCCTTTTGGGGCGACTAACGGAGCGAGCGAGAGGGTGGGCCTTGCACGTGCGAAATTGCGAGGGGGTACCTCCAACTGACTTGTGCACGGCACCCTACTAACTGGTCTCTAGCGATGTGCCAAATTTGGGCACAATCGGCCCAGCCGTTCTCGAGATCTGGAAGCGGCACCCTGCACGTGCGCACGTGCAAAATGGGTCCCAACTGACTTGTGCACGGCACCCTACTAACCGGTCCCTAACCGTGTACCAAATTTGAGCGCAATCGGTCCAGCCGTTCTCGAGATCTGGAAACGACCCCTGCACGTGCGCACGTGCAGCAGCACCCCAACTCTGGCACATGTATATGCAGTGCCTAGTGGGTGCCTACCTACATGCCAACTTTCAGCGCAATCGGCCAAGTAGTTACCGAGATATTGCAACAATTACAAAAGTGACACCTCTTCGTTTTGCACGTGGCACGTGCATAAGGGGTCACCCACATGCATCGGGAATAGTCCAATACTTGGTAGAAGGAATGAAGCTACCCTACAAAAATTACCGCGTGTAAATCGGTCAAGTGGTTGCTGAGATATAAGCCTCGCAAAAGCGTGACCACGGCCGGCCGGCCGGCCGCTCATACTCAGAAATTTCCGTTAATCTAAGGAAAGACTACGCTCGCTTCGCTCGCTCCGTAATTACATATACAGAACCTGGCTGTGTCTTTCTGGCATGCGGTTATCGCCAGTCCCCACCCCGTCTGACGTTCCGTCGCGGTATTTGCAGGACAGACATTCGCCAGGTGGGCCTGCACCGTCGCGAGGTCACGTCACTGGTGAACGACACCAACGCCGCCACCGCGGTCGACTTTGACTTCCGCGCCGGCACCGTGTACTGGGCGGACGCCATGGACCGGGCCATCTACAGGTAAACGAGGCTTGTATGATCTCATGCCAAAGACAGTCTAAAAACTTTGTGGCACGATAGTACATTGATAGCACCTCAAGCACAGACTGCCACAAGCAGCCAGTGAGCGAATAAGCAACGTGCCTTTCCCGAGAATCGAACCCGGCTGTAACTCCTGCACGTCGTCCGCAGCGCGCCGGCGGAGGACGGGTCGCGCCGCTCGGTGGTGCGCGTCGCGGTGCGGCCGCAGGGTCTGGCGCTGGACTGGGTGCACGGCCGGGTCTACTGGACCAGCTCGGAGCCGGGCAGCAGCGGCGTGCACACCGCCCCGCTCGACGGCTCCTACCAGCTGACCGTGGTGTCCGCGGAGACGGCCGAGCCGCGCGCCATCGCGCTCGATCCCGTCGCCAGGTGAGGGAGCACACCATGAGAATGATAGCTACCTAGTCCAGCATATCCTGGTCTGATTTGTCCATCGACCACACTCATCTACCACGGACATCCCGAACTTTACCTCCTTATTTCATGCTTTGAAACCAAGGGTTGGTGTCGAATAAGCCCCCGCAGTATGATGGCGTTGCGTTGCGACTTCCTTTTTCATTTACTTCGGTCAAATTTCAATGCTCGCCTGACCCAGACGTTGTTCCAAGCAATCACTTTTAAGTACCCTGGCTCCGAGCGCTGAACGGCGGGCGTCGTTTCAGGTGGATGTACTGGACCGACTGGGGCACCGTGCCGCGGATCGAGCGCGCCGGCCTGGATGGCAGTCGGCGCCGCACCATCGTCGACACCCAGCTCCAGTGGCCCAACGGACTGACGCTGGACCTCGAGAGGCGCAGAATCTTCTGGGTGGACACGCGCCGAAGGGTGAGCACAACGCACTGACACAGAGCCGCGGGACTGTGACTGAGGCTGCAGTGGCACGGGGTGTTGGAGAGATTAGACTGTCAGAAGTTTGGTGGGGAGTGGTATCCCAAGTTCACTGCATCGAACCTTTAGATATCAGCGTGAGCGTCAACGATCGGGCTTAACTTACATTCACAATGACATATGCTGCTTGCTGGTGCTAGTCTTTGAAGTTCTTTTCTTATTTGCTCTGTTTCGGTATCAGCAACTGTGATCGTAAATGTGCACTCTGCAATGCACGCCAAATACCTACCACTAAATACCGCGCCTAGACACACAGACTGCCCAGCTTGGTGACGCCTCTGCTAATCCGTCGGCAGGTGCTGGAGAGCGCCAACCTGGACGGCAGCGGCCGGCAGATCGTCATCAGCAGTCCGCAGACGCTGCACAGGCCATTCGGCATCGCCACCTTCGAGGACAGCGTCTTCTGGAGCGACTGGGAGCGCAGGGCCGTCTTCAGCGCCAACAAGTTCACCGGCGACCGCGTGGCCGTCGTGACCCGCCTCGGATCGGTGAGTCCGACTTTTATTAGGATTTTCTTGGTAAACTGTGTTTGGAAAATGGGTTCTTATTGGGCTAGGTGAGTTGGAAACTTTGGCTCGATCTGTAATTGCTAGGCGTGTCCCAGCAGTCCGCGTCACGACAATTCAATGAACATGTCCGGTCTCACGAAGTGCCGCAAGCGATGCTGTGTGGCCGGCCCGGAGCGCTACGAACTGACGTCCCTCCCCCTTCCGGGTCATTTCAGCTGCAGTTCGAGTCGGACGTGCGGGTGTACCACCCGTATCGGCAGCCTCCCGGCAACAACCACTGTTTGTCCGACAACGGCGGCTGCTCGCACATCTGCCTGCCGGCGCCGGACGAGCAGCGACCCACCAGCTGCGCCTGTCCGTCCGGCCTGCGACTGGGCGACGACGGCCGCACCTGCTCACAGCAGCCGTCAGGTGAGAGGCGGGCTGCGAGACACGAACAGTCAGCCGGGATATGAGAGCCACCCGGTCGACTATGACCAGCGACCCTTGGCTACTGAAATGTCACAGAGAGTCCAAGGAGACCTTAGACAGTAAGACTTAGACAGGTTTTGTGATGTGACTATGCCCGGTAGAGCACTCTGTTGTGTCATAAGCCCTTTTGACTGGCCCTCACCAGAGTGCTCTTCACCTCTGACCGCGCACCGTGCGACGCCTTTCTCAGAGGATTCCGGTGAAGCGCAGACGCCGTCGTCCCTGTCTCCGGCGGCTGCGGGACACCAGGCCATCTCCTCGGAGGACCAGTCGGGCACCACGACAGCCGTGGCCGCCACCGCTGCTGTGCTCATCATCGTCGTCGCCGCCGTGGTGAGTAGCACCTGCACGTGGCTGGTCCGCCACCGGCCGAGTGGCTCAGTCCGCTGCGTCGCTCAGCTACATAGAGCATAGTACCATCCTTACCGGGCGGCTCAGTCCGCCGCGGAGCCCAGCTACCGGCCGTGCGTGTATAATGCGAATACCAACTGCAGTATAGTCAACTACATGACATTGATCATGGGATGTTCTTCTTTGCCTCCTGCTGACCAAACTACCTGTGCACAAGCCTCCACACTGGGCGGCACGGTTCATATGTTCCAAACACCCGAGTGGATCGTTTGAGCACACGGTGTCAACCTTCCGGCGGGGTATGATAATCGTACCTTCTTCTGTCCCCAGGCTGGGTTCCTGGTATACCGTCGCGTCAATGCGAAGGGCTTTCGGAGGTTCGACAGTCCCTCGTACAGCAAGTCTCTGCGCGACGTGGTGAAGCTGCAGAAGACCAGAATACACAACTCTCCGTCCGCGACAGATGACGAGGTAGGATGTCACCGATGACGAGGTGGGGTGCGAACGGCAAATGCCACTAAATGTAAGACTTACAACGTCTTCCAGTGCGTTGTGTGAGATCAGTCCGCATATGGCTTTTACTCAAGACGCCGGTCTATTGAGCTTTAGGTTGTATCGGCCAAGCCTCGCCACCCAGGCTAAATAGGCGAACGCCAAAACGGCATGCCTAGATGGCACTGTTAACCATATCAGGACCCACGTCGCTGAAAATACGCAACATTCCCGAACCTTACGTTCTTCTTTGACTGGCAGGTCCTCATCACTTCGGGCGAGCGGCGAGAGGCGGCCTGATCTCAGCTAAAGGCGGCCCTCGACTCCAATGCAGCGTCAGCGTCTGCGTTTGACACCGGCCTCCATAGCAGTCTGCGCTTCCCCCGACATTGTTGATATGTAATGTCCGGCTATGTCACTTTTGTACCAGTTACTACGGCAAGTCGTGGTCTTCAGTGAGCCGTGAGGCAAAATTGACTGAGGTGTCTCAACTAGGGTATTGATCCCCTCCATCGACTTTTCTCTCTGTCATTTATATTCCAACGGCGTTTTCAACAGTCTCAACAAGAAAAATATGCCATGACCTGAACTGCCAACATTTTGTCTGAAGTGCCACAGATTGGTACTTAACAGGCAGGACTTTGACAAGGTTCTACAAGGGAGTGGAGCGTAGAAGCCCAAGTGACTTTACTAGTCCATATCAGACATTTAGTCCTTCTCGCCTCCTATATCCCACGTTCCTCGCTGGTGATATGCAATGTGCATCTCCATGTCGTGTTATCATTTGGATGGACAATGGACATACCAAATCGTGTGATGTTACTTGGGGTGCACAGGGAAATGATGCATGTGTCAACTGTCAAGCTTGGTGTAGTTACCGCTGCGCGATGACCTACGCTGGCAAATACGAGGTATGCTAACTAACGTTATAGCGAAATGAAGACATATCACTCAGCCTCGACAAATGGCACATTGTGCTTAATCCCATTGGCCTAATTACTTTGGCCGCGGGTACGCAATTCCAATTTTTTTTGTGTTTCATCTGAAAACACACGATTAGTCACCACAAGACCACATATTCGCCACGCGTCATTTTCATTTTTCGCATTATTCATTAATCGCAAGAACATGCCTTAGGTGCAATGCGAATAGGGCCACTTATCTGCCTTGTATGCATCGTGTTGTTAGTCACGCGTAGTCTATGATGTATCAAATGTCTAACCAATACGACGGATAGTACGGAGCTGTGTCGAAGCGCCAGTCTGTCTTCTTTGAATGTGTGAGTACTTATGTCGACTGTTTATGCTGATCGTATTGTGCGAATGGTCCCACTGCAATGTTCCTCTGTGTAACACTCATTTGATATCATGCTCTGATTGCTTTGTCACTCGTTTAATTTAACTTTAACTAGGGATATAGCGTTAAGATGTTGATTTCGTTTCTCCATGTAAGTCCGTTCTTTACTTCGCGTGTGCATATTAGTTATGGAACGTCTTGTAGCTTGCTGGCGCCGTGTTATGCATAACTGGACATTGTGATAGCTGTGTGAAAGGAATGATGACAATGTGAAGCTCAGAGCGTGAAAGTGAAGCTTTGTGTGTACAATGAGTAGTATTTAAATTACAGTGTCTTAGCTGTACTGTGTACGAGCGAAAAGTCTGTACCATAATGGAGTGCGTTCTTTTGACCCCGTCGGGTCAGTGTAAATAAATACATATGCAATAATATGAGTGATCTTGCCTCGTGATCGGGAGAAAAATGCCTTTTTTTACCAGCCACTCTGAAAAGCAAAGACCCACTTTCAACATGGGCTGACAGGAATTGGTCTGATTATTTAAGTAGTTGGTTTTGTAGCTTGAGTTTTAAAAAACAGTAGCTTTCGGGAATCGGGGTCAAACAATCTACGGTTTGATAAGTCGGTCTAACAATGCTTCATGATTGTGGTGAGAAGATGAGATAAAAAGGGATCAGGGATGAGGGGAGAGGGAGGTTGGAATACCCGCTGCCGAAGGGAAGCTGCGCTGGGACATCCGTCGGATATCAGAGGCAAGCAAAACAACTATGGAGGTCATTACGCTAAACAGGAAATTTCAGCCGGCTTTTCCGACAGGTCTGGCCGTTTTGGATGACGTCTAAGTTCGGTGCTGCCTCACATCTGGCGGCCGCGTGTGACGTCACCTGCCGCGCGGGCTGGCCCCATCTCCCAAACAGACGGCGGCCATATGAGCCCCCAGGCCGGCGGCTGGGCCCAGTGGTGGGACCGACAGTGGGTTGAGCGCGCCCGCCAGACTCGGTCGCTCAGTGCGCCCCTCGCAGTGCCGACATGAAGTACACGCCGCTGCTGCTGCTGGTGCTGGCCGTCTGGCCCGCGCTCTCCGCCGCCGACTCCGACTATGGCCCGCTGCAGTTCCTGTTCAACCACTGCGACGATCAGACGGAGGAGGCCAGCGGCGTGGGCAGCTGCGTGCGCCAGCTCCTCCGCGACGCGCTCGACCGCGCGCGGCCCAGGTTCTCCACCGGCTTCCAGGTGGGCAACGAGACGGTGATCCTGGAGCCGCTGAAGATGCCCAAGCCAGAAGGTGGTCGCCAGGGGCGCTCCAACAAGCTGGAGATATCTGAGGCACAGATGAAGGGCCTGTCGAAGGTGCAGATCGACTCAGTGCTATTGACGGAGAACGCCGCCGCCGCCAAGGTGGAGTTCCCCGAGATCTCGGGGGAGATGCGGGGGAAGATCCGCTACGGCTTCCTGCCGATCCGGGCGACGGTGAAGGTGCAGCTGAACAACCCGCGCCTTATGGTCGGCTCGCACTGGTCCGTCAGCGACGGCCAGCTACAGCTGGAGGAGCCGCACGCCCAGCTCTGGCTGGACAGCTACAACGTCACCATCAGCGGCTTCGGCAGCATGGGCACCACGATAGCCACCAACCTCAACGACAACCACAAGGAGATTATCGAGTTTCTGCGGCCGTCGCTGGAGGCGGCCGTAGCGCGCCGCCTCGGCAAGATGAGCCAGGACGAGAAGGAGGCTGTACTCGGCTGGCTCGAGCAGTCACTCAGCTAGGCGTGTACCTGTGCTTCAAGTAACGCTCACCTCAACTTCTCTCGTCTGTGACTGATCATCATTCGTAAATTTTCGAAATATATTCAAGACAATAACTTTCTTTACTTTGCTTCCCTTTTCATTGTAGTTCTACCAACATTGCAATCAGCACCGCACCCCTTGGTCTTCTCGATTATAGCCCGTTCCGCACGCCCGCCCGACATGCCTTTTACATGCTTCAATATACATAGAATTGATATCTTCTCTTTTGAAGGCAAATTTCGTGCCCTGAATTACGACTGCAAGGATTCAGCGCTGACCTAATTTAGCCTTCAATGGATACAGAGCTGAGAGACACGCGCTCCAAAGCTGATCAGTCTAAACATCAGAATCGTGGAGTGATTCCAGGCCATTTCACAGCTGTCTTCACTTGCTCTGGAAATCGTCAAACACTAAGAGCTCGCATCAGCCGGGCAATAATCATCGACGTTGGCATGTATCACACGAAATTTGCATACCATTGATGACTTATATAAGGCAAACGAGAGAAAACATAAAAATATCATTTTCTCACGTGCCAGTAACGGTCAACATTGGCTCATCATGCCAAATGCATGCCTCACGAAAGCATAAGGATGTCAATTTTTGAAATGATAGAGGGGCGAATTTCGCGAACTAGCGCAGGCTTACCCACAAAAAAGTCATTTTACATCAGACCGCATTGGTAAAAGGTAAACGTATTAGTTCACGGCTAGGCTAGGTAAGCGAATGCAATGAGCCATGCCAATCTGATAAAAAATCACAATAACTGTGATTGTTATAAACAGATGACCAACTAGTGTTGCGTAATCAAATACCGTTTTATTTGACCTGACATTTGAGCTCACCAGTTGACCTGAGGCCAAAAAATGAGCATTCTTAGTTCGTTTGTTGGGGGATAGGGGCCTGCCACTGCAAGGTCATTTTGCGCCCAAATGAGTATTCTTCTGGCGTCTGGCTTACTCTCGTGTAGAGCAACGCGTTCCTCTTTTGCTTTCTTCGTGAAGCTTTAGCTTTAGGGGGCAAACGTGATGGGGGCTCCGGGCTCGTAAGTCGTAACCACCCCTCTCTAGTGCCGTCTTGGCCTAAGGACGGCATAGAGTAATCTTGGGCATAACGACTGGTGGCGACGAATGCTTATCAGCCGATGCGTGATGAAACGCGTGACAACGCACAAAGAAGAAAAGATCGATGATGTTGAGGGCGGCAAACAGATTCATCGCACAGCCGGCCGTGTAACGCTATATTTGAATGCCGAGTGAGCAGATCGAAGTGGCTGCAGCGTCTAATTGAAGCCCCATGGATGCCATTTTCCGGGCGACGCCTGCTGCTAGTAAATATTTATTCAGAGCGTTCCAGGCATTCAATCGCTAAAAATGGACTGGCCGTGAATGGTGTGTGCATACCACATATGTGCCGGTTACTGACTAGTGTATGTGTATTGTGAATGCGTTCATAAAATGATTAGGTACGTAGGTAGAGCAGGGCTGAAGGTACAGCCGTCACGCGTCACGCAGCTAATAAAAAAGCTGCGTAGCTTACAGCCGCAGCTAATAAAAAACAGAAGACCTTTGAACACTCGCGACATGTGTATTTATTATTTTGCATGTTTTTCCTTGCATGAAACAGTTAGTCCATCTCTACCTTTCGCCTTTTGAAAGGTTTCCTCTTCTTCCCAGATTGGCTCTGGGCTTTCATTTGCTTCTTTACGGCCAATTTGGTCGCCTGCTTTTTCAGTTGTTTCTTGGCCTCGACATCAGCCATCAGCTCCTCAACCAGCGTCTTCTTCCGCTGCTTCTTGGGAATCCTCGAGCTGTAGAAGTCGGTCGCGTGCTCCACCACCGTTCCCATCGCAAAGTACTTGGGCAGAGTTCGCATGTCACTCTTCTTGTACACCCTGTTCTTATTAATCGCTCCTCGCATTTGAAGAACTTCGAGGTTTTGTTTGACCTCTTCAGTGAGCTCGGGCGCCTTCATGTTATACCAGCCTTCACCGGCAGTTTTGGCTCTTTCCAGACGGCCCTTCTTCTTTTCCATCGCTCGAGATCTCCTTGGTACAGAGTGTTGTTGTTCGAAACCCGGTTTCAGAACACTTTTACTCATCACATCTTCCTGCTTAGATGTCCTCATGTTTCGTTCTCTTCCAGCACCTGTCAAAACAAAAACATACTTCAAAAAGCGGTTCCCAAAACCACTTATTGATACAATCATTTGATGTGCTCGCAAACGCTTTACGTTACACCCGGCCCCGGTTAGTTATTTGCCAAAATATGATCAGAAGTTGGGATGCATTCAGGGACATTATGTGCACGATTTTGTGTGATTACGGAGCGAGCGAAGCGAGCGGAGTCTTACGTAGAATAACGGAAATTTCTGAATATGAGCGGCCGGCCGGCCGGCCGGCCGTGGTCACGATTCTGCGACGCTTATATCTCAGCAGCCACTTGACCGATTTACATGCGGTATTTTTTGTAGGGTAGCTTCATTCCTTCTACCAAGTATTGGACTATTCCCGGTGCATGTGGGTGACCCCTTATGCACGTGCCACGTGCAAAACGAAGAGGTGTCACTTTTGTAATTGTTGCAATATCTCGGTAACTACTTGGCCGATTGCGCTGAAAGTTGGCATGTAGGTAGGCACCCACTAGGCAATGCATGTCCATGTGCCCGAGTTGGGGTGCTGCTGCACGTGCGCACGTGCAGGGGTCGATTCCAGATCTCGAGAACGGCTGGACCGATGGCGCTCAAATTTGGTACATGGCTAGGGACCGGTTAGTAGGGTGCCGTGCAAAAGTCAGTTGGGACCCATTTTGCACGTGCGCACGTGCAGGGTGCCCCTTCCAGATCTCGAGAACGGCTGGGCCGATTGTGCTCAAATTTGGCACATCGCTGGAGACCGGTTAGTAGGGTGCCGTGCACAAGTCAGCTGGAGGTACCCCCTCGAAATTTCGCACGTGCAAGGCTCACCCTCTCGCTCGCTCCGTTGGTCGCCCCAAAAGGCGTTATACTGGTATACGTTACAGTGTTACATCTTCCACTACCCTGGGCGGGTAAATTCGTGATTCCGAAATCACTTGCAAGTGATACTTAACAATTGACAAAAGGCTTTAAATATTTAAAAGGTTCATATTTCGTAATAAGCTCCAGACTCTAAACACAGACCATCTTGAAGTAAATTGAAAAAAAAAACTGTAAGAGGTAAAAGGCACTTGGGTCGCTAACGGTAAGGAAAGAGGACTATTCCCTGTAAGCATCAGAGTGCAACCGAAAATCGACAAAGAGACATTGATCTTTTATACACACACACGTGGAAGGAATCACGTTAAAATACTTACGGAAGAATGAATGAAGTCGTAAGCGGTCCCAGCCGGGGCTGAGAAGGATTGATCAAGGACAATTCCAGAATTGTCTGGAATTCGTTTCATTCCATATGCATGCACCTCCAAAGGCATTATAGGTTTCAAAGAGACGTCTTACACTCAAAGGACAAAAGCCCAGGGGCATGAAGCCATGTTTGCCGTTCCAAAACAGGGCCTCAACCGTGACCTCCCAAAAGCACATTCCCAGCCGCCCGAAGACCTCCACCGGCGGCACCGCATACCGAGGCACATATGATACAAGGATGACGACAGTGGCGCGAGCCACGAACTGTGAAAGATAGTTACAAAGGATATCGTACGCTGAAGTACACAAAGGGTGTCTGGATATTGATCGCACAATAATCTTGGCTGTTTGGTAAGGTATTGGGGCTTTGGGGCCCGCCGAGTACAACGATGATTATATTTAGGATACTCTCTGGGGGATTCATGATAGGCGGCTCCTGGAAGGTGGTCGGTCGGTTTCATCATATCCAGGTGGTCCTTAGCGACGTCCCACACATTCTCGATAGGCGACGGGCCAGGACTATCATCCGGCCACACGCCCTTCTAGAACTACCCTTCTGTAGAACCTCGGAAAGTTGTCCTGGCACCACCGCTAGGTGATCGCGACGCATATTGATAACCTAGAACTCCGTCTCATCTCAGACAGCTATGAGAAGTTTGATCAAAGTCGGTGCCGGCGGTCCCTTTTTTATTTCGCCGCATTGCCTTCGTTGCCGTCTTCTTCAGTACCTACTTCCTCCACGATCCACGTAGTACCAGCACTCGGCCACCACGTCTTATTGCGAGGACGTGCAGCTCTGACAAAACCTAATAGCTCATCAGTCACCATGGGCCAAGACCCAGACCCATGGATGTCCAGAGCCTCCTTCACTGTTTCGGTGGAGGGATATTCAGCGCTGCTATCACCCCACTGTGTCCGTTCTGTCAATTCGTCGGGTGCATCAGCTAGAAAACTGACTCATCACTAAACGAGAAGCGTAGCCAGTCAGCAGCCCTGGACGGTCCTCTGTTGGTTCAGTGCACGGCTGCGGAGTCGGTGTCGGTCGGAGTCGACAGTTCTGACCTGAGTCGGAGTCGGAATCGAAGCCGATTTTGGAAACCGGAGTCGCAGTCGGAGTCACCGAAAATTCATCAACTCCGCAGAGATGGCAGGGCTGCAGAGGTGGAGTTCGAGTCAGTCGGAGTCGACAGTTCTTTCTGCCCAGAATCGGAGTCAATGTTGGGTTTTAGAAAGCCGGATTCAGAATTGGTGTCAGAGTCACCAAAAATCCATCGACTCCGCAGCCCTGGTACATGTTACCTACTGCTGTCAATTGCGTTCAGTTCTGAGCATGTCGCAAAATCGAGTTATCTTCATCATCTCAGCTTTCAATATTGATATTCGCGGCAAAGCGCGAAAAGGGCGGATGACAGTGACAGCTTGAGCTCAAACTTGAACTGGGGTGTTGGAGGGCGGTGTCTGGGGCTCTGGGCTTACCCCTTCAACAGAGGAGTGACCAGTGTGGTCAAGAAATACACGGGTGAGATAAGATACGAGCGCACTGACTGCTGACACGGACCTGCTGGAAGGTGTGCAATCTAGTTCCGCACACCGTGTAAAACGCCCACAGAATCATGCGATTCTCATGAAGAATACCAATACGATTTATCATGGATGATACAACTACAGGATTTCGGTACTCACCGGGAGCAGACGATGTTCGGGCCGACGCATCCTGAACTGAATCTATTGCAACTGTGCTTGATTTCGATTTTGCCGGAATCGGAGTGGGCGCGATGAATATTTCAGCGTCCGAATCTGATTCATCTTCAATATGCAAAGGATAACGTCCGTTCTCAGCCATTTCCCAAGTTGCCAGTAATAAAAAATCACAATGCACCCATATTATCACTGTATCACACGAATTGGGGGAGCAGTAACTAGTAACTACCACACATCACACAACCCCTCTCAGCTGCAACAACAACTGCAACGAGTCCCCCAACAACGCACCGCGTGGGCCTGACCTTGGGCCTGACTGTGATAGTCGTGGATCAAGGCGACAAAATATGAGGAACTTGTATAAGGTCTTGCTGGATTTATTCTTTACTCTTACGTCATCAACTCAAAAGGATTTATCGATGTCAAGCCGTTCATAGAAGGATTGCATCCTTTAACGTACTACAAAATTAATCAAAAATGCTTTAATTTATAATCTAGATATAATCTAGCTACATTGAGCGAAAAAATATATAATTCATAACCAGTAGCTTAACAATTTTGTGACGTAATAATTATCCTATGAAAAGTAAATCCGAGATGGAAGAATGCGACAGAAATGGCGCATCACACATTTTAGTTTCTCCCACTGAACTCTATAATGGTTTTTCCGTAAAGTCCACTGAACTCTATAATGTCTTAAAGTGTTATGGTTTTATAAATAATTTATAAAAAACCTTTTGGGTATTTTCAGTAATATCTGTGCTTATGCTTATGCCACTGACTGTGCTTGCCAGTATGCTAACTGAATGTGAAGGAATTTATGATTATTCGATGTTAATAATTGATTTTTTACATGGTAGCTATATTTCATATTTCAGCTTGAGACCACCATGGCCCCCATGGGCATTCCCAAATCCTAATTAGCCATCTTGATGCTGCTATTTTGTCTGGATTGAAATAGCTAAAAGCGGGGACGCCACTGCCAGTGAAAACAGGGCGCAGGAGCCCGGAGGGCATATTTGGTCATGTGACTTTTGTCTATTGAGAAGTTCTCTCCCTCTCGATGCCTTCTACACAGTAATTGTCACGTGGTTTGTGTGAGTAAATTTCAAGAGCCTTGATCAAATCGTCCCAGGCGCCCTGTTTTCACTGTCATCCATAAAGTGGGGGGGGGGGGGGCTATTTCACTGTATGACACTATGTGATGTTAGCGGTATCATGATGTTTGGTTTCTATGGAAAACTTAAAAATTCTGGTACTCAACATGGGATGATGTCGGTTGGTCACACATCAGTTTGCTGATGTTTCCACTTTCCATGTAAACTGAAACCCAATACCATGACCATGACACCAGGAGCATTGGGTAGCATTAAGCAGTGAAACAGGGTCCAGGCCCAGGGCACTAAAGAGTTGTAAGAAATGATATATATTCTGCACCAACACTTAACCAATGAGGATACTATATAATAGGCTAACTTGCCTCTCTGCAACATTGGTCATGCTGAAGGTTTTTTTCAGAAGTGGCTGTTTGGTGGGTGGTAACTGCATCAAAAAAGCTATCAAGTAATATAAGCTAAATATGGCTCATACCATGGAATGGAGGAAAAGAAGAAAACAATGACAGCTCAGTAATGAGGGAGAAAACCACAGATTCTTCTGATCCTAAATGCTTTCCAATATCCCAGTATACCAGCATGACCTGTGGTTAAATTGCTAGAGCATACCACTATTGGTGGTGAAACTTGAAAGTGTGTTTGTCCTGGTGGTGGGAACTACAGTTGACAGTTGGAGTTAGGTCTTCAGAGTCCAGACAGACTATACTGTATGGGCAGCTCTAATTTTGACATTTTTATACACCAGGCAACTATATTTTCTGTGGTGGATAGGTGATTTATAAGCACCTTAAAAATGTAAGTCTACTTATGCTTTCAAGAAAGCTTAAAGTTGGCAGGAACCTCCTTGATTAGTGCATTGGTATATATTGGTGTAGGTACTTGTTTGTTGAATATTTTTACTTTTGAAAATTGCTGCCAGCATAATGGCTGAAAATGGATGAGGAGTAGGTATGATACCCCACTTTACTAATTAAGTTAAGCATGTGCAATATGATAACTGACATCCTGTTTGTCTCCACAGAGCTGTCAGTGAAATAGAAGCTCCTTGTCCCATAAAACTGACATGCTTAAATTTAAGGATGTCAATTTTGATGTAATAGGATTTAAATCATCATGGAAGGCTAAAAGGTGAGCAAATTGTTTGTAAGCACATCTTTCCTCTCAATAGTTCCAAGTGAAACAAGGTCACACATTAGTATGCATCATGAGATTGAAGCCTTTTAATTTTTAAAGTACTGTGCTAATGCTTTTTACCAGCAAATCTGTTTTAATAGTGTCTGCCTGCAACCAGGCACAGTTTTTATTGTTGAGTCTCAGAACATGTATCTCACTTTTCCTGGAAAGTATTATCTGGAACCAAAGAATTGACTGCACAGTCCTAGTTCTGATTCTTGTGTTCCAGGTTGGACAATCTACATTACATTCTAGTAAGTTTAGAATACATGCTATCTGAATGTGTGGTCTGAATTGAATTTATATTTTATATGCTTCTTTTTATTTCAGCAAACAGTCAGAGAGTGGCTCTCAAACAGAACCATTGAAGATAGAGGAGAGTGAAACCCAGACAATTGGCCACGATGAAAAAGAGGTATATTTTCTGTTGTTTTTCAAATGCAAACCTTTACTGTCATTTGACATTAATAACTGGCCATGATTATTTTCTCAAACTTTTTCTTCAGGCTCAGGCATTGATTCAACTTCTAGGTGTATTTCCATCAGCAGTTTAAGCTGATAGCCTATGCAGCAGTACCTAGTGGGACTGTGAGAGAAGTCTGCACCATATCTCAGCGGCCCTAGTCAGGCACGCCACTGGCCATGCAGCTCTTAGAAGCAGATTCTGAGTGTGGTCTGCCGCCCCCGCAGAGTCAGACGGACCCGGAGCCGGAGGTGGTGGTGCCGCCCGCCGACGCCGCCGTGCAGCCCTCGCTGGTCGCCTTCCTCGGCCGCGCCGTGCCGCTCGTGCTGCGCGAGCTGGAGCGCTCGGAGAAGTCGCGCGCCTTCGACGGCTACCAGCTGATCGAGGAGGATGACGACCAGCCGGTGCGGCGCCTGCTGACGCTGCGGCTGGCCGGCCGGCCGGCCGACACCGGCACCGTAAGACTGACCCCCCCCCCCCCTGGGTGTATATCCAATCTGGGTGGAAATATTCATTGCTCTAATTTGGAGCTTACAATGATTGGTTATTATATTAATTCACCTAAAAACATGAGGTAAGATTATTTGCAGCACATGTTCCATAAAGACGTCGTGTTTTATTATTTTTCCCCTCTGCGACCTGCACCTGACCGGTTCGCGGGTGCCTAATGCCGATACTGACCGTGTGTGTGTCACCCGCGTGCGTCAGACTGGCGACCAGGTGTCGTGCCTGTCGTGGAGCTGCACCGGCTCGGTGGTGGCTGTGGGGTACGGCGCCGGCGAGCACCAGTCCTGGTGCGAACACTCGACCTCACTGGCGCTCTGGAACGTACACCGGTGAGTGCGCGCCGCTAGTCGCCCTGGGCACTCCTCCAGTCAGCCTGGGGTGTCCGTCATAACCAGATGTACGAGGTAACTGGACGGGCAGGCGAGCCTCGTTCTAAGGTTTACGCAAACCTATTACATAACATAACCATTATACACATAACCAGCGGACGGATAGCGGACGGATGTCGGTCTGAAAAAAGCACAAGAACTAGCATCTTCAAAAGAAAATGAGCGTGATTTTTTTATTTGAGTGTCATTATGTTGAAGGGCAATACAATGATATGTAAGAATGAGTCGTTTTACTGTCAATGATGTCATCTTTGAATATCAGTCGAGCCAATTCGCATGCAATATTAATACATTTTCATCGTTTTCAGGAAAGATCTGAACCCGAACCAGCCGTACCAGAAGCTGGAGCTGCGCTCCTGCGCGAGCTACTGCCGGTTTCACCCCAGCGAGCCGAGCGTCCTCGCCGTCGGCATGGTCACAGGTCAGTAGCACGCTGAAGGCCACCCGGTCTAGGGATGAGTGGGTCGCGGACGTGCAGCATTACTATTTTAAACCGTAGTATGTTGTGCAGGACGCAGGTTCGGGCACTTCTTTCTCCCGTCCCCCGAGGCTAAGCTGACCCAAATTCGGTACGTCATTGTTTGTATAAATGAACTAAATATAGTTTGCACTTTCATGCTTGTCTGGATATCCATTGCTGTGCAGTGTAAGTTCCACGACGTCGATTATGTGTTGCTAGGCGAGCTGCAGCTGTACAACCTGTCCCGTGAGGAGGACCCGCTGCTGGGCACCACGTCGGGCATCATCCAGGGCCACCGCGAGCCGGTGAGCGCGCTGCACTGGCTGGCCCGCTCGGCCGGCTACAGCCTGGTCTCGGCCTCGCGCGACGGCCGCATGCTCGTCTGGAAGTACTCCGAGGCCAAACAGCAGCTGCAGCTGGTCAAACAGTGAGGCAGACGCGGGATGGGGCAAATTGGAGGGGGGGGGGGATGTAATATGTAGGGCCAGCCCAGTGAACTCCGCTTGTTGGCCCGCATTGCTTAGTTCGAAGTTCTTTGATCTTTGAAGAAACTTACCTGCATTTCACGACATTGTTGATCAGTTGATACGTGGGTACCTAATACTTATCGCATAGAAGTCGAAACGTCTAAAGACGTTATGCTGTCATATTTTCTTTTTTTCTTAAACCGACGAAGTTGCCACCTTAACAGCTATCTCTGTGGGCTAAATTTCAAACATGAAACAACGTCCGAGGCACTTTTCCCACCAAATCTGACACACCTGTGTTTTCCCCGCAGGTTCCAGCTGATGGCTGGCCAAGTGCCGCGCTCGGCCGGCCGGCGCGCCGCCAGAGCTGACTCAGAGGCTGGGCTGACGGCACTGGCCTTTAGCCACGACAACCCGGACCAGTTCACCATCGGGTCAGAGGGCGGCGGCGTGTTCCTCTGCTCGTTCGCCTCCGAGGTGCCTATCACCGGTAAGTGATGGGATCCAGGGGTGCCCATCGCCGGTGAGTGACGACTGACGACTTCAGGATCAATCCCAGCCGGCCACCGGCGGCCGAGAACATCTGTTTCTGAATGTTTTGTTTTTGTCATTGTTTTGTCATCGTGTATTTTTCCAATGCTCTTTTGTCACAATGCAAAGACACTTGAGTGTATAACGGTAATACCTTTTAAAATTTAAACGTGTACGGCCTATCATCAAATGGTTGATTGCTTTCTTCATTATGGCCCAGTATTTGGTCCGTCTCAGCTTTGTAACACAAGGCAGTGTATCCGCTCTGCAGCCCGGTGACCCTCCATTTGCACCATGCAGCGATGACCGGTGAGCGCACTGAGGGCCTTCTAAACCCGGTGACGTCGACGTTCGAGCCGCACCAGGGCCAGGTGCTGGTGCTGCAGTGCTCAAAGTTCCACAGGAACATCTTCATATCGGCCGGCTCGGACAACGAAGTGCGCGTCTACAACACACTACAGGTACGGAGTGGACGGTGTCTATGGGAATTGAACCGGCCTCTCCTCAGCTCTGTCATCCTTTTGCGAGGCTGTATGCTTTTCTCACTGAAGCGCCAGCTTTGGGTTATAGCACAGTTGGTTTCATTTTTTGGTTATGGCACAGTCACTTGGTGTTTCAGTTGGACGCTGTTCAATATCAGCTTGTGAGTACCACCTTCTTCACAAAGTAAAATGATAGTCTCAATGCAAAATGAGACGTCTATGCAGTGTGCTTACTTTCAAGACCCTTCGCGTTACCTGCTCACTGAGGGTGCTGCGTTCCAGATCTCTCCGCTGCTGTCCATCAGTCTGGAGGCGGAGGTGACGGCGGCCGCGCTCTCGCCCTCCCGGCCGCTGGTCGTGTTCGTCACCACTGGCAGCGGCGAGCAGCACCTGTTCGACTTCACCCGCCGCGGCGCGCCACTGCACACCATGCGACTGCACGAGAAACCGCTGGTGGTCACCGCGCTGCGGCTCAACGACAAACAGTGAGTGGACGGGGCACGCAGTAACGACAAACAGTGAGCGGATGGGGTACGCAGTAACGATAAACAGTGAGCGAACGGGGCACGCAGTAACGACAATGTACAGTGAGCGGACGGGGCACGCAGTAACGACAAACAGTGAGCGAACGGGGCACGCAGTAACGACAAACAGTGAGTGGACGGGGGACACTCAGTAACGACAAAGTACGGTGAGCGGACGGGGTACGCAGTAACGACAGCGAGCGAACGGGGAAAGGGTGGTTTGTTGATGGCCAGAGTGGGACTTAATTAAGTCGGGGACGAGATGGGCTGTTTTACTGACTGGGTGGACTGTTGTGTGGATTGCTTGGTCCCCCAAGTCCCCGATGAACTGGTCGGAGGTGTGTTGTGTCTGTGAGATCAGCCGACGGGTCTCTGTTTATGACTTTACGGTCTTATGGACCGTTTTATGACTAGTTCCCGCCCGGCCGAGCCCTGTGCTGTAACTCCACCCTCTGACGGTCGTGTCCGCGTCTCCCGCAGGCCCAGTCTGCTGGCGACCGGCGACGCCAAGGGCGCCGTGCACGTCTGGTCGCTGGCCACCGAGTACGTGTCGCCCAAGACGCACGAGCTGGCTGAGATCAACCGGCTGGGCGGCGTTCAAACGGATGGCTAGAGACCGCAGTCATCTGAACGCTCCCCGCCGACCGCCGCGCCGGATATCTAGTCAAGCAGGAAATCCTCGGCGGCACCCCACATACAGCACACGGCACGCACACCATCCCAGCCACAGCAGACGCCGCCACGATATAAGTGGGTTTCGTGTGATATATTTGTAATCTAGTCCGTCCACGGCTGTGCCTCGACTTCTGCTGCGGGCTCCCGATGTGGTTACTGTGTGTTCACTGCGACAACGCATCGACTACTGCACGCGTGATGGTTGCGTTTATTTGAAACGCATGATCTCAGCTGTACCTACAGGGTGTCCCATAAGTTCGTTCTCACCTAAATTTTACGTTTTTAGGCTCTCTTGCTTAAAGGCACACTGAAATTGGTTCGTAACTGAGCTTACGTGGTTGCCATGGCTGGTAGAAATATGCTCCACAGTAGCTAATTTCTGTAGACAAAATAGTTTTTGCTATAGAGCCCGCTTCCTACAGAGACGGCTAACGCCGCAACATAGAGGTCTCCGATACGGGTACGTCTCAGTATTTAGTCAGCACGTGACCATTCGCGACGATTGAGGGTGATTGAGGCCTACCAGTCTGTAGCCAATGGCCATCGCTAACTGGACGCACAGTCAGCAAGTGACACCGATGATTTGTCGGGAGTCAGTCACTGCAAGTTTATCCTCTTTCCAGTCAGCCCTCAGGAGTGAGCCAAGTGGCCAAAACTGTGTGGCGCCAAAGTGGCCATCAAAAAGGTCAAAGGGTTACAAAGTTTGTAAGCAGACTTTTCAGGATGGATTACCAGCTGTCTAAGAGTGTTCTTTCGGGGTACATAACTCAAGGTGACTTAAGCTTTGCTTACCGGAGGACTCAAAACAGTCAAAAACGTCTTAAAATGGCCAAACATGAGTTTCGTTATGCCTGAGGCTAAACAAAACAGAGGGCTGATGACATCAACTAGGTCATCAGGACTAACTAGTCCACGTTCGAAAGGAAACACCCGTCCAAACCCGAAAACAACCCCATAAGGGCGAAGGAGGAGGCCTCCGTTTCGTCCCGTTATGTTCCTATGCAAAAGGTCAGGGTCACTGTGTTGTGGGATTATAGGCGTTCTGGAGTTGACCAAGTTGCAAGTGGCAACCTAGAAACAGTTTTGGGAAGCAGAATGCTTTTCCAAGAACATCTAGGAGGAGTTTCAGCCCTCAAGCTGAACTCGAACCGCGAGTATGAACATATTTATAGAGGAGAAAATGGCATCCGGAAGGTCGTAGGCCCATCTCCAGGCAAGACAGTGCATCAGTGCACAGGTCAAGCAAAGCTTAAAAGCGGTGCAAGGAGACTGTGACAGGCATTTGTGGCAAGATCACATGCCAGGCACCTCATTGGATCAAAATTTCATAAAAATTTGTTGGTTATGCTGAAATTGAGGCTCGTCGAAGCGTAGCGCTGTTCCAGCCTCGAGGAGCTCACGGCACATGTCAAGTCAGTCTGGGTTAACTTTAAGCCTACTATGCAGCCAAACATGCCGGTTGGCATGCTGCAGCATGTATTCATGTGTTTGCCTATTAAATGAGGAGCCTATTGAGGGGTCATAAATATATTAAAACGCAATGTACTCTGTTTCACATGCAAACATAATGTGAGAACGAACTTATGGGACACCCTGTATATCGATCTCATTTATTTTACTCACGTGACGTTACGACACCTGATAAGTCAGTTCATATGGTGCGGCCTTTATTGCCTCACCCTAGGACAGCGGATTGGCCTGTTGATTTCACGGTTATCCATAATTGAAGTCAACGAAATACACTTATGGATTACATTTAAAGTTCTCTCCATTTTGAAGTGGTACCAAATATTGATTACTTATTGAAGTTCCACATTAGAAACCTGTTGGAAATCCCTTTACCATCTGACCCTTGAGAGAACACGGGAAGCCAGTCGACGTAACTACCTCAAATGTCAGTGTGCGACTCCGTCGCCCGCGCCTGATCATCGTTCAAAGTTGAAATAAAGCCCAATTCACCTGGAACGCCTGTGAAGCATAGTCGCTGATCATACAACTTTCGGTATTTCCATCGCCATATACGGTAATGCGTAACCGTCAATGGAGTGAGGCGTCGATGAATCAATATGCAAACTGGAAATCAGGATATTTGATACCCATATCCTTGAATCGATTGGACGCATCCGCAAAGTTTCGTTTCACATCTCCCTTTTTCTTGGTGAATTCTTCGTCAGCCGCGAAGAACGTCTTGAATACGTCATCGATGGTCTTGGTGACCTTGTCGATTTGGTCGTTGATCACCATGAAATCCTGTGAAGAGAAATTTTGGAACGATGAGCGTCACAACACGGCGATACCTCAGTCGTGCGTGGGATATTTTAAACGTACAACCCACTGATAACTGTAGTCGATTTGTTACGATTGATCGTTACGCAATTGGGGATTCAAACTAGAGGCTGGGGAGGGAACGGACTAATAGTACACATCGGCAAACGGGAAAGGGAGCTCAGCCAACGACCGCGCCACCCGTTCGGCTCAGGCATCCACCGAGAAGGGTGGCACCCACTGATTACCTTGTCCTCCATAGAGACCCCGCTCTTGAAGAAGTCCATGGTGAGTGCCTTGACGTCCAGGTCGATGGCCGGCCGCGCCTTCAGCTTGATCTTCTCCCTGCCCTGACCCACGGTGACCTTGACCCTGCTGCCGCCGTCGTTGGTGCTGGAAGTGACCGTGGTCACTGGCGGCGCGTTACCGATCTGACTGGTGGACGTCGACACGAACTTCTTCTTTTTCTTTGTCTGTCGAAGGGTTGAACATGTGAAGAAGTGAGATAGGGTGTATGGTATCCTGCGCAGTTAGACGTCGTATCGTATCCGTATCGGTATCGAGATGAGTGCTTGGGATCGGAGCCTTGTTTATGCACTTCAGCCGGGGTCTATCGGATGGACACTTGAACATCATACAATACGACCTCTTGAAAGCGTCCGCTTAAAAAAAAAAAAACATGGCGCTACCGATACGTTGGTAACTTCTTACGCTCAGATGTGCAGACAAAGGAGGTTTTATAATCTGACGGCTTACTAGAGGCTTAGCTACTGGCGACTTACGCAGATTTGAGTTTCGGGAGGGGAATGCTGAGTCCGTGCCCCAGCAGCGCCCACCGACCCACCTGTGTGATCTGCATGGTCTCTGTGATGCCGGAGACGCCCTCTCCGTGGATGACCTGAGTGGTCATCACCGCCTGACCGCTGGGGATGGCGTACTCCTTCACCAGCCGGGTGATGGACGGCTGCGGCGGCCGGCCGCCCGGCCACCTGCCGCTCTTACTGCTGCTGCTGCTGCTACTGCGTGATGAGGAGCTGGTCACCGTGGCCTTCCCCATTGTCAGCGAGGACGTCCGCATGCCCGCCGACGCCAGACTGACGCACAGTCCTGAGGACGGTGCCGGAGAGGGAACGGTGGAGCTGTGAGACTGATGACGTTCAATAATGCAGCCATTGTCAGGGAACGATCGTTCTTCGAACGCTACATTATGACATCCCATGAGTGAGAACTAAAAAAAAAAAAAAAAACTAATCGTCAGGTGACCTTAGCTTGGTATAAGCGTTCCCGTAAAAAAGTTGTTTTTCTTGAGCACATTACCAGCCACAGCTACTGCACGATCCAGTCCCGCCAACCAGCCAGACCGACGAGAATCCATTGTCACCGAGAAAATAGCCGGGGAAAGACCCAATCTCACCATTCGCACCTAGACCAGCGCTCAGTCACAAACCGCAGCCGCACGAAGACCAACTCACCGGCGGCCAGCACCCAGAGGACGCCTGTCACACGAGCCATCCCTACCGGCGCTGCTCCCCAGCTGCTCAAGAGGCCGGCGCTCGCCGCCCGCCCCGCCACCTGCACCAATTTACCCGTCAGAGCCGGCAGCCCGGTGTGACATGACCTCCGCAGGGCCACCCGACATACAACCCCCCACAGCCACAGACCGACAGCAACTCTGCTCCAAACACCAGCTCTTTATTAACGTCAACAAGCCGGTATCGGACAACTGACAGGCACCCCGACGGCGTGACGTCAGAGTGCTGACCAGCCGCGCCGCGCCGCCCCCGGCGCACAATCAGCCAGTCTATCATACACACGATCCGCCGTCCGTCAACGTCTCAGTGTTAGCAAAAACACCCGCGAAACTCCGCCGTCAGTGGGGATTAAAAAAGTCGCTCTGAGCCGCCGCCGCGCGGCGCCGGCGCTCAGTAGTCGTCCCCGCGAGTAACCACCTCCTTGCAGGTGGGTCGCAGCACGATGGTGTGCTCGTACTGGGCCGTGTAGCTGCCCTTGACGTCACACAGTGGCGGGTACGCCTGCACAATCTCCTTCTCACAGAGGTCTTTGAGCGCCATGAGGTACTTGGTTTCGCCGAGCCGGTCCAGCCAGCGCCGGCAGAACGCCAGGGTGCCAAAGTTCTGGTTGATGGTGTTGAGCAGTTGCTTTGACCGGTTCAGTCTATGGGGGCGGAGAAACATCGGTTACCGGCGATTATGGCAGACGGGTCAGCTGAAACGGCAGCGTTCACGTGGGTCCACCCCCACCCCTAAGAAAGACACTGGCGTCATATCAACCAGTCATATTTATCCATATCCACAATAATCTCCCCGGTTGCATCCCTACCATGTACTCGGCTGTCCGACCACAGCCCGTTACACCCATACCCCTAAGCCTCCCTCCTGTTCTATCTATTGTCCCACCACTCTCAACCAATCACAATACCACTATATCCACCTCACCCAGTCAGCAGCGAGCCCAGCTCACCTCAGCGGCACGTGGCCGACGTCGAAGTTTTTCATGTAGTGCGAGCACTCCATGTCCTCGTGGACGAAGCCGCGGCCGGTGCTGCCGAACGTCTCGATGGCGTAAACCTCGTTCTCCTCCATCCGTTCCTTCTCACCGCCCTTGACGATCGGCACCGTCTTACCGGCGTGGATACCTGCACCAACCGACACGGGCGGAGGGACAGTGTGAGGAACACGAGGGCTCGGGGACGTGCTATTACACCAGACTGCCTGATACGTAAGCCATCAAGAAATTAAACATAACACTCCTTACGTTGAGCCAACAGACACTAACCCCGCGTTCGATGTCTCTCGGACGACGAAGATTCTATGCCGTCCGGCCAATCACGTTCCATAAGCGCAGCCGAGCCCCCACTGACCTTGAACGGGATTGGCCGGCCGACGTAGAATCTTCGTCGTCCGAGAGACATCGAACGTGGGGTAAGTTAGAAAGGGCTCCATGTTCGTACATTACCGCTGTCGTTTATGTACAGTTAGGTACGTATTGTGCAATTACTCACGGTATGGCGATATGGAGTGGCCGTTGAGGTTGCGGATTGACTTCACCTGGTACGTTTTACCGTCCAGTTCAACCTCGTACGACTCCATCACTTCTTGGATGGCTTCACCGATGTCGCACAGCTGGACATCGATACCAGCGCACTGTCGGCACATAAAAGACAACATAACGTCATCAAATGTATCAACACCGGTCAAACTCTCAGCCTAAACATGTATCCCAGGACACTATCGACGCAGGCACCTATTCCAACACATCAACAGAGACAATAGGTACTTGGACCCTTCCCAACCATCGTAACGATACGAGAGAAGAGCTGAAGTTGCACACCTGGCAGTGGGTCAGTGGTGGCACAAAATGTATGCTGACTCGTGACTCCCCTCCAGGGATAACATAAGGCATACCGGAGGCATAAACGCCATCTACAATATATAGTCCAAATGGGCGGCCCGCACCACCACCGCACCGCGTATGCGCGACTCTCTGACCAACCCACCTTGATACCGGTGTTGGTGGCGTCCCGGACGGCATCCAGCAGCCGGTCGTACTTGGGGTTGAACGTCAACGTGAACGCACAGTCGATGATGCGACCTGTCGGGGATCGGGGAGGCCGTCAGTATACGGTAAAACACTGCTTCAACCCACCATCCCACCACAGCATTTCTCACGATGTGTGTCACTAGTGTTCTAGCTCACTCCCATGCTATCATTCAGCTGTTAAGACCTACTTCACAACTGTCTTTAGCCATTGGACCCGCCGACACAGAAAAACTTACCGTTGATGTGTGTGCCGAAGTCGATTTTGCATACGTCGTCGTACTGGAGGACCGTCTTGTCGCCGGCGTTAGGCGTGTAGTGCGCAGCGCAGTGGTTGATGGAACACCCCGTGGGGAACGCCAGGCCAGACTTGAGACCGTTCTCGACGATCGTGGCCCGGCCGATACTCTCGAGTTTCTCGCAGATTTCGATCATGGTCATCCCTGGCTTGATCCATTTCTGCATATACTGCCTTGTCTGTGAGAGAAACCAAGCCGTGAGGGATTTGATAAGCTGAACGAAAATCTGTCACAGATGGGTATTGAGTAAACCAATCAGCTGTTTATTGAGCAGTACATGTATGCTAAAACCTTATCAACTGTATCAGTGGGGGACCAGTTCCGTCGTCACGACTTATTCATATTAGTTCAATGAAGCAGGCAGTTCTGAACGCGAGTCGGGCCTACCTGACGTTTTTATTAGTCATATACGCGTTGAGTAACTAGCGGCGAGTAAAGCTCGCGGCCACCGACCTGTCTGTGTGCCTCGGCGCCGATACGCAGCTCGGTGTGAATCTCCTCGTAGGCAGTGTCCCTGGCTTTGGCCTCCTCAGATGTGAACCGGTCCCGCGCCGAGCGCGAGTCCTGGACTGCGGGGTACTCCATCAGCTGACCTTTGGGCGCGGTATCTGTGCGGAAAAACGGCAGGAACGGATGTCAGAACGGTGAGAGGGTGAAGTCGGCCACAGTTGCACCCGGCACAGTTAACAAGCAGCCTTACCAACGGACTTCGAGACCAGTGTCTGACGACCTCATACAACATGATCGCTAAATTTAGTAGCACATAGGTGGTATGAACTAAAAACGATAGCATACATTGAAACCAGATCCTATCGAATTTCGATCAATACGATCAATACGTCGACGAAGGAATCAGGTACCCCAGATTCAGGAACACGATCAGTTCAAGGGCGCCAAAGATGTGTGAATTTTGACATTGATTAAAAGCTTAATGATAACCGGCTCTTCTTGAACCATTTATTAGGATTGCTTTTCTATTTAGATCACTTACTTTTGGGGTACATTTCAACGACGGGTATTGAAGGAGGATCGGTCTGCTGCTTCACCGGGCCACCCTTGTTCTTCTTTTTCCTTTTCCGCTTCTTCTTGCCTGCTGCATCACCACCTGAGATAATGGAACGTGTAAAAAGGATCAGCAAAGAGACTGACATAAATGAGTTGACACTCACTGGCTCACTATTTCAGCTGAGTGAAAATGTTTTGGCATGCAGTACACACAGCATTCCTGTGGGCTGGAGAGTAGTAAAGTAATCTTGGGCTGGAGGACCGTTCCCTCACCCGTTACGGGCTGGAGGATCGATCACTCAACCGCTGTACTTCGACCACATATCACTAAACAGCCGCCGGCTGGAGGACCGTTCACTCAGCCGCCGTATTTCGACCACAGATCACTCACCCGCCGCCGGCTCCTCGTCCTCCTCCTCATCATCGGCCGGACCGGTGCTGGTCTTCACGTCCAGGCCGTTCAGCTGAGTGGCCAGCTGAGTCGCCGCGCCGCCGGCCTCCGAGCCGCCAGCACCACCGGCACCTGCGGAAACAGCAACGGTCAGTGATGGAGCACAGGTAACTGCCAAACCATCGGCACTTTAAGGCACAGTGCCAGTCAGTCACGGAGCGCGAACAGCCAGCGACCGGACCGGATTTTAGGACTAAAGTACGTATCGCTTAAGTACGTAGGACAAAAGTACGTATGCAAATGTTCGTACGCAAATATACGTAGGCGCTAAAGTTCGTATGTCAAAAGTACGTACGCAAATGTTCGTACGCAAAAGTACGTATGAAAAAGTACGTAGTGCATAAAGTACGTATGCCAAAAGTACGTACGCAAATGTTCGTACGCAAAAGTACGTATGAAAAAGTACGTAGTACATAAAGTACGTATGCCAAAAGTACGTACGCAAATGTTCGTACGCAAAAGTACGTATGCAAAAGTACGTAGTGTAAAAAGTACGTATGCCAAAAGTACGTCCGCAAATGCTCGTACGCAAAAGTTCGTATGCAAAAATACGTAGTGTATAAAGTACGTATGCCAAAAGTACGTACGCAAATGTTCGTACGCAAAAGTACGTTTGCAAAAGTACGTAGTGTAGAAAGTACGTATGCCAAAAGTACGTACGCAAATGTTCGTACGCAAAAGTTCGTATGCAAAAGTACGTAGTGTAAAAAATACGTATGCCAAAAGTACGTACGGTTCGTATGCCAAAGTACGTAGTGTATAAGTACGTATGCTAGAAGTAGGGTATAGTAGTGTAAGTTGAGCCACTTTTTCTTTACTGCTGCCCTGTTGCCATACTACAGGGAACTCATGATAAATTCATATATGTACCAAATAATATAGCTTTGTCCCTTTCGCCCATTTACACATCGAGAAATTTTGCTATGCCTTGTAACAAATGCTCATTAAATAAAGAATAAGAAAGGTATTACACATTGCTCAACTTACCCCATGGGTGGGGTACGTACTTTATACCCTTCGTACATTTGCTATGCGTACGTTTGTCCGTGACGTACTTTGGTCCACACGTAGGGTAGACCGGGGCAAGTCGCCCCGCCGAGCTAAAACGCCTGGCGGCCTCACCGATGTTTCTCGGAACTGACAGGGTTCTGGGGAAAGTGTGCACTATATGATCATTATATGAGCAGACTGGAAAGAAATTGTGATAGCTCTCTAGGGAGATATAGCCAAAAATGTGTTTTTGAGTGATTTTTATGTTTGGTCATCTGATTATGCATCATCGCGTTCTTTTGTAGTCCACATCAGGTTAACGACTTTTATGTATTTTGAACAACTATTGTCTAACGTTTATAATGCCGGGTTGGTTCGTGTTAAATTATGTCTTGCTGGAGCGCAAGGCGTTGTTCGCTGACCGAACTACGTGATGGGGTAAAACGCCCCAGTAGGTCGCGGGGCAAAAAGCCCCATGGGGCGTTTTACCCGCATGTGTTGTTCGGACTACCCACTTCCTAATGTTCGGTAGCTGGCGAACAGCAAGTTTCTATGCATTTATATGTATTTTTCTCAGCAACTGTATGGCAAAGGAAGTGTATTGTTAACTGATTTGCATTGCAATAATTTATTATTTGGCCTTATGAGGCACGTGAAAAACCTGCTCATACAATAGTGTCATAGCTGAACACCTGATAGGATGGAATGTGCTAACTTCAGTGCCGTGCCTCCAGGGTTCTAACGGACCTCTCATATAAGATTTAGCCAACTACCATGTTTAATCTTTAAGCTAGACTCTAGAGTATAATGGGGTTTCTTGCCTCAGGCCGTGGGGCGTTTTGCCCTGGGGTTGGGGCAAAATGCCCCATTTGCAGTTGCTTCACAAATCACTTCCTAGCTGGGAGTCCGATCATAAGTGAATAAATTTGAGGGGTGGAATTTAAAGTAAAATGTCCAAAGAACACATTGAGCACCGATTTGGCCTTCCAGGTGATGTAGGACAAAATTTAGGTAGGCCTATGTAGCAAAATAAATTATCTGGGGCGTCTTGCCCAAGGTCTTTACCTTGCGTGTTTACCTTTATACCTACGTACATTTGCTATATGTACTTTTGTAAGTGACGTACTTTTGTCCATACGTTTACGTACTTTATACCCTACGTACTTCTGCCATACGTACTTTTGTCCGTGATGTACTTTTGTCCATACGTACTTTTTACCCTACGTACATTAGCTATACGTACTTTTGTCCGTGACGTACTTTTGTCCATACGTACTTTATACCCTACGTACTTCTGCGATACGTACTTTTGTCCCTGACGTACTTTTGTCCATACGTACTCTTTACCTTACGTACATTAGCTATACGTACTTTTGTCCCTGACGTACTTTTGTCCATGCGTACTTTATGCTGTACGTACTTCTGCGATACGTACTTTTGTCCCTGACGTACTTTTGTCCATACGTACTTTATACCGTACGTACTTCTGCGATACGTACTTTTGTCCCTGACGTACTTTTGTCCATACGTACTTTATACTGTACGTACTTCTGCGATACGTACTTTAATCCTACGTACTTTTGCTTACGTACTTTTGTCCTACGTACTTTAGCGATACGTACTTTTGTCCGTCACCCGACCGGACCACCTCTGTGGCGCACAGACACACTGGACACAACTGTGAGTCAGATCTGTACAGTTATTCATGATCGACATCACATTACTTTTAGCATACCTGCAGCTGCCTTGTTTTTCTTCTTGCGTTTCTTCTTGCTTCTGGCCTGAGTGGTGTCGCCTTCTGTGGCCTCTATGACATCCCCCTCCTCCTGCTCATCTTCGCCGAGGTCCTTCGTCGGCTGCACAGCGGTCTCAACCTCGGCCGCCATCACGGTGCAGCTATCAGGCAAACAAAGTACCATCGTACACGTTAGTTCGGTAGGCACTGTCGTCATCCAACTAGCCGAGAAACGACAGAAATGATGAGAGACTGCAGCGTTAAGTTGTATAAAATTTGTCAACCGGCCACCCAGCACCTCCGTGAGTCTTTAACTTCTCAGCTTACTAGTGGCGAGTGTGCAGTTCGAGTCATTTTAGACTCACTCGGCAGATGCTGATTTAACACGGAGCGGAACGCTCATGATCCGTGCGGATTTACCGTCAAACGGCGTGAATTTTACGTGAAGTGGTACGGACCGTACCTTATGTCATGGTAGCTGCAGTGATTATGTGGTAATGCCCATGATAATGCCTTTATTTACAATTTTTTCCCCAAGTGAATGACTGAATGGCTGTGAGCCCAGGTATCATACTGAGGGATGCTAACTGCCAACTACAACTTGGAACCTGCATTTACAACATAGGGTACCTGGCTTGGCATACAATCACACATTCAACCAGGGACTCTCATTCTTGATTTAAAGTCTCAGATGAAATGAATTTCAGGTATCTTTGCTAATAAGTATGTAATATCAATCGCTTTATCTCAGCATTGTGCTTAACAGGATGAAAGGTCACCTGGCCTGAGATTCTGTTTTCAGCAAGCTCATTAGAAAACAGACTGGGCTGTAAGTGGTGTCAGACATGAGACTACTCCAGTTGTACTTTTTGTCCAGCAGAGAACCTTAAACTGATTGACAGACACACAGATGTGCCCTTGTCTGTCATGGCACATATGTGTCATTGTGCCACATGTGATTACCGATGACACACAGTCTGTCACATTGACAGCCTGTGCTCAGTTGCCACCACATTCAGTAGAAAGTTATAGTTATTGATGACCCTAATGCTCAGCTAGTTCCAATTTAATGTCTCACATTCCCCTCAGCATGAGAGGGCATACCACAGCTCTTCCCAACAGAGGTTCCCTCTCAACTCTCAACACAAGGCACGCATGGTGAGTGAGGGAACTCAGCAGGTGAATTTCATTACTACTGGAACCTCCAAAAAGGTTAAGAACCAAAATGGATTCTCGAAGAAGAAAGGAAACTAATTTATTTAGGCATGAGTAGGAATCTACAGGCCAAGCTGAACTGGCCTAAACATTATAACATCATCATCCATGTCAAAAGCAATTAAAAATAAGTACCTATTAATTGTTGGAAGGCAGGCAGATTACCAGTTGTGATGGTAAAATAAAATGAGATATATGGATCATGGGTGCATACAATAAACTCAAAGGATATGCCAAATTTGGAACTATGAATAATCTCTGTTACCCATCATTTCCAAAAGTATGTAAAGTCAGGCCATAATAACTGTCATGGTCCAGCCTGCACAATGAGCTGATTTGCCTACAGTAGGCTCTGACTGCTCATAGGCACCTGTCAAGTGTCAATTCAAACACTGGTAATAAATGTTTGATGTCACCTGGCATAAATATTAAATATTTGCAAGTAGAAACAATAGACATTAATTAAAAGTATTAAGGGTCATTTAGCATAGGTATATATTCCATAAGTAATGGATTCCATGAGTCAATTAATTCATTTAAATTAAAAATATCAATAGAACAATTCTGGCCTCAACATGGGTTTTCAAAGACAGCTTAAGACATAAGTGAAGCACTGGCATGAGATCCAAAAAGGCGATCTTGGATGCTGCGGAGGGGCCGAGGGCTAAGGGCGTATCCCAAAATCCAAATACAGTCTCCAAATTCATAACACTCCCACGTTTTCAACTCCTTATGGCTTATGCACTGATGTGTAGTTTTAACCTAACCTTTCCAATTAAAATTCATTGAGTCTTCCACCTATTCTAGAAAAAAGCGGTTGAACTTTCCATTTTGATTTAGATCTCGATCGATTTCGACCGCTGCCCCTACTCCTCATCCACCGATAAGATGGAAAGGATATGAAATACGAGTTATGCAGGGTAAAAATATTTACTTTATGCCCAACTAGGCTTGATTAACTTATGCATATGTTTATATCAACCCAAAATAAATACCTTATCTACGGATTCCCACACAAAAACGCGCAACAAATATCACGCACGCGGTATGGGACCTTAGAACCATAATCGTAACATTAGCGCCATAAATGTAGTGACAAGACCAATGGACAAATAATTGAGAATTACCCTTAACTAATCTTTAAATTGTATATTTTTTCAAAACATCCAATTTCCGTTGTACTTAATTTTTCTCTTACTTTTACCATATTACATCTATTGACTCTGGAAGTTGCAAAATCATACTTATTTGTTTGTTATTTCAAACGGAAAATAAAAACTGTGTTTTCCTCACTGCGCATGCGCAGAAGGATTAGCATCTGAAACTTTTTCTATTACCTTGAAGACCTTGATTGACTACGTTTGGTCGAGGGGTTATTATACAAATAAACGCAATTTTATTAATGCATGGTGTCATCCTATGGTAGGCCTGGTTGGGGCTGATGTTGCAGTCCTATGGAATATTGAAGGTACGTTTGTTGGATTGATAACTTGAAGTTGTTTCGTTTTGTATGGCTTGGGAGTTGACCATTAGCCCACAATTTACGTCTTTGTTCATTTGAGGCTGCCACATGGATGCAAGGCTAAGATACCTAGGCTTGTTTAGTGTTTAAGTTGATAAGGTTTTGAATTTTATAAAGAATGATGTCTGTCCCCTGCATATTGGACATCTTGAAGCTGAGATATAAGCAAAAGATTGAGGCTACAAGCCTGAGCTCTGTTCGCACCCCGTTTATTTATCAGCAGGCTGCGACCATGCTGCTACTGCTTGGCTCCTCATTGGTCAAATTCAAGTGGTCTGTTCGTTAGACCAATGAGAGGCCTAGCCGCACCAGCAATAACTTCCTTATATGGGGAAAACTGACAGCACGCTGATATAAGAACAGCGAGCGAACAGGGCCCAGGTTTTCAATGAAATTGCATTGTGTTTGTGAATGAGTCTTGTTTGCTTTTTGTGGCTCATTCATCTAAATATAATGCTACTGCATCTACATCAATTCATGGCATTGGACTCTTTGTCTGGAATACAAACCTTGGTATCTATCTATCTATCCCTTGAACTATCTTTATCCATGTATCTAGTATTTAGAATGTGAAGCTGAAGTATGGCAATGCTGCTGATATCTTGTCATTGAGGGCACTCAGCCAGGGCATGTTGCAGTGCAAATTTTATGTGGTGCAGTAGTAATGTAATTTGTCGGGAGCATCATAAACTCCATTTTGTCACTGCTAAACTGATGTGTTAACTGCTGGCATAGCTGATAGCAATGTCTAAGAAAATGATATTCAGGAGGGGTAGGGGCAGTGAGAGAAAGTTGATCTATATAGCAGTTTTTCTCATGATAAAAAATAATTATTTAGATAATAGTGGAATTAGTGGACTTTGTTAGGTGCAGGCTGGTGCATATTTCCTTTCCTGCCTGGTGGGTGTGGGCTGCTTAGGACTTGTTACCATTCTTGATGCTGCTTGTTGACTCTTCTTCCATGCTTTGCAGTCTGGCCTGGTGGTGTGGTAGAAGCCAGAATCAGCAGTATTTTAATATACTGGCTGGACTGAGCTGTACTTGCTATGATTGCAAGCAGAAACAATGTCTTAGTGCTGCACTTGCAGTTTTTTCAATTGCTCAGAGATGCCTTGTGACAGGACCTAGTGCCTACTGGATGGCTGAGGGTGGCATCTCAGTTATCCTAGATTGAGGTGTTATGGTGTATAAATGATCAATTCACCTGGTGAATTCATTATTATGTGTCTGCCAAATACCACTATCACAAATTAAATGTTAAGTTGATGTTTTTTTCAGTGCACTAGGCATATATAGGTATATTATTACCCCTAAAGAAAGATGCTGTTAATACTAAACAGTTGGCAAAGCTTATTAAAACATGTGTATAGAAAACATGTAGCTGTTCAAAAATTGAATTGAATTGTTATTGTTTCAAAATGTTCCTTACCAAGTTTTATCTATTTCCAGGTTGTCATCAGTTAGTAGTTCAACAGTTGGTGTCATCAGTTGGTCATAGAGAAGATCATGAATACTCTGCCCTCCTTGTGGCTTTTAAGCAGTAGAAGGAAAAGTTGAAGATGGAATTACAAACCTGGAATTATATAATCAAATGACTCAAGGATTTTCTATTTTGTTTTATACTTATAATTAGTAGACAATATTGTGTGTGATAAACTTGATCAAATTTTTAATGACTGTTGTGATCTATGAAGAAATCCTGGAAGGAAGATGAGAGAGGAATGATGGTACAGGTGCGGGGTGACTTGTAAAGCAATTGGACTGCAAGTTGTGTGAAGAGATTGGGAACAAGTTAAAGGAGCCATGGTTTTGACTGGATTATTTTTCCTTGTCATACTACCAGCAGTAGCTCAAGGTAAGTTCATTATTAGTTGAAACATTTTGTTAGTAATGTTAGTAACCTTTTCATTTTGCTTTGGGTTCAGCTTATTTCATCTGAGCAATAACTCCATTTTTCAAATGATTTCAATTTTTCTTTTGACTTGAACTGTTTTTAACATGACGTTTGTTATGTTTATATGTCCTGTGTATGACCTGAAGTAAAAATTTGCCAGTGTGATTGGTGATTCTCTTCTCTATTCTCCCTTCTCTCTGCTTCTCCCCTCATCCCCATTCCCCCTCTCTGACTCCACTGACCGCCCGGCCGTCTGTGCGCACCGCAGGCACGCTGGGCGGCTCTCCGGTGCCGACCCGTCCGCTGCTGGTCCGCCAGCCCGATGACGTGGTGGTGGACGCCGAGCGCCCGGCAGCACTGCACTGCCAGCCGCCAGAGGGTGCCTCGGTGGCCTGGCGTCACGGCGGCCTGCTCCTTAGCCCGTCACCGGACAGGTGTGTGCGCCATAAACTGAACTGAACTGCCCGACCGCCGACCGGATTCGTTACGGTACTGATCTGTGGTATGGAGTGGGAGAACGGTAACGCGATGGAGTTTAGGGCAAGACGATGGAATTCAGGGCAAGACTAGAGTTCATGGTATCTTTACAGAAGCAGCTCTGTTCCCGTCGGTTGTGCACAGAATTGCAGCATTGCTATTGCTCGCTGTCATGAGCCAGGGATGCACTCAGACCAGAGGATGTAGTGCTCAGCCGTTCAGGTGCGTGTGTTAGTCCTTCCCGATGTATGTGCTTAGCCCCTGACCTCCGTTCTCGGCTGTGTTTCAGGACCCAGTCGGTGAACGGCTCGTTGCACTTTGTCTCAGTGCAGCCGGCCGACGAGGGTGACTACCAGTGTCAGGTGACGCTGCCAGGGGGCGGCATTCTGCTCAGCAGGAGGGCCTCGCTGCAGCTGGCAGGTACGGTGTCCTACTTCTCGCTCAGCAGGGCTTAGATGATTCTCACAACCCTGCGTCTGTGGTGACAAACGCTCAGTCTATGAACCGTGGTCATTGATCCGAGCACTGCTAATCTATTGGTGTCTTTCTCGATGAATGTGCCCCTGGGAAACAGCTGCCGGTTGCCCCTCTGTGCCGCGCTCGGTCTCCGTCTGACGCCGTCCGCCCGTCCCGTTACAGAGCTGGAATCGGCCGGCGGCCGGGCGGCCCAGCAGACCGTGTTCCTCGGTCAGACGGCGCGGCTCGAGTGTGGCGTGCGCGGTCGGCCGGCACCCTCCATCTCCTGGCTCAAGGATGACCAGCCGCTGCAGCTGGACACGTCACGGATGACGGTGCTGCCGTCGGGCGCGCTCGAGCTCGACCACGCGCAGATGTTCGACCAGGCCGACTACGTGTGTCGGGCGGAGAACGAGCGCGGCTTCGTGCTCGGCCCGCGGGTCCGGCTGGGGATCAACACAAACTATGGTGAGTCGCCCGCGGCCGAGTGTGTGCGTGCGCCGTGAGAGCAGTAGCGGGAGGCCTGAGGTGGTCTGAAGTGCAAGCTACGTGTGCTACCATATTACTGCGGGCCACGGTTCGTAAAGAGCTCTGACCCGATCATGACAATGATTTTTCGCGTGTATCTGGCAGAATAGGTCTTCATCGTCATTGCAGAATATCCGTAGAGCTACATAATCCAGTAATGTGTGCCCGGGAAGCATTCCATTGAACCGCTGCCTGTGATATGTGTCCTGCTTGCCGCCCTGTCGTCCTGTAACATGCGTCTTGCCCTTTCTGCCGCCCTGTCGTTCCATCCTGTCTGTCCCGCAGCTGGCCTGCCGCCTGACTGTCTTGTTCTGACCTCTGCCATGTCTGGTCCTCCTCCCCTGTCTTCGATGCCCTATCTGACCGCCAATGACCTCTCTCACCCACTGCAGACGAGGCTTCCGAGCAGGCGGCGCCGACGTTTGTCGCCCGTCCGGCCGACACCGAGGCCCTCCGAGGCGATAATGTGACGCTGGAGTGCGCCGCCAACGGCAACCCGCGGCCACAGGTCACCTGGCTCAAGGACGGCAACACCATCAACATGTCGTAAGTGCGCCTGGCCGTCACTCTGTCAATGAGATGAGCCTGCTGTTGGTCAGCTGACTGACGCACGGCTTCCACATATCCTTGGGGTTCGTAACTCGTGTGCTTTCAATATATGTGTCTGCGTCCAAATGTCTGTGTTTACTAATATGAGTTGTTTATTATTTTTGTATGATGTCCTTCAACCAGGTAAAATAAGTCATCATGTGCTAGTTTCCACGACAATAAGTGTGTTACCATTCCAAGAGAGTTAAAGGGACCCTCCCACCTTCAAAAAAGTTAATGAATTGGCATGAAAGTGATGTCCCTTGGTTCAGAAAGAGCGAAAACGAATATCTACCAAATTTCACCGAAAAATATTCACTGGATTTCAAGATATTAGGCTTTTACTTTTGTTTACTTTTTGGGATCTCCCCTGTTACTAGCGACTTTATTTGGAAGCAATAATTTGGCAGCCTTAACCCGCGAGTTGCTGGGGGAGGGCGTTAAACGCCCCCACTTTTTTCGCCGTGCCATAGCATAAAAACGGCGCGCCGCGGGCGCGCCAAATTTTGGGTACCTGTAGGGAATTGATTGAAGTTTATTGTGACAAAGTTTCAAAAAAATCGGTCGGAAAATTTTTGAGATATCGAGATTTTAGTGACGTCATGATTTCTGAGTTTTCGACCAAAAACGGCATATGTTCAAAAAAATCATATAAAATCACAGAATAGACATACAGACATGCCGTAAACGCCATTAGACTGCCAATACCATGATCAATCAAATGGCTATCTTCGATTATTGATTATCGTTCCGCATTTTCCATAATCTTAAACTGAATCTTGGCAATTTTTCGTGACTACTTCACGACCATGATACATGAATTTATTAAATTGAACTTTTTGAGCCAAACACGTACACATATGATAAAATGAATGTCACCATCGTGTTCTACGCCCCAAATTACCTATAAAACATGTGTCACAGGCTGCGAATATCAGTTTTGATTTTCGGGTATATGTGCCTACCCGGTTGACCTGACCTTGACCCTGACCTATGCTTGACTGACCCCTACATGGAGCTGACACTCTTGTAGGCCTTATAAGATGGATTGTGCACCGTTTTGACAGAGTTCATTGCGAAAGGCGCCCATTGCGAAGTCCTGAAGTCCATGCTACTGAAAGCCCGATTTCAGGTGTTTGACCTGACCTTGACCCGACCTGTGACCTCAAAATTCAACTTTAAAGTACTCATCTGAAGCGTCTCGTCGCGCTCTTTCGTTTGCCGCCTCGTGCGTTTCGCTGCGCCTATTGGTTCTCGAGTTATCGGCTGGGGGTGTTTAACGCCCCCCCCCCCCCCCAGCAAACGGTGGGTGGCGAAATACCCCAGCAACTGCCGGGTTAAAGTGCGGCAGACGTTGCGCGCAAAGCAGCGTATACCACCACGTGTTAACGATGGTTTTAATCTAAGATTTAAAAATCGTTAGATCTCCGCTGACGTCACAAATTCTAAGGGGGCATTCCAATGCATTAGCCCCTTAGAATCCGAAAACTGCAAGTTTGAAATTCCATATCTTCGAATTAAAGCATTTTTCGATGTTGTGAGTGCCCAAACCGGTATTTGCAGGCCATGGCCACCAATTTGGCTATCTCAACTCAAAACTAATGTTAAGGTGGGAGTGTCCCTTTAAGCGATTGTTTCGCGTATCTGCCAACCCCTGTTCGTTCTGCCGTGCTGTCTGTCCGTTCCCAAGCCTCAATCGTCTCGGCTGACGCGCCTGTGACCGGCGGCAGGTACCTGGACCGGCGCTTTTTCCGCGTCGGAGTCAGCAGCCTTCAGATCGTCGATGTACGAGAGGAGGACTCTGGATCCTACCAGTGTCGGATCTACAACTCTGCGGACTCCGATGATGCCAGCGCGCGGCTCATCGTCAAAGGTTGGTGATCGGAGCTGGACCGTCTGAAAGGCTGTGCCGGTAATGGGCTAACGACAGTAACTGAAGATGTGTATTATTAGACCAGTAGGACTGTTTGTGTTACATCTGATGACTGATGAGTGAATATGGATGCTCTAATAGTGATATGTGTGTATTGTAAGGCTCCTTTACTTTGTATTATGTAAGCTCCTCTGTAACTCGCCTAGTCCCTCCGGAGGTCATCGTGCGACTGTAAGTGACGCTAGTGATCGTTTCGCGTCTCCAGCTCCGCCAGAGTTCGTGGTGCGGCCCAGTCCGACATCAGCCGCCGAAAAGGAGGACGTGGAGCTGACCTGCGAGGCGCGCGGTTCGCCGACACCGACCATCACCTGGACTAAGGACGGCGAGCGACTGCATAACTCAAACTACTTCCAGGTGAGCAGACTGTGTCTTCAGCTGTGGTGGGGGTAAACAGTTCGTTTAAGCCTCCTGTATTTTAAGCTGCCAGCGCTGACCATGTTGGTCAGCGTTCTAGTTCTGTCATAGTTCTGTCACCCATGTTGGACTCGCTATGCGTGTAATCTAAGCCACAATCTCACGCCATTTATCTTCGTCCCTCAGTTGGCGGACGGCGGCCGGCGACTGCGAATTCTCGGCTTGGTGCCGCGTGACGCCGGTATCTACCAGTGTTTCGCGTCCAACGACGCCGGTAACATCCAGACGGCGGCGCGGCTGTCCGTTAGGGACATGGGTAAGACGTCGACTGAGACTGCGCTGCAATATTGTACTGCTCATTTTGATGAAGGACGTCTGAGCATTAAATATTTGGGTGATCTATAGATCATATTCTCTTGATTTCACTTTATCCGTTTTGTTGTGAAACCGGTCAGATTTTTGCAACTGCCCAAATGATCGAACATTCATGGTATTTTGGGAGGAGCTTTTTTCAACTTGGACGAAGAGCGGCAATGTGTGTGACTGTGTTTCTAGCTGAACATACGTGACCATTCCATATCGCTGAAGTGTGTCTCCATCCCTCGCCTCCCCACACCTGACGCCGGCTCTGACGCTGCAGACTCCGACGGCCGTACCCTGAACGGCGGCGGTGCGGGAGCGGCCGCGCCCGGAGACGACTCCGACGGCACAGCAGCCTCTGCTCCTCGCGGCTTCAACGCCAGTTCGGTGGGCTCCCGGGAGATGACGCTGGTCTGGCGGGAGCCACTGAGCAGCTCTGGCGCCGTCACCGGCTACTCGGTGGTCTACCGCGAACAGGGCTCGGACAGGTGAGCGGCGTGGGTGGGACTGGTGACTCGCCGGAACATGATGGCGTTTGTTCTTTGGCCGGAACGGTCAGCTGACATCGTCAGCCCTCGATCTTCAAGAGGCCTGTGGTTTTCTTATGTGTTTCGGCAATGGTGGGGATGTGAACTGAGTCAGCATTTCGCTCTAATTGAGTTAAGTTGGCTATGTTAAATTAGCTCAAATTAAATTAGCTCAATTTAACTAACTTAATTGAGCTGAATGAAAGAGAAAATGTCTACATTCTCTACAAACCAACGCACCTCCGATTGACCCCACCGTTTGTCTCTGTCCGGCAGGGAGCGAGTCCAGAACACGTCCGCCGGCTCGTCGGCGCCCAGTGTGCAGCTGCACGGCCTCCAGCCGGACACCGAGTACGAGCTGAGCGTACGCGCGCTGCTGGGCGCCGCCGGCGGCCGGCCGTCGCCGCCGCTGCTGCTGCGCACGCGGCCCGAGCGGACGGTGCCGGCGGCGCCCGGCCGACTCCGGCTGACCGCCGTCGGAGCCACCCGGCTGCTGGCGCGCTGGGAGCCTGTCGAGCCGCCGCCCGACGGATACACCCTCTACTTGACCCAGGTTAGTGGGCTGGGTGACGTTACATGGACAGACACTCCTAACTTTTTCACTTTTGCCTTTGCGACGATACCTAGCTCTGTAGTGACCGCTGAAACGAGTTCTGCAGACTCTGAAGGACATAGTACACGGATCGAAAAGTGTGCTGTGCCACTTAAGACCCATTGTCGTGCGTTATAGGCAGGTATCGCTGATGAACATGGCCACAATTGGCTACATCCCGGCCTGTCGTATGATTTTTTTTTTTTTAGACATGCATTATAATGTGGGCCTATCGGTGAGGATCTGTCTGTGACCCGTTACTTCGTTCCCCGTCGTACCAACAGTCTGGCGGCGATGGGACGCGAACCTTCAACACCACGGCCACGGAGCTACTGGTGGGTGAGCTGCGCAAGTTTACCGTCTACCGAGCCCGCGTGGCTGCCCTGGGCCCGGCCGGCGTCGGCCCGAGCTCCGCCGAGCAGAGCGCTACGACCTGGAGCGACGTGCCCTCCGAGACTCCGCAGAACGTCACCGTCCAGACGGACAGCGATACGGTACGTACGGCGACACCTGGCAGCGCCGGGGTGGGGGCCACTTGATGCTGCCGACACTATAACACTTAGCTTGTATGCTACCGATACGGAGGTAAACCGATGTAGGTAATGAAAATTGACAAACTAAGGGAGTTGCGGTATAATGCGTCCTGCCATAAAAAGAGTTGTATTTGTATCTGACGTGTAACTCAACTGTCCATAGTCAAAGGTCAGCGCATCCGTACCGAGCTAAAAACTTTATCAGACCTTTGTTTTCTGGCATAACCTCAGCTAACTTTAAACCGACTCTCTGTGTCTGGCAGAGCGTGGTGCTGCACTGGCAGCCGCCGCCCCCTGAGCAGCGGAACGGTCACATCACCGGCTACAAGATCCGCTACAAGCTGCAGTCGGGCGGCGGCGGCCAGCGGGCGCAGACGGTCGTCACGGACGCCAGTCGACGCACCCACACACTCACCGGCCTGAAGAAGGATGCCGAGTACCTGGTGAAGATGGCCGCGCTGACAGTGAACGGCACGGGCCCGTACACGCGCTGGCACGCGGCGCAGACCTTCCACCGACTGCAGGTGGAGACGACCGTACCCGACCAGCCGGCGAGCCTCAGAGGTAGGGGCGCATCTACACACACTGTCAGGCAGACGTCGTGGTCCAGGCGTGGTCCCCCGATGGACATGATTCTCGCACGTTATTGCGTCGATCTATGTGAAAATCCTTTACCGTTATACAGACGTTTATGGTCACGATTTAAACACCGTCTCGGAAGGCGGCTGTTGACATTTTTTGGATATTCGATATTATAGTATGTTTACCTCGCAAATTACTGCTTCGGGATGTTCACGGGATGATCGTGTATGTGGGTCTCTGCCTCTGGGCTCGATTGTTTGGTGAGGCCGTCACCATTTCCGTGACTGTGACCGTGCCTGCGCCCGCCTCCAGCCCGTCCCACGGAGACCACCATCACCGTGCTCTGGTCGCCGCCGCTCAACGACAACATCCGTGTGCGCGGCTACAAGATCGGCTGGGGCCGCGGTGTGCCCGACACCTACACGGAGCTGATCGACGCCGAGCGGCAGCGCTTCTACGTCATCGACGGACTCGGTGAGTAGGCCGCCGGTCTTCGGATCACTGGGTGACTGAGGTCGGGTCGCCGATGACCTGGTCACTTGTCAGTTAGGACCGGGTCACTTGGGTCTTGTCAATTAGGATCGGACAGCCAGGTCACTGGATCAATTGTAAGCCAGGCCACCGGGTCCTTGTCCGTTTGGGCTTGGAAACGTGTCAGCCAGCCACGCCCTTAGGCTTTGAGGTCGGTAGCGAGCCAGGTCACTTAGGTTACTTTTTAGCCATGTTACGGTGTCCAACAATCAGTCAGGGTCGTATCATTGCTGCGCCGTGTTCAGATCATGGCTGACCAGTCAGGGCCACGGTGCTGTTTAAATCACGTTGATGTCGCGCTCACTAACCGTCTCCTCTCTGCCCTGCATCAATAGAGCCACACAACGAGTACGTGGTATCGCTGCGCGCGGTGAACGCGGCCGGACCGGGTCTGCCCATTTACGAGACGCTGTGGACGCGCGATCGTCCGGCCGACGCCCGGCCGCTGGTCATACCGACCGGCCTGAAGGTGACAGAGGTCACCGACTCGACTGCCTCGCTCGAGTTCACCGACCGTTCGCTGCCGTCACAGGTTCGTGCCGAGACGTCCATCCGCGCGGTAACACGTGCTTCAGTTAGTTACTATACGTTGGGGCTAGAATCGTGTGTGCGCGTAATGCGAATATGTGCGTTTGTCTGCATGCTTTCTTTCTTACACGGTCAGTAGTACCTATGCATATGTTAATTAAGGAGTGTACGAACGGATTGCGTTTGTTTTCTTCTTGTAATTTTGTTAAGAAAATAATAGTTTAAGAATCTTCCTATGGCATGTTGCGCAAACCTACAGCTAATTCCTGGCATTCATCGAGACCTTGCCAGATACCTGGTCTTACTCGCCATCGTCCGTATCTTCGTGAGCGTCACGTCACGGGACCTGGAGCCTGTTGTGTGGCGCGGCCCGTCACCGACTCGCCGTGACAGTGACGGCGCTGCTGCCCGGCGCCGGCCCCGTCCCCGGGACACCGCGGCTCCCTCGCTCACCGGCCACATTTGCCGCGGGGCATGAGAGAGGGACGGAGTCGGCCGACGCTGGTGGTGTCCCTCCGAGACCCTGCACGTCCAGCCACGGTGGCGCGGGACAGGTGCGCCGGCCGTTATCCGGCACACGTACTGACCCGCCTCGGCTCCGAGCTGTCAGCTCCTCGGGCGCGGACGCCGGCCTGACAGGTCTGGCCGCTCCGGCTCCGGGCAGCTCCCCTCCGTCCGGTCGGCGGACACACCGCGGTCGGCGGTCTCACCACCGTCAGCGGGGCTCCAGGGGTGGCGCCTGGCGGCCGGCGGACCGGCGCTCGGGCCTCATGCTGGCGGGGCTCAACGTGCAGTCACTGAAACCGAAGGTGCTGGAACTGCGACAGGAGCTGGCACGAAATAGATACGATGTCATTGTTTTGACGGAAACATGGATGCGACCCAACACTCCGAACCGGCTTATTAACCTACCCGGCTTCGTCATTCACCGGCGCGATCGACCGGACGGGTCCGGCTACGGTGGCGTAGCAATAGTCACCAGTGAGACTATGAGCTACCGCGAGCTCCCCCAGCCGAGCCCCGGTGACAACAGCAAGCTTGAGTCGCTGTGGGCTGTTGTGGTGACGGGCAGCGGGCGCCGGTTCATTCTGGCCGCCATCTACCGGCCGCCGCGGCGTACGGTGGCCGCGCTCGAGGCGGACTTTAGTGACTTGGAGCGACAGTACCAGGCCGCTGTGCTCAGTCACCCCGGACTGCCAGTCATCGTCACCGGAGACCTGAACTGTGACATGCTATCCCCCGCCGCTGAACCACCGGGCCGGCGACTGAGTGAATTTATGTCGGATTTTCATTTGTCCCAGGTGATTGATTGCCCTACTTATTCGTCTGGTTCTCTGCTCGATGTTATTCTGGTGAGCAGCAGGGAGATTGTCTCGCGGGCCGGCACGCGCACCTGCCACTTTAGCCCTCACTCGTTCGTGAGAGCCGAGTTAGCGTTACCGCGTCCTGACAGGAAGCCGGTTACCGTCGAGTGCCGCGGGATACAGCGTATCGATGAGCTCGCCTTCTGCTGTGACTTGTCGGCCGCTGATTGGTCCCCTGTGTACCAGACCGACAGCACAGCCGAACAGTGGCAACATTTCCTGGACGCATTTACACCAGTGCTTGACAGTCACGCACCGATGAAAAGGGTCAAGATCCACAACCCGACCGCGCCGCCAGTGTCTGATGACACGAAGCAGCTCATGGCTACTCGGCGGCGTGCGCTGCGTGACGGCGACACCGAGCTCTACCGCGAGGTGAATCGGCAAGTCAAGGCGTCAATCCGCCGTGACAGTCGAGAGCACATCAACAACAAGATCAGGGAACAAGGCCCCCGCTCTACGTGGCGCAACCTACGGTCAGTGGTCGCTGGCAAGAAATCACAGGCAGTGCTCCCGTCTGTTGGGGCAGACGAGATGAACTCGTACTTTGTCCAGGTCGGGCCGCGGGTGGTGCGGGAGCGAGACGGTGACCGCGTAGTACCGTGCCGGCTGCCGCGTGTGGGCTCGTGCGGGTTCACAGTCCGGCCTGTGGACATCGATATGCTGCGCAGGGTGGTGTTCTCCATGCGAGGCACCTCTGCGTGTGGACTCGACGGGGTGTCGATCAAGATAGTTAAGCTGTGTTTTGATGTGATTGGTCCGATCTTACAACATGTTATTAACAACTGTCTGACCCGAAACGACTTCCCTGGCTCTTGGAAGCATTCTGTGGTGCGACCCATTTTCAAGTCAGGTGACCCGACTTTGCCGGCCAATTATAGGCCGATATCGCTTGTGCCCGTCATCGCCAAGATCACTGAGCGGATCGTCCAGCGTCAGCTCCATTATTACCTCTCTAGCAACTTTCTTCTCTCGGACAGTCAACATGGATTTCGGCCCAACCATTCGACTGCTTCCGCTCTTATTAACGTCTCCGATAGTATACTCTCAGCCATGGACAACAGCGAAATTTCTCTCCTGTGTCTCATTGACCTAAGTAAATGCTTTGATATCATCAACCATTCTAAATTACTTGACAAGCTCCAACTACTTGGGATTGACGCTGGATGGTTCCGCTCATATCTTGAGGGCCACACACAGAGTGTATGCATCAGTGATGGTAGGGGTCACCGCGTACTCTCCAAGTCACTGCCAAACCATGTTGGTGTGTTCCAAGGCTCGGCCCTCGGGCCTTTGTTGTTCACTTGCTTTGCGAACGACATGAGCCTGCATGCCCTTGATGCGCGTATCGTTCAGTACGCTGACGATACGCAGGTGCTCGTCAGTGGCCGTAGGACAGCGATGAGCGACACAGTGACTAGAATGGAGACGACCCTGGCAGCCCTCAGTGACTGGTTTGCGGCCAATGGGTTGAAAGTCAATGCCACCAAGACTGAATTGATTGCGTTTGGCAGCCGGCAGAGCATGCGCAACCTGCCTGACATAAATGTAAGATTTAGAGACGCCGTCTTGAAACCGTGTCAAAAGGTCAAGAATCTGGGCGTGACCTTCGATTCTTACCTCACCTGGGATGACCATGTTGCTGCCATTGTTGGTAAATGTTTCGGAGCGCTGATAGGATTGAGCCAGGTGCGCCACTACATACCAGAGGAAACGATTGTGACGCTTGTGACTGCCCTTGTTCTCTCACATGTGCGGTACTGCCTGCCCGTTTACGGGAACTGCTCGAAAGGGAACCTCGCACGACTTGATAAGGTCATTAATTTTGCCGCAAGGGTTGTGTCTGGCCGTCGCAAATATGACCACGTGGCTGATGTAAGGGACGCGCTGGGGTGGCTCTCGGCTGGTGACCTATCGTCGTACGATACGCTGGTGCTACTGCACAAGGTTATCCGAACGGGCGAGCCAGCTGACATTGCCGCTATGTTTCGCCGAAATGAGGAGATGCGCGAGCGAGCGACTAGACGGGATAGCAGGCTGTGGCTACCTGGCATCCACACAGAGGCGGGGCGTCGAAGGTTCAGCTACCGTGCAGCCATGCAGTACAACGCTCTGCCCAGTGATTTTCCGGACATGTCAACAAACAAGTTCAAATCATCGCTCAAACGTCGCTTTCAACACTGATTTAGGCTTATGCATATGGGTTGCATGTATGTCAGCTGAAATCTATTCATGCATAGCCATGCGTTTTGGTGAGTTTTGTGTGATATGTTGAGTGTGATGTCTTTTTGTTCCATTCTCATATGACGCGGGAGCGTAATAGCCACAACTACCTGTGGATGCCCCCCAGATGTAAATACAATACAATACAATAATTATCTCATTTGAAACCACTTGTTGTGTCGGGATCGATTCTAACTCGACGGTCCGTCCCGCGCCTTTGGCAGGATGAGCCGGCGGACGGCCGTCAGTACCGGGTGCGGTACAGTACCCAGGCCAACCCGGACCGGTACCGGTACCAGAACGCTACCGGACTGAGCTGCCGAGTGGAGGGACTGCGGCCGGCCACCACCTACGAGTTCTCCGTGCAGACCGTCAAGGTAGGCGGGTGTGACTGACTGACTGACGGCGAATGGAAGCTGCTGACATTTGGGCTCACTTACTGTGAAGTAGAGAATATACTTTTTCTGACTCACATACCGCAAAGGGAAGTCGTTGCATGTTCTGACACCCTGACATAAAGAAGGGGCAAGGCTGTTCATTTTTTTTTCAGCGTTAATTTGTAGCTTGTGGAATAATTTGTAGACTGTTGCGGTTGTCAGACAGCCTCAGGCAGTTTATTTGACCACTGAGCACCACGGCCCTGAGGAGCTTGCCTTGGGATGAAATATGAATGCATTTAGTGTGATGACGGAACAATCCATGCGGCGTGCTGTGTCGCTAACTGAGGCTCACCTCTGCTGCAGGGTCACCGCGAGTCGGACTGGTCGCTAGTGGTGGAGAACCGCACCCGGGAGGCGCCGCCGTCGTCCCCGCCGCGCGACCTCACCATCGTGCAGTCGGAGGAGAACCCGGCCATCATCAACCTGAGCTGGCAGCCGCCGCGCGCGCCCAACGGGCCCATCGACGGTACGGGCCGCGCAGAGCAGCGCAGGGCAGAGGCTTGCTAAAGCTTTATTAATTTTTTATTCATTCATTATATTGTTCACCGGGACTTCGAGCTTTATATATGACTGATGTTTTTGACTCTAAGACTGGTTAAAAGTGCATCCAAATGTCAGTAACCCCTCTTACCTTTGACTTAGGACTGCAAGTGTTCCATGCACACACTCTGACCCAGCCAGTGTCATACAAAGGGTAAGTCCCCAAATTTGGTAAACTCGTTCAATAAAAATTGGTAGGTCTATGTATTTTATGACTCGGTCAGACGGTGTTTGACGCCCCGTTCGGCCGGCAGGCTACGTGATCCTGTACACGACGGACCGCTCGCTGCCGGACCGCGAGTGGCGGGTGCACCCAGTGGTTGGTGACCGGATGACGACCACCATCACCGGCCTGACGCCCTCCACCCACTACTGGTTCCGCATCCAGGCCCGCAACGGCGCCGGCACCGGGCCCATCTCCCGCGCAGAGAAACTGCTCACCAGCTCAGGTACTGAGACGGGAGTCACGTGGCTGGTCAGTGGTCGCAGCTTCTCTTCGTATGTTTGCAGGCTGGGCTTTCTATGGAATGGTATTTGTCTTTATGTTATTGAATTTGTTTTGAACATTTGTGTCGGCATGTAGTTATTTTGTTGTGTGCTTTTTCAAACCTCCACAGTTTTAATAGATTATGTGAATGTTTCATTATACATTAATTTTTCCTCTGCCTATCTATGTTCGTTCTGTTTGCTTGTTTTACACACATTCCCGTTTGCCTGTGCTTTGTTGCCTTGCTTTGTTGACCGCCTTGGTATTGCTTTTCGTAGACCCTGGCTACAGCCTCACGCGACAAAAGGCTGGTGAGTATTTCAACCCCGTTTTCCGTTTTTTTTTTGTCACATAAATGTTGGTTACGCTGCAGACATCTGTTTTGCCCTTTTCCCGACTGCTTCATGTCTTTTGCTCTATATCGCACATTTTTTTCATATTTCATTCATGTGCAGTCTGCAGACGCCGTGAATTTTCGGGTGCCGTGCTGTGTTGGGCCTGTCTGGCGTCCGTCAAACTATATAATGTCCGACCGTCCGACCGGGTTTCGTCCCTCCGTCTGATCTGACCGCATTCAGTTGACCGTCTGGTGTGCGTCCTTGCGTCTGCCTTTCCTTTTGATCTTCCGTCCGCCCATCCGTCCGTCTGACCGCCGTCGCTTGACCGTCTCCGTCCGTTCGTCCGTCCGCCCGTCCGTCCGTCCGTCCGTCCGTCCGCCGCCGGCTGACCGTCCGTCCGTCCGTCCGTCCGTCTGATTGTTCGTCTGACCAAGTGGCTCCCGTTCGTACGTTCGTCGGTCCGTTCGTCCGTCCGTTCGTCCGTCCGTCTGACCCGTCCGTCTGACCTTGTCCGTCTGACCGCCGCCGGCTGACCGTCGATCCGACTGTGAGGTGTCAATCTGTCCGTCCATCCGTCTGACCCCCTCCCCCCTCTGGCCGCCCTCGCAAAGGTGGTGGTCTCGGCGACAACCTGTTGTACGTCATCATCGCCTGCGCCGTGACACTGCTCCTGGTGGTGACCATAGTGGCCGTAGTGTGCCTCTGTAAACGACAGCCGGCCGGCCGGCTGGCCAACGACCGGCGCGGCCACAAGAGGTGGGCAGGGACGCGCAGTGGCGCCGGAGCGGGAGGCTTTGGTCTCTGCTGGGCACGGGGTGTTGTAAGATTTTATCACATCATGCCAGTCATGATACATGTTTTGAAGATGGTATCTATACGAAATGAAGCCTAGGCTGCTTAATTTGACGTACGAAATGAAGACTAGGCTGCTTAATTTGACGTAACGATAACGTGAAATTATGTATTTTTGCGTATCATTGGAGTCTTCCCTAAACAATGAACTTCAATGACTTCAAATATCCTGCTGCATGCAGACAAAGATAGAAATTGATGGAAAGACGATAATAATTCATACGCATCCATTGTGCAGTATCTCAACCTCCTACTCCCACTTCAAATTTTCCGTCGCATGTTTGCAGTAACAGCTACGTGAAGAGTCAGACGGAGATCGGCACGCCGGACCTGAAGCCGCCCGATCTGTGGATCCATCACGACCAGATGGAGCTGCGGCCGCTGGGCAAGCACCGCTCGGACAGCTGCGGTTCGCTGCGGCGGCCCTCGCCCGACTACGAGCCCGACGGGCGCGCCTACTCCTCCACACTGGACAGGAAGGAGCGCCTGCTGCGCGCTCAGTCGCCCGGCGCAGGAAAAGGTAGGCGGTGCCAGAGCGTTGTGGCTGGCTCCGAGGATGGTTGATGTTCGCTGCAGTGTTGTAGATGAGCTGTTGTGTCTGAGCCGATTTTTGTGTTTGGTATGAATGACGCTGGCTGGCTCGGGCTTGCCGGTGCTTGGTGTCGTTTGCCTGCTATTATCACGGTAAGCTGTCGCTGACTGTTAGATTTGCACACAGCTTGCAAAACGCTGCACTGTTTTGCATCGCCTTTATCTTGTCAGCTAGTCCCTCCAGCTAGCTGCCTTGCACCATAGCCGACTGCACACACTGCACACAACAGTCGACGTCCCAGCTTCTGTGCATCGTCCTCCTCCGACACGGGCCCAGGATGCTGTCGTTGATAAGGGTCAAGGTGCCCGCAATCCTGACCCCTCCCCCCTTCATCTGCCCGGAATCCACTTCCTATTCCGTCCATCTCACTGCACCCCTTATCACTGAGCTGTTGTGCACCATCCGCCTGCTCGGTACCGGCCCTTTGCTGTACTATTCGGTCGGACCGCACTGCACGTATCGCCTGTCTGCCTATCTGAGTGTCCGGTGCCTGCTGTAGTCGCGGGGAGCTGACCCAGGTCGCACTCCGCCCCGCCCCCCGCACAGGGTACGCTTACAGAGCCCGCAGCGAGGACCGGCTGAACGCACAGCTCCAGCGGCGCTCCTTTAAACCAAAGCCGATCGTTGTGCCCATTGATGTGGCGCAGAACGCGGATCGTGAGTACGGCCGGGTGCGGGATGTATGATCGGCGGAGCCACGGAACACCGTCTGCTAGAGTATTTGTCGGAAATCGTCTCATTCAATACTGGCTAAAAAAAAAAAAAATGGACTTGTTTTTATGTAATACCAATAATTAGTCACTTTTTGCTACACCGCATGTAAACTAATGCTTAGGTAATAAAGTTAGTGGTCAGATAGCGACCCTGATCTCAGTGACTGGCCTTCATTGGGCGCATCCGTGTAATGGATGCTGCCAGTCTGCCGCATTTTCCTAACAGACGGTATGTGCTAGGGTACTTGAAATGGATGCATCATTTGTTCTGGATATGCTTAAAGAATGCCCGGACTTCGCTAAATGTTGTGTTCACACAGCTTCAGCCTTTCGTTTGTTGTTGCCCCGCATGCAGTTTCCCTGCGTCCGCTTTCTTATGTTCCGGAGTAGGGGAGGGTAAGGGGGCTGCCGCTCTTTGCTGGCCGCTCGTATCGTGTGTCGCTATTGTCTCTCGGTGATTCTCCAGCGGCGTTTTCCCCCGTTCCAGCCGGTAGCTCGGCCACGGCCCTGGCGAACGGCACGGTGGAGACACGTCCCGTGTACCCGCGCACCCAGTTCAGCATCTCCCGGGCCGGTGTGGAGCCGCCGCCGCCGCCAGGTACCGCAGACATGTACCGCTCCTCAGTCAGCGGGCGGAGCGTACAGACGGCGTAAAGGCCGGTCGTTTGTGTTCTGCTTTTGTTTAAAGATAAGGCGCTCTCATGTCAAAATCACTGCAGGTTTGAAGTGATATCTTATTGACATAACTGGACCCCAGCGTGTTGGTATTTGAATAATCGTGACTGCTCTCAGTTTCCACACGCCATTACTTGTTTGTCGTCCTAAGTAAGCCATTCGATCCCCTCTGACCACAGTGTCCCTGTTTGGTACAGCGCCGTCGGCCCCGGAGAGCCACTACGGCGCCGGCCTGGGCCTGACGTCGGCCTCCTCGTCGGAGGCGGCCGGGCCGGCCGGTCTGCCGCCCGGCTACTCGGCTAGTTCGGCCAGCAGCATCGACTCCGGATCGCTGGGCAAGCGCGTGCCGCCGCCCACACACCCGCTCAAAAGCTTCGGCGTGCCGGCGCCGCCGCCGCCGCTGCCGGCCGGGCCGCGCGCGCTCGGCAGCCCCCTGAAGAGACCGTCGTTCGCCAGCTCGCCCCGGGCCAGCGACGGTCCGTGCAGTCGGGAGGAGATGCTGCCACTTCAGGTAAGAGCATTGGGGTGAGATTGATGAGAGACCGTATCAAAGTGCACCTTCAGTACCGCTGTATCCTGTCATGTCTGGATAATTGTATGCGGTTTCCACTTGAACTGAGCCCATCTCAGCGGGTTAGTCGCGTGGTTCCTGGGTTTTGCCCTTTTGATGCTTCGTCGCGCTGATTTTACAACTGGCTTACATAACAGCGCTTCAGTTACTTGCCTTTGGGGCGCCTTGTTTAACTCCTTTTTCCCAATTTTTTTTCCCCAGCCGTCCTACAGCACCGAGGAGCTGACGCAGGAGATGGCCAACCTGGAGGGTCTGATGAAGGATCTGAACGCCATCACCGCCTCCGAGTTCCAGTGCTAGTGGCGCCGCCCAATGAGGCAGCTACCGGCGACCGGCGCGGGCCCGCCGCGGCCCCAGGACTGAGCCGGCGCCGCACAGTGAGCGATAGTTGTGTTCCTTTTGAGTCATTATTTGTGCCAAAGGCAGCATTGTACCAAGTTTTCTTTTTGTAACGCTTTTTACGGAGTAGTGACACTGTACCGTTGCGGGGGATGGTGTGGACTATGTGGACGCGCGGCGGCGGGTCTGTCGTGCGCCCCGTGTGGACAATGTGGACTGGGCGCGCGCCCGGTGGACGGTCTTTTAGACCTCTGTCCCAGTGGACAGGTGTCTGTCGACTCCGGCAGTCAGCGACCAGCTCTGTACCTATTGTACATACAATATCGCATTCGGCGCACGTTTCCGTTCCGGCACCCCGCACAACGTAGCTTTGTCTGTAGTTGGAATCTCGCAAGACCGCCCGAGTACAATGTGTTTATGTATTTTCCTAGCGTTACGTTGGCCGTCCAGTGTTCCGCGTAACGCGTGTGCGCCCTACCACTTTCCCGTGACCTTTTTTATTATGCGTGGACACTGGCGCTGTTCCTGCACTGATTGCAACTTTGTCGTAATGTATTCTAATACATTTTATACTGCGCGTAACATTTGTGTTCACCTATGCTTTTGACCTCGCAATATGTTAACACCTTTTTGGCAACTCACCTTCCTTCCCTGGGAACCGGTAAATGACGAAACTTTAGCAAGGTGTTCATTTTTCTACCACCCGTTTACAGATGCTCACTCCTTCGCACAGGTTCCCGATTTCACCGCCGTACCCCGCTACTCTGATCGATTAGAACGGTGAACCATGGAACTGGGTGGACCCAACTAACTTGCGGTACTTTTGCCTTTGGTATTATTGCCACTCCCCACAGAAACACATCAGCATAAAAACAAATCGTGACACCACTCAATCTACCGTGACACCATTCTCTCACGTGATCTCAGTTTCATCCCGGCTCACAGTAGCAGAGTTTGACGCGTCACTTTGTTCACAGCCGTCCAGTTTTGACTCCCGACTGCCGTCCACCTCTAGCCACCATGGGTCCTGAGGAGGCTCGCTGCCGCCGGTACCGGCCCTACTTGACATCACCTCCCTGAGCGGCCGGCGTCGTCGGCTGATAGCCTCGTGACGCACTTCCCCATCATCCACCCAGGAGATCAGCAGCGTCTTCGAGCAGCCGTGCGCCAGCCGCTGCATGCCCGCCAGATCACGCACGTGAGGCCGCCGCTGGACACATCGCACCACAAACGCTGCGTGATAAACCAGCGGGTCGCCCTCGTACGCCAGGAAGTGGCCGCCGAACTTGAGTCCGTCTGTGAGCCAGTACCCGCGCCGCCACAGGTCGGCGTAGACCGCTCGGCGTGTGCGCGCGGCAGGGTCGGCCGTCGGCGGCGGCGGCGGCGGCACCCGCTCGGGCCGCAGCGTCAGCGGGTGGCCGCAGTACAGCTGCTGGTGGCACTGGCCGACCGGCGGCGGCCGCACGTCGGCGCGCAGCTGCTCGATGAACTCGAACCTCAGCTGCTCGCGGCTGACGTCCGGCGCCGGCTTCCCGGCCGCCCGCAGACGCTCCAGCTTGCGCCACTTGCCCTCGACGATCTGGTCGGCGCGTTCCAGCAGCTGCTTGTGCCGCGTGAGCGTCATGAGGCGCTGCTGGGCGGCCGCACTGGCTGCCTCTCGCTGGGCCAGCGCGCGGCGCTGGTCGGCGGACCGCGGACGCAGCAACTCCGGGTACTGCACCAGCTCAGCGAGCCCTGCCGACAGAGAACAGTCGATGACAGAACGGACCGCAGCTTCTCAGCGAACTTTAGTAAAGTTGAGTAAAGCATAAATTTAGCGGAGTTGAAAGTAAACTAAAAAGAGGAGACCCGGTAAACGCCATGATTGTGAGCCGAAATAGAAAAGACCGAAGAAAGAGTCACTGGCCACAAACATCCATGTGCACAAGTCGTTTGTTGAGACGTTCGTTGCCTGCTGGCTGCTTACCTTGCCGATGCAGGAGGTCCATCTCCTCTGGCAGCAGGGTCAGCGGCAGACCCAGCTGGGCCGGCTGGCGCGGGGCGCGCGCCACGCTGCCCGCCGGCTGACCGGTGACTCCCAGCTGGCGCAGCTGGCGGGCGGCAGCAGCACTCCACACGTAGCCCAGGCGGCCACTGGCTACCTCCAGCTGCAGAGCGGAATCGGGCTCGACGGCCGCCGGGCAGTCACCGACAGAGACGTGCTCTGTAGTTGGTGGGCATGTGGTATCGGACTGAGGTTCAGCAGCAGGGAAGCCCCCACCATTGTCCCAGTGTGCGGGACACGATTCGTCATCGTCCTGTTTTGGACCGGGCGAGCTGCACCAGTCTGCAGCGGCCGCCTCGCTATCATCCAAAGCATCCCATTCCGGCTCCGACCCAGCCACAGGCGGGGCTAAGTTGGAAGAGTCCATGAGACGCTGGGAGCAAGACTGGGCCAAGTCCTGGTGAAGAGGACCATGCTTGACTGCTGCGGCTGAAGCTAGCTGCACATCACTTGGATGGGATGCCTCCAGTATTCTTTTATCTGTGAACATTTTTTACAGACAGTTTTAGGCAGGGAAGGGGTTCACAGGTGCTGGAGCACGTTTTAGCTCCAATTTTAAACCTTAACAACACTAAGTACCTAGTACCATAGTGAGTTCACCCTCACACTTTTAGGTTCAGATGGACTAGTCTGTCCCCATGGTTTTTCACACAAAAATCTAGCACAAAGCAGCTGATAATGACGAAGCTTGCAGCATGTACTCTCAAGCTAATCAATGCCACACACTGACATGCCCTGAAAATTCCATGACCCTATCCAAGAAGACCTTTGATCTGAGCCCAGATCATGTCAATTGTCAGGCCAGAATTGCAATTCAGCATAAATCAGCATACCTTACTCAAACATTTCCAGGCTTTTAGTGAGTAAAAACATGCCCTCATGTGAAATGATTTTTATCCCATGCTTTGAGGTGGGTATACCAGCCACCAGGTATACCCACCTATAGTTATACCTGGTATACCTGGTATACCTGGTATACCCCCCCCCCCCCACCTACCCACCAAGGCCCTATATACCCTAGGGTCAAACTCATGTGAAGGTCAAGTCAAGGACAATGACCTTGGTTCTCCTCTTTTTAAATTTTACCAGATTCTACAGCAGTTTTTGGAGCTGATTTCAAATTTAGCACCCATTTGAATGATTGAGGAGAAGTTCTGATGGTGATGCAACATGCTGCAAAGCTAATAGTGATGGTTTTAATACATAGCGTGGATAGTCAGTGGGATGCCTACAGGTTGACCTCACCAGACCTGAGCTGACCTTACCTAACTACATGAATATTTCATTTATGTTATGAGCAAAACTGATATAAAATTTGAAATCAAGACCATACAACCTCATTACTAGGTAGGGTAGTAGGTACCTCCTTTAAACAGTTTTAGCAGGTCCCTATTATCCTGAACTTTAGAGCAATGAATTGACCAGGGAGGTCAACCAATAACCCAAGAGTACAACATTGGGTACCATGGATCATGGATGGGCTTCCTCTTGTCAATGAAAATTGGAAGCACACCCATTTTTTATTCAGAGCTCCTACCTCAATCCAAGCATGAATCAAGGGCCAAACAGCTGGGGGGAGGGGTTCGACCAGCTCAAGCTCATTCAGTATCATGTCCTTGTAATGTTAAAAGATTTGATATTTGAATTCTGGGATGTCTTCAGTTTTGCCCTGGTGTCTATAGCTCTATACCAGTCGGGGAAACTATGGTAAAATCTGCTATTTTTAGCAGTCTGCTATTTTTAGCAGAAATCTGCTAAAAATGGGTACGCATGTGACGTCATCGTACCCAAATATAGCAGATTTGGGTACGGCCCCATACAAAAGCAGATCTGCACCCTAATTGAAGCAAATGCGCATCAAATGCCTGGCAGATTCATGATTAGAATAGTGCTGAGAATGTCCTCTGATATTTTTGTTCAGATCCGACTATTTTCAAATTCATTATTTGAAAATAGTCGGATCTGAACAAAAATATCAGAGGACATTCTCAGCACTATTCTAATCATGAATCTGCCAGGCATTTGATGCGCATTTGCTTCAATTAGGGTGCAGATCTGCTTTTGTATGGGGCCGTACCCAAATCTGCTATATTTGGGTACGATGACGTCACATGCGTACCCATTTTTAGCAGATTTCTGCTAAAAATAGCAGACTGCTAAAAATAGCAGATTTTACCATAGTTTCCCCGACTGATACCTAATTAGTTACGACACCAGTAGTGCAAGTTGAAGCTACGGTTGGAATCGATCAGAACTCAGATCAATGTTAAAGGAGTCAGAGTTAGAGGGTAAGCCAGATTCATCGGAGTCTGGGTCCATTGAATAAGTGAAATAATGGTCATATTGATATTGATATGCAATCCCGTCTTTCCCAGGTCAAGGTAAAGGTCATGTCTAACAAATTGATGATTCCACGCGACAAGATAGAAATGTCTTGTCATTTGTGCACTTTTAACCCATTAACTATCAAAACCAATGATAAATAAACAATTAAATCTTTTAAAAAAACAATTACCTCACCTAGCGAGAGACGACATTCAAGTTTTAGCATCACTCCTACTAAAAAATTTTACTGCCATTCAGAGCTGATGACGTCATACAAAAATCGTTTGTTTTTCTGTATGTATTTTTTTAAACCTATTTTTGCTGTTTTTTTTTCTAAATTCGTCATGTAAATGTGAAAAAGAAGTAAGGAAAATTGTTCACTGCCAGGACGGGAAATTCGAACATAATCATGAAAGTTAATTTTGCAAAAATTTGAATGACTATTGATGACGTCGTTTTATTTTCACATTCTGAAGGAGTGTCTTTTATTTTGCTGTCCTTGATATTGACATTTGAGGCAATCGCGGTGTAGTGTTTTTTGGGGGGGGGGGCGGTCGCGCGAAGAGGTGGTGGTTGCGGTTTTCTCACACATATTTTATGTGTGATTGATCGTTTTAGCATTTTAGGTTAGCTACAGGTTGAGACGACACTTAGGATTGAACAGTGTGTTTTCTGCTGATTGGTACAGCTCATATTAGGAATTGAATGCTTTTAGATGCTGCCTTTCGTGTGTGGTAGCTGGTAAATAGTCTTGACACCATAACAAATATATTTAATAATCTTACGATCAGTTAAATCAACCATTGATGCTTAAAAAAACAACCAGAAAATGTGGCCAAGTAGTTACGATATAGGCTGATGGATGTAGTTGTGCTGATAATGTATACCTTCACCTACATGTGTTACTTATAGCAAAATCGTGCACTGATGCCAGCGTGTTTTGTTTATAATAGTTTCTTAATTTATTAGCTCTCATTGATTTTTTGCATGATGTTATTAATGATGGCTAAATAATGTTTCTGCTGGTAGCTACCATCATTTTGAAGTCATGTTTGAGAATGCATTCCAGGCTGTCATAGTTGTGTTTATTATTTTATTTCATAAGATCATTGATAGATGACCATATTATGTGTTTGCATACACCTCCAGTAGCATATTGTTGTTAAATGTAGAGTTTCTGATTTTCCCATTCTTTGTTTTACAGATCAGCTGA